CGATTTGGGCATACAGACTCGAATGATCACTGCAGCTGTGGTGAGAAGAAAACACCACAACATATTTTCTTCTGTAAGAGACTGGGGAAAAACTGGCTACTGCCTAGGTACTCGCTTAGGACAGCTTGTTTACAATATTTAGAGGAGAGGAGCACAGAATGGGCAAAATTTGTGGAGAAGAGCAAGTTCTTTTCAACAATCTGCCCCCGATAGATAGCTTTTCTTGAAGGACCAGATGGATGACCCCAAGGTCATATCGCTGCAACAACGGGGATGGGCCCGTGAGCGGGACTGACTGTATTTATTATCTTGAGACCTCCACAACCCTGCGATACTGAGGCTCTGGGAGGCGTGGTTTGCACTACTGAGGAGCTACCCCCCACGTTAAATACAATCAATCAATCAATCAATCAATCAAAACTTATGCAGCTGTTAGTTTGCTACAAATCGTGGGCGAAAGGTCACACTTGGACCTTACGGCACCATGTGGTTATGCGACCAGTCTAATTTCAGGCTCAAGTTGCCGAATGCTCCGTCAACCATCTACATCACGGACCTACACAAGTCTCGCAGCAAATCTTTCGACATCGCTTTGTATCAGCCGCAACTTCGGTTTGACCCATGCCCTGCTCCAGTCTTGGAGAGGTCTCTTAGTCCCTACCATCACTACTCATCCTGCGCCTTGGATGGCATTGTCGAGATCACACCTTGTATTGAACGCGGCGAGGGCAAAGACAGCCAATGCTACATTGGTGGAATGATGGTGCGTTACTGTCAGATTTGAGCCAATCGTGAGGTTGAAGTGTGTGTGTGTATTCTGTGTGTCTGGAGTGTCCTTGTGCGACCGTGGCAGTTTTGTGCTAGAGGGGGCTGGATCGAGACGGAACAACTAGGTTCCGGTGTCTACCTATCAAAGTGCCCTCTGTGCTCACCTTTAATCCAACAGTTACAAAGATGGCAATCGAGCCTGCCTGGGCATGTGCCGCCTGGACTGGATGGGAAGCCCGCTTCAGGTGTGCAGTACGCATCTGCACATGGCTGCTGTGCGGTGCCAAGGCGAGAGACGGGTAGTGAGAGTGACTGTGGATGCTGGACCATTACCACCACTGGGCCAGTCAGAGCACTGGGTGTGATTCCCCTGGTCCGGGACTCTAGACTGGTGGTTTATTCGGTCTGCTGCCGTCATTAGGCATCGACCTTCTATAGCGGCAGCTACAGGCGATTCTAAATAGGGAGCGAGAGGTGCCGTCAGCGATCTCTTCGAGCGGGTCTGTCATATTAGTATCGAGAGCGAATAACGACCGAATAGATAGGGAAGTAATAAATATAAGCGCATTGAGAAACCCAAACATATTCTCTTGCCCCGTCTCAGATCCAAATGGTCGTATGCCTTGACTAATTGGGCTATTGGACTATGAATCCGTGCCTGTATGATGTGTGAGCATTTCCTGAGTATGCATCAGACCTCGCTGTCCTTCATATTGTATATGTCGCTGGCGAAATAGCTATCAGTATATCTACTCTCTTCCTTTTTGACGTTATGACGGGCCTCGGTTCGTTCGAGACAGTCCTTAAGATCATGGGGATTCTCTCAGGTGGTCAGGGAGGTGTTGGCGCCGTTGGGCTTGAGAAATATTTCGTAGTGAGCTCTGGCTGCGGCAGCGTCCTTGAAGCCGGCTCTGGCAGCAAGCTTCTCCCAGTTGACCTGGGGATGAGTTAGCTCGTATCATATGGCGCCATGCGCGAGATGAAAAAGGGTAACATCGAATGGGAGTGCATACCTTGGGCTTCGTGTCAAAGCATTTGGAACTATAGTGACATATGTCCATTCAGCAAAGTGGTTTCTTAGATCAATACGAAATCAAACAAGCGTGATAAAGGCATGCAAGGAGTCGTACCTAACAGTATTAAATAGTTTGAATAATGAAAGATATATTCACCAGGCAGTATCTAGGCAAGGACTCTCGAGGTTACAAGACGGCCAACAGCACGCGCGGGAGTGGCGATACGCGAGAAAATAATGGCACACAACGCAAGTTTATGCACGTACCAGATGAAGGAAGCGTAGACCCCGTACCATCTCGGTGTCACTAGCTATCTAAAACCCGCCCTATCCCTACCTACAGCTCACCACCTGCCCTTTTCTCCTACCGCCTACCCATTCACTCACCGCCTGCTTGTTCTTTTTACCGCCTGCCTGCCCTCTTAATTAGTGCCTATTCCGCTCATTTACCGCCTATTAGATTTGCCTACTCCTCACTTGTCACGGCGAGCGTACTGAGGAGCTGGGACATGGCCGGCAGCAAGCAGCTATTACTCTATTGACAAGGATATCAAGACTAGAGAGGAAAGGAAGAGAGAGAGAGAGAGATAGGTACAGTGGGAGGTTGCCCCTTTAAGGGGATCCTTTGGTCAGATCCTTCTCCTATTGGGAAGTATCCGCTTGTCATGTGAGAAGGTCTGTGCAGGCTGTCACATCACTCACCTGATTTAAAGGCGGTGTCTGATCTAAGCAGGCGGTGTCCAATCTAAGCAGGCGGTGTCCTATCTAAGCAGGCGGTGTCCGAGTTAAGCAGGCGGTGTCTGGAAAAGCATGCGGTGCCCGATTTCTGGATTGAGCAGTCGTCTTGATCAGGTAGGCGGTGTTAGGCAAGACAGGTCAGGTGGACCGAGCCATCAGCATACAGATAGAAAATACAAGATTGACAAAGAACGTAACATATGTATAATATAATATATCTTCAAAATCGTTCAGTAGGGCTATATCTAATAAAATGCACTTCGATAAATTCAAGTTATCATCCGCTGTTTCCAAGACCCCATATCATCTGTATGTCCCCGTTGCCTATTTCTTAGCTTTACTACACTTGGATATATGAAAGCCCTTATGACACAGTGCCGTGAACCCGCAGGGCATGGTTTTGTTAATGCATCTTAAAAGACAGTATGAAGTCATAGACTTTATATTCTGATATTGAATCTTGCGCCAAAAGGGATAAATGTTTCTGCTTAAAGTGCTCCGTCAGATCTCTTAGGGTACAGAATTCATGTATGAGATCTTCTACACGAGGGTCATCAAGCTCTAGAGGAAGTGCGGCTCCAATGCATAGGAAGCATCTACTAGGTCTTTCTCTGTTATTGCGGACAAATACAGACAGCCTAATAATAGACACGGGGTTATCCTTTTGTGGCCCATATGTGGGTTTGGATTATACGTCCTTGGTCGGCAAGATGAATTTATGACGTGAAGTTTGTCCTTTCTTAACGCTACAATAGGTAATGATTGCATTGATGGCATCGTCCCTTCGTCAATATTGGCCTTGAAGAGTAGGGTCGACAGGCGTAGTCAGGGCCTTAACTAGTCATTTTTGCGCTGGAACTTATGGACGATGGGCTATGTCTACCGGTACAGGCTTAGTGAATGCGACGCCTTGTAATTGATGTTCGATGTCATCTATGACCTGCTCGTGTGTCCAGTCTTCTCGGATCTTTTGGAGGAGCAACCTCTTCAGCCTCTGCTTTAGATTTCAAAGTTCCCGCTGCACATTGATCTGTTGTTTTGTCCCTAGTCGTAGGTTCTTGAGTTGTCTTGTAAGCCACCTCACGTTGGGATCTGTGTTAACGGATGCCGCTTGCCCAAGAGTAAGATCTACTTGCCGCCGCTTACTCATCAAATAACCGATACTACAGGATTATTTTAATAGTGCTTGTTGTGGCTTCTGGCCGCAAAGGATTCCCCATAGGTCTGCACAAACAGCGCGACCGAGGTAATGCTTTTGAAAAGAGGTTGAGTTGGCGTGGTCTAGCGTCAGGTCACAGAGTGCTTCACTAATATTGGCTGCATTGGAACGTCAGCACAATAGATTCCTTAGAAGTAAAGGTAGAACGTACGGCTCTGGTCCAATTCATTGCCTGCATTATACCGCAATGAATATGCGATAATTGGGTATTAAAGGCCTAAAATCTCTTCAATCTTCTTAATCCAACCCAACATCACGCCATAAGTGATAGGTTCCGCCTGTGATATCTGCAGCCCGGTAGCAGTCGTATAACTCGGCGGAATATGCGTACGCCTTTGAGGTCGTCTCTAAGTGGCGAAGGCAACTCCTTCTTGCCGGGGTGGATATCAAGATCGTATAGATGGCGAGAAGAAACAAGGCTAGGAGCCCAAAAAGCTTGATATTAGAACAAGATACTAAGGAGGAAGACATAAGGGCTAAGAAGCAAAGATGGATCAAACATGGTCTCGGGGATCATAAAGGTCTTACTAAGGCACCCATAATATCAATATAGAAAAGCCTTAAGATGCCAGGATAGAATACTTATGCATCTTTTGTCCCAAGGTACATCTTAATAAACTTGAGAATAAACTTGATCAAAAGCTTGTATGGCCCGCCGTCAAGATCTCTTGCTAATACAACCCGACTATCTCCAAATTGGAGCCGCAAGATGGATTTTGGGCGCGAGCCGGCAGGAGCCAGGAAGAGAAGAAATAAAACGGTAAGAATCCGGAGCTCCCCGAGGTCAAACGACTTCCTTGTCGTGCTCAGTGTCGTCTCAATCTCCGCTTTGAGGTCGTCAATAGTCATATAGCGGTTGTCCCTCTTTTGGTCGCTTAGTTTGTGTTTCTTCGCTAGTAATCTTAAGACCTGAAAGAAAATATTAGAAATAGGTCTTTGGTAGGTGATCAAATTCCTATTTACCTTATGTATGTTGTTATTCAATTTCGGATTAAGCTTCGCACCTATGGCCGTCTCATACACAAGACAAAAGACCTTCCAATTTGTGCCTAGTAAATTGTTTTTCTTTGTTCCCCTTTTTTTCTGTCCATTCTTACCAATTATTTGATTCAAAGACCAATCAAAACAGTTGTAGAGGTGACGGATATCAATAGACTCGAAGCAAGTCTGGGGATCCCGTCCCACAACGTCGGTGCAGAACCTGCCAGAAAAATATCGTTAGCATGAGAAGACATAAAGCACTAGAATGACTTATGTCCGTCACTGCTTCTTGATTGTGTCAAGTTGTATAGTGCTTCCAGGACTGTAATCTCTGACGTTATAAGCACTCTCTTTGAACTCTTGTAGCGCCCTCTGATAGTACTCCGGCGGATGAACATTCCCTACAAAGAGGTGGACTTGATCTGCAACATTGGAATTGTCATTACTAAAGTCCTTCACATCCGTCACGTCGCTCTTTGGGCTGGATGCATCCCCGTCCACGTCAAGGAAGTCGTCAGCATCTGCATCCCCTACTGCGGAGAAAGATGCGACTGTGCCGTACAGGTTGTCGGTGACTTGTGAGTCGCATGGGTCATTGTGGACGCGTTGGCGGGCCATGCTAATAAAGTTGTAAGGGATACTCAATCATAATAAGTGCAGTTCATTAGAAGACGTTGCGCTTACTCAACTGGAGGTAAAGAGGAAAAGAAAACAAAAACATTGTTAAACTGGGTGGACAAAAGTCTCCGCCCGACCCACCACAATCTCCTTCAAATTAAAATAACGCGTCAATCACCCTTCGACTTCACCACTCTCTCAACACCGCAATTGATAATGGATTTACGATCTTTTGGGGACGAATTAAGCGGTAATCGCGTCACTAACGGCAAATTCACTTCAAAAGCTCGCTCGGCAATCGTGGCGACGCGAATTGACGGCAGAATGCATAGGGATGTTGTAACCGCGTTTAAAACAAAGCGCCTGAAAACCATCTCCGATATTACCACCAACTTTGAGGCCACTTCTACACCGAAATCTGCCCCAAGGAGCGGTCGCCCACCCGTTTTGAATACTCACAAACGCACTCATGTGATCGAAAAGACGAGAGAGCTCTCCAGGGCGACGTGGCAGAAAATTCAAAACAAAGCCTGTGTTTCGTGTTCTCCCAAGTCTATCAAGAGGATATGTCACGCACACGGCCTCCAGAAGTGGCGCGCAGCGAAGTGAATCAAGCTCACAGATAAGGACGCTAAGAAGAGGCTCGCTTTTGCCAATTATTATAGCACACCAGAGCGCCTGGAAGAGTTGTTGCGAGCTATGTTCTCAGACAAATGTACGGTCCAAAACTCATCCGATAATCCAGGCGATTGGGCCATCCGATTCTCTTCAGAGTGGTACTGTTATGATCTCGTGAACGAGACGGATCACGGCAAATCTCGTATTTTGATAATGGTGTGGTCTATGATCTGGCTACGCGGCGGAGAAGGAGGACTAGACAAGTTGGTTTTCTGCCCACTCGATCCGGATGCTCCGCGCGGAGGAGTATCCGCAGAGTCATACAAATGGGTTCTTAAAGAAGGCCTGCTTCCGTTCTACGAGGCTGGAGATCCTTTTGCTCAAAATAACGCGAAAATTCACCTCACTGGCGGTGTTCTAAAGTGGATGGAGGAGCACGACATCCACTGTATTGATTGGCCTCCTCATAGCCCCAATATAAACCCAATTGAGCACGTTTAGCGACTTCTGAAGAAGAACATACGTGAAATCGAGCCTGAATTTTCTGAATTGAAGGATAATATCCCCCATTATTGCTACGCACACGAGTTAATTGAGCAGGTGTGGTCAGAGATCGATCCAGAGCAGGTTCGGGCCTTGATGGAGTCACTGGAGGACCGAATAGCTGTAGTGAGGCGCGCCGGTGGTTGGTATACACACTATTGACTTAGTTATTAAATACAATTTATTTGAGAATTCTATCACCAGAATTGGATGCGTTATGGTTCAATTGAGTTGGAGGGTATAGTAGATGGAAGGGGTAAAATTGGGGATCGGGTGGAGACTTTTGTCCACGCATTGTAACCAACTAAAGCGAGAGAGCTGGTATTTAAAAGAAATATAAGAGCCATCTCTGGTTATACTGCTGGCAGGCCGAGTAAGCAAGGGAAGGGAAAAGACACAGCATCGGTGCCAGATACCGAACTGAATAAGAGTCCAGGATTTGGGTCATGATGTACTTTGAACGATACATCAAAGTACAAGGCCAATAGGCATGGTGGGGCATGGTGGGGTATGCAGCTTAAAGCGGCGTCGGATTGCTGGCAAATGCACTGCCGGACTTAGAGGCAGAACATGCCAAAATAGGCAGCGCGCTCGCCGTCTCTTTATTTAAGGTAGTTATAAAATTACGAACGGACTTATTATTATTATTATTATTATTATTATTATTATTATTATTATTATTATTATTATTATTATTATTAAAACTTGGTTTCTTATTAATATAGCCTTATAATATATGGAATAACTATTATATAACAATCTAATCTGGTTTTCCGCCACGGCTATTATATAAAGCGGAGCAGATAAAGGTTTCGTTAAAGTCATACTAAGCAGTAGTGTTGAATACACGGATGTTGATTGATGCTATTGCTTGTTCTGCTCTGCGTGCAGAGATTGATTATCTGTCTTCTTGGTGGGTCAGATGCCCTGTGCGTCTCTGCCCCACTGGAGATCTTCCGGTGTCTATCTCCGGCTCCCATTCAACAAGTAGCGTTAGGGATGAGGGAGAAGATTAATAAGGTTCAGCTATGAGCCACAAAAAACAAAACAAAACAACTCGTCCATGTGCTTAAGGTGGCGGCAGAGCCTGAATTGATTTCCAAGATTAATACCATCTCTCAATCTGCTCGGTTAGGAACACGAAGTCTCCTGCATCAACCCCAACACGAAACACACCGTCAACACCTACAGCGTTCCTCGAGACTCAGGAACTACCCGTCGCATCAAGCGAAAAGACGCGTCACAACCTTCATTAACCACAGCAATGACAAACCCACCGGCAGTCCTCGCCGAGTTCCCGCTCTTACGCTCGCTCCCACCAGAGCTGCGCATCAAGATCTGGGAAGGCTCGTTCAACCCGCGAGTGATCGAATTGCACCACGACACAAAGTATCCGAGAGAGACACAATTGGTCCACTTCAAGTCATACAACAGCAACCCAGCGGCCCTGTCCGCGTGCTCCGAGTCCCGCCTCCTTGCGCAGTCCCATTACTCGGTCGTGCTGTCTCTCGACACGGGTACGGATAACAGCGACGGTGTGCGGCCTCTGTACCTCAATCCGACTACAGATATGCTCGCCATACTGAGTGAAGCCTCCCCGCGAAGCCTCGAAGTCCTGCTCGACACGATCCAACAGCTGGATCCCCTTCACCGCCGGCCATCACGCATCGGGTTGGGCGCCCAGTGCTGGCGTATGTTCCGTGTTTGTACGACAAGTACGGCGCAGAAGCTGTTCGGGCACCTTGACAAATTGGAGCTGCTCTTGCACCCCCATACCTTGCCACCGCCAGGCTTTCGCGACGGGGAGTGTGTGCTTAATGCGGTTAAATCATTGAGCGCTTGGCCGTATTTATGTACTTTCTGGGGCCCTGGTCTCGACATTGGCAAGGGCGAGGACGGGTTGAGATTTTGGTATATCAACTTTATATCCGGGCTTTACTAAACTCCTGCTATATGCACCTTGTTGAAACTCCTTATTTACACCTTGTCTTTACAACCCACCTGCCAGCCAGCTACATTACAGCTCCCTATCTTAACACAACTATACCAACAACTACGCCGACAATGACACAGACAGCTGTATAGACAGCTGTACAGACAGCTGCATAGACAGCTACACAGGCAACTACACAGCCAGCTACACAAACAACTGCACAGACAACTGCACCGACAATCTCAATCTAATGGCAAGCCGTAAGCCTGATGGTTAGTCCGCTAGGAGTGGAAACAAGGTGCAAATAAGGAATCCTGGCAAGCTGCAGATAGCAGGACTTTTTATTTGCATAGCGAGGGCATGTCCTACTTCTTCTGGGTGCAGTGAGGCTGTCAGGGATGAACGATTACGGAGTTGCGATTTGTATGTACCAACCCAGTCCTTCTTGTTGGGCTGGGTTCCTGGTAATGACTTTGCCGGCGACTCGGCGCCAGCATATTCAGAAGGATATTGGTACACGAATGGTGGGCATGTCCCCGTTCTCGGTGGGCACTGAAGTTACGCAGACGAAGAGGGCCATCATTTGACGGCGCTCGAAATCCCACTCGGAGCCCACGAAGTAGTACCTTGAAGAAGGGGGAATGAATCCATCGCTGTCTCTCCCCTTGTGTTCTAGATCGACTAGTGTGCGCAGTGCCTTGAACAGGCCTTGATTGTTCCAGAAAGCCTGTCGGTACGTCGTCTCGGCGAAGACTTTGAGGGCGAGCTGCCGCGTCTTGTGGTCCCGACACTTGGTGACTGTGAACGAGATGATCGGGAAGAGGTCAATGTCAAGGGTGAACCTCAGGTGGGAATGTTGCTTCTCAGGCACGAAGTTCTGGCAGATGCGCACGATCTCCTTGAAGTCATCGAGGTGGCGATCATAGGAGAGGTCCGATCGATCGAGGAAGCACCTCATGAATATCTTGGCCGTCAAGCTGTAAGCCATCATGGTCCATAGCACGCCGCTTTTCGCCGACGAGCCCTCCATTTCCAGAGTCTGTTCCAGCAGCGGCAGCCATTGGCTGAGTTGAGCCAGGTATTTGGCTCTCTGCGCTAGCACGTCGGGCATCTGATCCTCTCCAACCACCACACCACACCGGACGTTTAACATGAACAAGCCGACGTCTTTCTGGAAGCTATTCCAAAATCCTTGTTTCGAGACTAGGGGTGTCTCGGTACTTGGTAGCTCAAATTGCTGGACCGGCGTCATCGTCGTGTAGACGTCCTTGTGTCCCTGGAAGAAGGGACACAAACCCCAAGCAACTGTGTGTATGTCAGCATGTCGACTTCAGACCGCGAAGGAGGTATTGCTAAGATTGGGTCCAGCAGAAGAGCAAAGCGTGCTCTAGATGGTAGGCTTCAGATCGGAGGGAGGGGCTCGTCTATACCTACTATTCATCCGATCGAACGCGAGCTTGACCTGACTGAGTTGACCGTCCATCTCGAGTACGGGGCGTCCGTCACTTCCTCTCTTCCCCAGTGCGTCGTCTAGGATCATCAAACCGCTCGCCAGGATCTGATCGGCCTCGCCAACATTTCCCTGAAGAATCTCGATGCCCGCAAACATGAAGGTGACGGTAAGGCAGAGATGAGCGCTACGCGCAGTGAGGCCCTCGAGCAGTCTCTCCCGCATCAGCGATATGGCCTTCGTGTAGGAATACAGGGCCGCCTTCCGATGCCGACTCATGGCCAGTGGGCCGCCCATCGTCTCGGGAGTGTGCTCCACGGCTTCCAGCATGGCTGCCATGGCGACGGCCGCGTACTGCAGGCACCTGTCATGCATGAACTCCCCCAGGACGTGGTGCTTCCAGTAGTCGGATCCACACCACACAGAGATATCGCCGAGGATCTGGTAACGGAACCGGTCGAAGTACGGGACGTGGGCCTTCTCCATATATGACGGCGTGAACGACGCGAGCATCAGGTCGATGGGGCGAGCTTCCGCCTCCCGCATGCGCCGCATCTGCAGCGGTCTTGGGCGTAGTATCGAGGGCGCTGTTGCTGCTGCCGCCCTCTTGCAGGGTAGCGCAGGCACAACGACAGTGTCCTTCCTACGGTCGTTCGGGTCCTCGTACCCGGCACACTGGTTTCCCGACTTCTCGCAGCGCGCGCAGTGTGGCTTTCTCTCGTCGCACTTGACTCGACGGTTCTTGCATGTGGTGCAACCTGTTCGTGCCTTGACGTGTGGGGTGCGTCGCTTGATGGGCGGCCTGTTCCGCTCGAGCAGGGCCCAGACACTTCCCGGGGCCATAGACATTCTTGATGTTGGAGTTTGTTTATTCTCCGATGGTTGCGTGTGGTCCTTGAAGGGGTTGGCGGCCGGCCAGGGGTATCGAAACTATTGGATGCTTTCGATACGAGGGTGCAGTGCAGACTTGTTTTTATAGTGCAGCACCCATGGTGTCGTGGTAAAGGCAGCGCCGGATTCAATATATCATGACTGTGCTCTTGGCAAAGCAAAGCTCGACAGCGGTGAGCGTAGTCGGGCCCCAAGGGTAGAAATCGCAACCGGTTTCCTCTTACCTTGGCTCGAGCTATCCCGGGGTGAGGTTGAGAGTCAGCGACTTAGCTCGTGATCGGCTGGTTCCTCGTTGGAGCTGAAGCTTAGTCAAACCCACTTGGTCATTGTCTAAAAACCATGCCGGATCTCGCGACGCAGCTCGTGTGGGCTCGTCCAATCAGCGTGCCAGTTTCTTGGCCGATCATCGTGACCCTGGCCATTCTGAATTATGACGTCCCGACACTCAGACGCTAGAACGCTGTCAGGAGTTTAGAGTCTCTAGACTAGAGAAACCAAAGTCCTCCAGGACATGGAATGACTTGACCCCTATCTTTCGGAGCAGAGCCTTTGGCGTATTTACGGGTGGGCTTGACAGCTGACGATTCAAAAGAAGAGATTGGTGTATGTAAGAAGCATTGTTCAGCTAAAAGAGGGTAGTCTATAGCGAAAGCTATCTATGTGTGGCGATGCCATACCTTCAGCCACAGTGGCTAACAACCCCTGGCGATGGCGATGGCGACATCCACCCGACCTTTCAAGCAGGTTGTTTCGAAGAAAAGACACGGAGATGCAGTTGTCTCCGATTATACTTGGCTACTAAGACCCTCCGTTTCACGATATGGCTTCGTCATGGCCATCATGTTGGCTTCTGGCCTTGAGCGCCGCCTTATGGGGGACCACTTGGGCCGCAGATGGTGGTCAGCAGCAGCAGCCATTGACTATAGGCAAGAGACCGAACATTGTCTTCATAATGAGCGACGACCAAGATCTTCATATGGATTCTCTTTCGTACATGCCACACCTGAAGAAGCATCTAACAGACCGAGGTACAACCTTTTCGCGCCACTATTGCACGAATGCGCTGTGCTGTCCGTCTCGTGTCAGTTTGTGGACAGGCAGGGCTGCTCACAATACTAATGTCACGGATGTGAATCCTCCCTATGGTTCGTCTTAGATCTGAGGGTTCCTCATACAGCCTGTCAGCAAGCGCTTACGTTCGAGCAGGTGGTTATCCCAAGTTCATAAGCCAAGGCTTCAATGCAGCCTATCTGCCTCTCTGGCTACAAGAAGCAGGCTACAACACCTACTACATCGGCAAGCTCTTCAATGCTCAGAGAGTCGACAACTACGACTCGCCACATGCGGCTGGCTGGACCGGCTCCGATTTCCTACTAGACCCGCATACGTACGAGTATCTCAACGCAACGTTTCAGCGGAACCATGATCCTCCTATAAGTTACGAGGGCCAGTACTCTACAGATGTGGTCGCGGATAAGTCCTACGGTTTCTTGGATGATGCGTTAGCCGATCGTGACAGCAAACCTTTCTTTCTTGGTATAGCTCCCGTCGCTCCACACTGCAACGTACGACATCATGAGAAGGTCAATGGCAACTGGACCGAGAATTCTGCGACTATGTCGCCACCTGTGCCGGCCAAGAGGCATGAGCACCTGTTCAATGACATTATTGTCCCACGAACAGAACACTTCAACCCTGACGAGGTATGTCATGAGGTCAGGCCGTACTGCTTGATATTTGGACGCTAACATTTACAAGCCCAACAGCGTCTCCTGGATCTCACATCTTCCAAAGCAGAACCAGACCAACATTGACTTCAACGATGGCTTCTACCGCAACAGATTGAGGTCACTGCAGCCACTGGATGAGATGATTGAAGGCGTCATATCCCGTCTCGAAGATGCAGGCGTCCTGGATCAGACCTACATATTTTACACCACTGATAATGGCTACCACATTGGGCAGCATCGCTTTCAGCCGGGCAAGCAGAGCGCTTTCGAGGAAGACATCAATATCCCACTCATTGTCCGTGGACCGGGCATTGCGGAGGGTATGGTGACGGATGTAGTCACTACGCATACTGATCTGGCGCCGACATTGTTGAAGCTTGCTGGTGCAGAACTGAGAAGTGACTTCGATGGTGCTGCCATCCCGTTGGCATCATCCGACATCTTAGAGGCTGGGATGGTCCGCCCAGAACACATTAACGTCGAGATGTACGTATACGGATGGGTAGAACCCTTGAAGGCCGTCCGAGACACCATAACCCCCCAACACCCTGTGAGAAATCCGCTAACCCTTACACCCATCGCTTTTAGGTGGGGTATCATTATGTCTGAGGGCAAGTACGGGACCGTGGTGTACCAGAACCATACCTACAAAGCCCTGCGGATCATCGGTGAGCATTACAGCTTTCTGTACACTGTGTGGTGCAATAACGAACATGAACTATACGACTTGATGGTAATGCCCCCGTTGCTTTCTGGGCCTTGGTCAGTGCAACTGACTGCGGCTCATAGATGGACCCATATGAAATGAAGAACCTGTATGCTCATGAGCACTCTAGTGCTTTTGAATTCAGGCCAGCAAGCCGTCACGGCGGTGAGCATACCGACGAAGATTTGACGGAAGAGATATTCCCCAGCACAAGCGGTTCAACAGCTCATACCACCAACAACAACACCACCGCTGCACCGTCGACCCTCAAGCACATAATCTCACGCCTCGACAGTCTGCTGATGGTCCTGAAGACCTGCAAAGGCCGCGAGTGCACCCACCCGTGGGAGGTGCTACATCCGGAAGGCAATGTGCGCGATCTACATGATGCACTCGACGAAGAATACGACCACTTCTACGAAACGCAGCAGCGGCGTGTGCACTTCACTAAGTGCGAGAAAGGTTATATCATCGAGAGCGAGGGCGAGGTTGGCGCCAAGGCTTGGCCAGTCGATGAGGCTGGTGTGAGGGTTGGAGCGGCCTGGAACCATCCTGTTGAACGGCAGTAGGTGCCAAGGGGTATCACGTGTGATAACAGGATAAGGAGTGACCCACAACACAGGGATATCTAGGAGGAGAATCATGCACCGCGGAATCCTCCGAAGAACCAAGATCAATACAGAGGAGAATCGACCATACATTTTGCTACGTGACACATCCCTCGTGAATCAAAAGTTCACTGCTGCCTGCACGCGGAGGTGCTAGCCCGAGTATACTCGTGTACAAGGAGGCGATCTGCGAACAACACCACCAGTCTTGATGTATGTTTGTTTGTTTTGTATTTAACGTGGGGGGTTGCTCCTCAGTAGTGCAAACCACGCCTCCCAGAGCCTCTGCATCGCAGGGTTGTGGAGGTCTCAAGATAATAAGTACAGTCAGTCCCGCTCACGGGCCCATCCCCGTTGTTGCGGCGGTATGACCTTGGGGTCATCCATCTGGTCCTTCAAGAACAGCTATCTATCGGGGACAGATTGTTGAAAAGAACTTGCTCTTCTCCACGAATTTTGCCCATTCGGTGCTCCTCTCCCCTATGTATGTAAACAGGCTGCACCAGTCTTGATGTAGTAAAGACCGCCTGAGACTGTCAGAGTATTCCAGGACCACATACAGCCTTCCAAGCCAAGCTAGAGAGGGCGTGTGAGCAGATTCCACCTTTGTATGTAAGCAGTATGTATTGGGCAGTAGGGGTGTCGGGCCCATGGACCCACCCCATCCATTTAGAGCGTTTTCGCTGTCAACAAACTGTAGATAGACCATACACAAGAAAACAACGATACCCAGTCCATACCGCTGTCCATACCGCTGTCACCACGATTCAGTTTTTGCCCTCAGTTTCTTTCCCTCTTCACGTATAACAACAGAGGTCATTCTGGAGTCAGTAGCAGTCGAATTGTGACAAATCCTATGCGTGAAAGAGATCTAGGGAACACGATTAACACTCGATTCCAAGCACTTTTTGCAACCATCTCTCAACTCGTAAACCACTGAAAGCCTGCGCCTGACGATCTTAGACTGGCAAGCCGAGACATCATGGCTTTTGGAACCTCTTCGCTGGCTGATGGTCTGGTGATAACTATCTCTCACTAACAATCACTTGGCAGTCTGCGTGACATCTCAAGACCCGATCAACGCCCCTATTTACATGAAGAGCAAACCCAGCACGACAGCCATCGCGGCGGTCACCGAAGCATACCCAACCAACTCAGCCCGACTCGCAGCAGCAATAACAGGCTCGAAGGTAGTAAACGCACTCGTACTGGCGCTGGCACTCGGGCTAGACTTGCTGTCCCCAGACGGCGAGAGCATACCAGAGCCAGTCGACAAGGCGACTCCAGATCCATGAGCACCAGTCACCCTGACGCCACCACTACCGGGTGCAACGGCGACTCCAGTACCCTGAGAAGCATTCACCAAGGCGCCACCGCTACCGGGCGCAACCGCGATCCCCGTGCCAGCAGTCGGCATGGCGTCTCTGGTCGTGCTGCTAGTGCCGTTGGACCAGTGTCGGTGCGTGAACTTCGGCACCCCGCTATGGCGGGTCAGGGAGGTGCTCGTCGTCGATACAGGGGCTGTCTCGGGATGGCAGTCCGACGGTGCCTGCTCGCCCTCGACAAAGCGGATAGCGGCGCACTGTGTGATTCATCAACTGTCAGCTATATCGACTCGAGCCACCCGAGGGTTCCCTGAGCAGGAGATAGCTTAGGAAACTTACCTGGTAGTTGTACACCCCGTTGCCGATATACTGCGACAGCTGGAAGATGGCCTTCTGGCCAATCCACTCGGCCTCCGTCTTGCCGGGGATTTGGGACAAGCACAGGTCGACCTTGCCCTGGGTCACGGACTCCCTGTACAGCTCGACGAAGTTGGTTGCGTTGCTCAGCAGGGCCACCTTGAAGCGGAAGATGGACGGGCTATCGGCGGAGACTGCAACATCTCAAGTCAGCTACATTTACCTTGTTGGAAGATGAGGAGAATGAGAGAGGTTTGGATGCCACTCACTCTTGGTCATCTTGACGTCGTGGCCTCCGGTCGGCCAGTCCGTGAAGATCGAATCCTCCTTTACAGCGAAGACGCGGCCGCAGGGCGACGTGCTCTCCGCGAGGTGTTGGTGCCAGCTGCTCGCGGAGCAACAAGGTTGAAAGTCGCCGAGGCGGAAGCCGCAAGGGCCAGGGTGGAAAGGAGAGCGTTGGCGTGCATCTTGGCTGATGAGTATGCTGGGCGATTCGGTACGGTATCAGGAGTCGTGACTGAGAGGGCTGAGCAATAGAGTCGGACGTGCTGAGATGCCAGGGAGAGAGCGAGAAACTTCTGGGATGAGGATATGGAAATGTTTGAGGGAAGAGGGAAGGGGGAGAGGGAAAACATATGGCCTTATATCTTGACTGAGGTGTTGAGAAGCTATGTCACCTTTCCAAGTGGCATGATATCTCCCATTCACGTGTCCTGGTTGTTCTGAGCCCTTCATTTACCAGGGGGAAAAACGATAAATGGTCGATTAGAACTATTACCTGGCCTCTCCCCTTAAGCATTCCCATAATGGGGGGTACGACAATGCGATTTGCATTGTGGCCGACAATCTGAACGCCAGACCGAGTATGACCAGAGGCTAAGATAGGGGCTTTGAATGTATAGCAACTCGACGTTATACTAGCCGACGTTAAAACAGACAATCACAGTACGAGGTAACCCATTTAGACGTTTTTTTTTCGTCCTTAGCTGGCTGATGCAGTATATGCATGCTATAGACACAATAACCTGAGTCATCGTTAGCATTGATTTTTACGAGCACAGTCTGGAATTACTGCAGGATATGGCGGTCCTTCGGTTCCTGCTAAACCTTACGAGATCTAGGGTCGGTGTTAATACTTAAGATTCAGTGACAAGCCCCTGACGCTGGTCTTCTTTGTTTGCGGTGGTTACCGGGTAGGCGTTTAGTAGGTTTTTAAAATGTGCAAAGACCAAAGGCCATCAGGCTATCTGGTTATAAAAGGGAAATCAAGGTTATTAGGTGTATCAAACGTGTTTGATGGACGGTTTTCCTTCACTTACCTGCCAGGCCAATGTCACTCCGTTGCTGGTGCAATGGCAGCTTGAGGTTTGGCTGGTTGGCCGGCAGTGTTCAAAGTTGTCACGGGTTTGTTACCTGTACCTCAGGCTTCAATATTTAACCCACAAACACCATACCATGACCGGCAAAAAAAATTCCACCCTTTTTCTTCCTGCACCTAGCTGCGAGGTACCCTCGCCGCAAGCACTTCACATCCGATCACTGATGCATTCGCTCCGAATACACGACACTTCGTTGCATTCATCTGCGTCAATCTCCTTGCCCCTATATAATCGCCGAACTTCTTCATCACTTCTTACCTCAATGGCGTCGTTCCCTTCGCTGTCGCAGGAGGTGCTCGACATGATCCTGGAGCCGCTCATTCCTGAACCCATCCCCACTGACGGAAACACGGCTGACATGCTCTATGATTACGGTCAAAGCTACGCAACTCTGTACAGCCTATGTACGTCTCGGTTGTGGCGCCGCGTTGCACAACCGAGCCTTCACCGCAACGTCATCGTCAACCAGCCGTTGGAGCTTCTCCGCCTCTACCGGACTCTTCTAGGCAACCGGGCCCTTCGCTCGTCTGTGCGACACTTCGCCTGTCTCACTGATCTCGTCTTTCATGACCAGCCTATCCAAGAGAACATCGAAACCGAATGGGATTGCGAGGTCCAGTCTCACGCTGACAGACTGAAAGCATGGAACTCTGCAACCCCCTCCTTCAACAATGCGGATGTCAACCCACTAGAAACAAAGTTTCTAGATGATCTGGACCTTGCCGACATCGATACACTCACCGTGGGACATGACTGCTATCTACAGCGGGTGACTGCCATGATACTGGTCCTCTCGGGCGGACTTGTCGACTTCCTCATGTATGTACCAGAGATCGACTTTCCACTGGATGAGGCAGACAGCGACGATGAACACCCTGTCCTCGATTCGCGCCTGGCGAACACCATGCGCTTTGGTGATCCTACCTGCACACATGCCCTCCGTCGCATCCTCACACGCCTCGCCTTAATCCGACTCCAACGCTCACCGGACCGACAGCATGAATATGCAGAGATGGACTGGAACCAAAGCTACGGCATCGGAATCAATGCTGCCCAGATCCCAATGTTTGGCATCGGACAAACCAAGAAGGTGGAGATCTATGGCGACAATGGCGTCTGGAACAAGCCGACCGCTGCCATGGAATGTCTCGTCGACCTTCGTTTGAGCTTCAGTCGGACCTCGCCCACCTGCATCTGCGAGATCCTGAAGTTCAGTCGCAACCTGAAGATATTACACTGGTCTAACATCTCACCCCCCCCTGCGGACCACCCCCCCACGGACCACTCCACACCACACCACTCTCATTCAGATGAAGCCATCTACAACCACCACAGTTGCTAAATACACTAAGGTCGTGGTGTTCTAACCATAATACAGCTCCCAGAATCCGATTCCGACCCTAAATCTTCACCAGGGACCTCTTGTGGGACCTCTTCGCCTGCAGCGGAGTCCCTATAGACCCTCCTGTTCCTCAGCTCCATTTTGGCCTCCCTTATGTTAGCCATTGTGACGAATCGTTCCCCTGGTGTTGGTTTGACTGCTTTTCGAGTGGTATTAGCCTTTTTAGCCACTTGAGCCTCAAGCAGCTCACATTTGGCCCGTAGATTTGTAATGGTAGCAGCCTGAACATCCATGGCCTTGCCAGCCTTCCGCACCAACAAGCGCTCAGAGGGCCCCCCAAAGGAAGGGTCCTTTCTTTCGAGCTTTCGAGTACTCTCCTGCAAAGCCTGGCTTCCAGAGGGTGTTGTGATAATGGTTTTAGCTACCATCTCAAGAAAATCTGGTGTTGTGGCTCGCTCGGAAGCCTTAGGGTCCCTCTGGCGTGCCCTGGCCACCCCCTTGTCCTCCAGAATCACATATTTCGACTTCAATGCCTCCGCTCTGTTGCGAGGAACAATCCCAGTCTTTTTCCAGGCAATTCTGATGTTAAGGAGCGTCATTGTGTCCTTCCGGGCCTGCTCGTAGCACTCCAAAACCTCCTCCTTAGATGGCCTGAGTCCCAGATGGCCGCTGGGCGTCTCCTGGAGTAAGGTCTTTAACCTCTTCTTTACCAAATTGAAGACTCCCACATCTAATACCTGGACTACATGGGAGCAGTAAGGTTCATAAAAGATCAACCATACTTTGTTTCTTAAGCAGGTGGCTAGGAACTCGTTATTCGTGTGGGAGTCGTGGCCATCACACACCAAAACCACCCATGTGTTGCCGTGGACCTCCTAAATGTGAGGAATAAAGATACGTTGAAGCCATTCTAACGCAATGGGATTCGAGGTCCATCCTTTGGGCGACATAATAAACCTCCAGTTGGTGAATTTGTCCTCATTTTGGTTGCTAAATCACTGGGCTTGTACATTAATCCCCTTAAGAATCACCAGCGGCGGCAAGGTCTCACCAGATCCGCTCACACACTTTAGGGCAGTTATCCATTCACTCTTCTTGACCCCTTTCTTCATAGCCACGTTGCCGGAGGCCTCGGAGACCACCCAATGGGAGTCCCCAACCCCCTGGGCGATTCCCATTTCGTCGACGTTATACCAGCGTGCTGGCATGAGGTTAACCACGTCAGGGGCGTCACACCGATCGAAAAAAATGTTGATATTTGCCGCTATAGCACCATTCACTCGGTTGTAGTTAATAACACGAGACTTCATTATCTTGACTTCTGGGTTTCGAGACAGGAACTTGGATGCCCAATTTTTCCCTAATTCTCGAGCATCCCCGGTGGCATGGAGCATCCGCTGGGCCATGAGACGGAACTTAGAGACCGCCAGAGAATACCCTAGCCGTGCTTACCCCAGGGCCCAGCTTGCCAGCTTATATTCGAGATACGGTGAGAGAGCCTGTTGGAGAGCGCTGGTCTCATTCCGCGTTTGGGTGCCAGAGATTCGTCGGTTGATGTACGAGCGACTGATTTGCCATTCGAGGGCTGACGAGCGGACTGGAGCTCCGCGTTGGATGGCCAAAATGGCGGCTTCAGCTTTTATTTGACGGTCGTAAAATGACATCATGAGATTCAGCAGTGGATAAGGATTCAAATAGTGTGCTTTGTGAAAAAAAAGATGCAAAAGTGATGGTGTAGATGGTGGATCACCATAATCCTGGTGGTTGGTGAATTACGCGTTTGTGGGTCAGAACGCGCTGGTCCGCGGGGGGGTGGTCCGCAGGGGGGTGGGAGATGTTACCAGCGAGAGAGACACCCATCAGGAAGAATCCGAGAAGCTTGCCTGGGGACTTCCTCCAAAAGACATCAACGAGGCCCTATTACAGGGCGCGGATACGCTTCAGACCTTGCGCCTGGACACCATCGCTGGACAGTACTTGCCTGACAACGCTCCTGCCCGGCAAGCGACTGTCACCTGTCTGCCTGCATTCGAGAACCTGCGGCACCTGGCCATCGGCCTGACGAAACTATTGGGTACCTGGACCGACCGATCGGACAACGAGACAGCCTACCCACCTCTTTCGACCATCCTTCCCAAGCAGCTGCACACCCTCGAACTCATCGAGCGACTGTACGAAGGCGAGAAGATGAACCTGCGCTACGACCATAAACAAGCAGACAAGCACGAACAATGGCTGGAGATCATGTTCGACGGCCTCATCAAGGAATGCGAAGATGACCAGTGGCCCAGCCTGCGAGAGCTGACGTTCCGCGCAGCCAACATGTCCGGAGATAGCGGCATCCACACCATACAGAGAAAGGACACGAGAACACCGGATGCGATTTTGGATTAGGACCTCAAGCTTGCTTTGGTTGGCGTCGACTTCTTCTGGACTGGCATCAGAGCCAGGAGATTCATGTCTATTGGTTGGACGGATAACGAGTGATTCTGATGGAAAGGTGGCTGCAGCCATGAGTGTTTGGACACCGGACTTTGGCCATCCACATTGGGCATTGGCTATATGCACTGGCGTGGGCTGTTCCCGTTGGACTTTCACCACTGGTGACACCTTGGGCTTTAGCCCTTGATTGCGTATATATAGGAGGACTCTGGGTTGATACGACGCCAGGACACCCTCTCGGGCCACATGCGGCAGCACTTGCTGCCTTAGGGTAGCGGAGGAGAGAGATTCCATTGGATAGGGCGGCGGGCCAGCCGATCCTGATCCTGCAAGTCTCGGCGCTGGTTTTGTCGTTTGTTTGGCGGTGGGCTTGGGGTTGGGGTTTTGCGTCTGTTTTCGCACAGGAAAATGGAATAAAATGTGTTTTCCATCCCCAAAATATTTGTTTTGTGTCTTTGCTTCTAGGTGAATGATTAATGGTGTTAATGTATTGAGATACTCATTCTCGACCAGCTGTCCGAATATTTGTCCGGGCCCCTATTTGGGTCTCTGTCCGGGTTCCTGTCTGGGTTTCTCGAGAACATGCAGGAGGTGCTGGCCCCTACCCAGGTAGTTCACCCTCTAGATCATAGAGCAAGCTACTTTAATCAAGAAAACATGCCACAGAAAACTGCATTGACACGGCGTGAGCCTTCAGCATACAGGGAACCTGCAGTAAAAGATGTTCCTGCCAAATGGTTATAACGAAAAGACCTTACACCAAGCCTTTGAGATCGCAAGGTCGCTCAGTCACTCCTTGCCAGTGTCCTGTAAGTCCCGCGGAATGTATAATCATCGACAGAGCCCATCAGCGGAATAGTTACTACACATAGCAAGTATCATTACTATCGCTACAACACTGAGGTATCGAACAGTCCTGGTACGCCAGCCGGCCAAATCTGCAATGCTGAACCGCGTCTTACCAAACGCGTGACCCAAGTGATGTAGCCCCTATTCACCTTCATGTCTAACCAAACAATGCCTGGCTCAAACTCCACACCATTGCCATACTACTCCGACAGTCCCAACGCCTTCATCTGGGCCTCGGTCATCTGTCCGCGGATCTGGGGCTTCGCCTCCTCGCTACCTCCGAGGGTCTGGCTGGCCCATCTGAGCCACGGCTTTTCGCGCATCTCGCGGCGGAGCTTGCGCTTCTCCACTTCTGCGCGGGAGTCATATTCGCCGTCGCCCGCGCCGTCATCCATGTACTCATCTTCTTCATCCTCGTCTTCATCCTCGTCCTCGTCGTAACCCCCGTGACTATCAGGGTCAGGTGCAGCGGGAGCGACTGCGCTGGGTGAGTCCACTTGCGAGTTGACACCGTCAAGCTGTCCTTCCTGCAGCGCATTCTGTCGAGCGATTCGCTCCCGCTCGTTGCGACGTTGGCGCTCCAGCTTGTCGTACTCGATCTGGTCGAGGATACGTTGCTTGACCTTCTCGTCCTCCACCTTCTGTCGTTTGACCCCCTCTGCATAGTCCTTCTGGATGTCGGTCAGACGCCTCGGGGTTCTGTCAACGAGCTGCTCACCGGGGCTAGGCAGTTCCCGTTGTTCTTCACTGATAGGCAAGGGAGGCTGGGGCGGGAGGCCGCGGTTCATCCTACTCATCTCTTTCTTGTGCTGGCGGTCTTTCCGGTCCTGCTCGATCCGGGCCAGGGCGATCTTCCTGGCCTCCTCATCCCGCTGCTTCTGCCGTTTGACCTTCTCGACATGCTTCTGCTGCTCGCTCATCACGTTCTCCTTGTCGTCGGTGTTGCTAGGCTTCATCGCATCGGATCGCTCTTTGGGCATCAAGACCTCAGCATTGGCCTTTCGCATGGACCCTGCTCCCGAGAAAATCATCTTGCGAGCGACGCCAACCTCGACCAGGAACTCGGCAAATTGGTCGATGCGAACGCCATCCCAAGTCACGGTCTGTGTCTTGTATCCACCCCGGATGAACTCGTGTGGCGTGTTCTTGATGATGGCGGTGTTGACCACCTTCCGTTGCGAGAACATACCGCGGCAGGCAAGGTGGTAGTTCGAGGCATCGCGCGTCACTTTTCCGTCTGTTCCATGCACTGATAACTCGAGTTAGTGATTGCGTCCACGGAGATTAGGATACGTTAGTGGGGTTGCATGTGGGCATTCGAGGTCTTGCATGTGCCTCAGCAGTACCGTCATCCACACCACGGGAAAAGGGGTAAGAATAAGGAGAGATGTAACTCACTGCCGAGAAAGCCAGCCATGCGCAGGTCAGAAATTCCACCTACTGGGCATGGCGTGTGTAGTATCTGCTCGGTGAACTGTTGCTGCTTCGCAAGTGGCCCATCAGAGAGGTTGGTGGTAGTGGCTTCGGGCTCTGGAAAGCAGCCCATGGCGTCATGCGCTGCGATGGCAGTCTCGCCCTGGCCGCCTAGGATGACTTTCTTCAGACCGCCCACTCTCTGCGCCTCCTGCAAAATGATCTGGGTGATGTACGGGATCTTGCTCGTCGCATCCAGGCCCAGTTGAGCCATGTCGTCAGGTGATAGGCCGGTCCATGGCGACGACGTTGCGAGACTTGCTTCATGCTGCTTGGTGTGTGGGAAGACCCAGCGCACCGTCGGTAACTGCTCGCGCAAGGTCTTGTGGTTCTTGGTCAGCTTCTGGGCGAGGACCTTGGCGTTGAAGTCTTCATCCGAGATGTCGTCGGCAAACTTGTGCAGAAAGATGACGGTGAATTTGTGGTTGGTGGTTGGCTCCACGACCAGCGGCTTTCTGATGACTTGCGACATGATTCTCGATCTCGGTGGTGCGTGAGGAAGGTGTCGTTGAGTATTGTCGGTGGTGACTCAAATGAATATGCAGTGTCGGCCGGTTCACTAGGGTGGACGATAAATACCGAGCTAGAAAAGATGCTCATCAGCAGCAAACTTTGAATGATGAATGAAGGTTGTCCTCAAGGTGTGTGAACTTTGAAGGTGGGGTCGCCGTCGAGTGACTTAAAGTGGGCCGGGCAAACGGTACGTAGGTACCTCATACCTTTATATTGCTTTGCGGTAGTGTAGATAGAGGGGCACAACTCTTTCTGCTTGTGTATCAGGCAGCCATACTTGTGTTCGTCTGGTGGCCTTCTTTATCGTAGTTACTGTTCTCATATTGAGAGGTTGGGTGACTAAATCAGACTGATCCCATTCATGGGTGCCTGTTCTCATCCATTGAGAGGTCTGTGGCTGAATCAAACTACTCCTATTTATGGGTGCCCTAAACTTCAAGAGTGACAAAGGACATTGTGAATCATTAGCAGTCCATCAACTGGAGGAATCTAGAATGTGGGACAGATACCCAGTGCTTCTGGTACTCGCCAACAAGATCGCTACTGCTGGGGACACGTCCAAGTCTCATGAAAGAGTTAGAAATCAAATGAGTCTGGATTGAACCTCGGACTCATAAGGGTCTTCGGCATCGTGGCCCGGCATCGGTCTGTCGAAAAACAAGATAGGAATTCCACCAATAAGACCTTGACACATACGTGCTCAGTTCGAACTTGATTCCCTCCGAACTGAAGGCAGAGATGTGCTAGCAATAGGGCAACACAGACAAGATGGCAGGATTTATACGTGGCTTAAGGAGTCGCAAACGGCATGAAGTGCCCCCCCCTCAATGGTAAGCTACATCCTAGGACGGCCATGAGAGGGTCCTCGCCGAATGTACAGTATTTCCTAGTCTGTGGAAGTTCCGAGACGGTACCAATACAATGCATCATGCAACATGAGCTTGGTACCGTGTACGCCGACGTCTGCAGGATAGCCGCAACCTGGATGTTGTCATATGTAACCTCCGAATGATCATGCAGGAGTCCAGTCTTACGATGATGAAACACACAGAAATAAACAACTTCCCTGCGGCGAGTCTTCTCTCCAGCCAGGAACACTAGAATGCATCCGCTGAAAGCACCGAGGCTGTAGATGCAGATAGTGACACCTTCCGACACGCTCCCCGGATGACCGAACAGGTTCAGGGGGTCTGGATTGACAAGAATCCCAGCTGCACAGCCTTGGTGGTATCTATCTATGGCATTTGAGTATCCGTAGCCCTGGGCGTGGATAGTATCTTAAAAAGAACGAAGGCCATCTGGCATGAGACGGTGATCGCAGGGTACAGCTTGAGGCCGCTTCCAAACGTTGCAGTGTGTGGTCATGGTGGTCAGCGCATGGACAGCGACAGTATTATCCGGTGTTCAGGTGTAAAAATGGAAGAAGGACCGAAAGCATGAGGGAAATCTTGGCTATACATAGTTGCCTCATGTTCAAGGCCTCCCACCAGCACCGGACTGCCGGCTTGGTCTCCCACTCACTTGGAGTCTATCCAGTGCGGTGACTTGGGCGCGACGGTGATGGCGAGCAAGCATGATTAACCACGTAGTGACAGCACAGTTGGTGCTGTCATTGGTGCTGTTGCTTCTATACAGCACCATCTCCCGGGTCAGGCCCGGTCTACCCTCGATTCGGCGTCCGCGCATCCTTTTTCCTCGCATTCGTACCTAAGGGCCTGATCCACTCAACCGATCCACTCCACAATTCGAGCGTCTAGATGATATAGACAGGAATGATTGATTGATTGACTGTATTCATCGTGGGTGTAGTCCCTCAACAGGGCAAACCACGCCTCCCAGAGCCATTGCATCGCTAGGTTATAGAGGTGTCAGTCTAGATACATTCAGATCCGCACACGAACCTATCCTCGCTGTAGCGGTACCAATCTGGAGTGTCCAGATGGTTTTAGTCAATATCCAAGCACGAATCTGTCAGAAAAACTGTCCAGTGACAAAGCGACCAAGTGAACTTCAGTCCTCTGGTGTACACATCGTTCCAGTAGCCGTTCGATATACGTCGCATTGGTGGGTGAAGTAGGTATTTGTTATCTGCTGGCGAGGGCAACCACAAGGGAAAAACCTTGCAAGAATGGGTATTGTGGAGACAAGCTGCTTGACAATCGGGCTCTGCAATGATGGGGCCTCTCCACTGTTGTGTGCTGGTTGTCGACTCGCACAAGCCGGGTCAGAAGGGGGCCATAGCAGGATTCGAACCCACTTGTTCTCGTCACCCACCGCACAAACGAGAACACAAACAGGCACATTTGACCATTGCGCCATACGGCCAAATGTAGACAGGATATTGTGAGTATATTAAATCTGTTATCATGTCATGGAAACTGTCCATTCAAATCCACGAAGGGGTGTGGACGTATGTTGAATTGATCGCGCACTTGTTATATCATACTCTCGGTTATTCCCAATGCCCTGGCAAAAATCGGCCAACCGGTCCGGGATGTGCTGTTTACTAGGTTATTCCCGCCCTTTAATCCCATGGCAGGGTAGGTTTCTGCTACTGAGCCAGCCCCTTGCAGCCGCGAACGGAGCGAGAACGAGAATCTACAGGCTGTTGCCTGGCTGGGGGATCTGATTAGTTCTGATTGATAAGATTAGACGACAGGGGCCCAATTTTCCTTTGAGTCACAGCTTGCTTATCAGATCAAGCCCCCTGCCTCCCCCTATTTTATAAACGGGCACAAGATCGCTGGTATCCCCAGAAGACCCCTAGCACTGTGTCCTGCATCTCTAATCTGACTGACGTTCTTCACTGCTCGTCTCAATACATCCTATGATCACTCTATAGCAACTCCAAAGTTCATCCACACCTTCTCAGCATGGCTTCGAACAGCCAAGGCAATATCGCGATGGCCACGATTAGTCCAGTTGTCCCCTCAACTCTTGAAGCCAATCCAACGCTAATCAAGGGGATTGAACGTCAGTAGTCTTTCCACATAAGCAGCGTCGTCACGAGACTAGGTGCTCGTGACAGGCGTTCCCTATTCACAATGTCATCGTTCAACGCCTGCAACAGCATGTCCCACTGGCAGACTGACAGTACTGACCTGGCTCATTCCGATAGACTCACCCAACCCGCCCACCAAGAGCAGCGATCCATTCCTCGTCGTATTCGACGAGCCCTATGATGCCGAGAACCCCAAGGACTGGCCCACCGGCCGCAAATGGGCCGTGACCGACGTGCTGTCCGCGACCGGCTTCAACCGCATCATGGTCTCGACCATCATGGCACCAGCCCTCCCCAACATAGCCAAGGAGTTCAACATGAACTCGACCGAGTCCGCCATGGCTCTGTCTATCTACCTGCTCGCCACCGCCTTTGGTCCGCTCATCATCGGCCCCCTGTCCGAGATCTACGGCCGCAAGAGAGTCCTACATGCGTCTAACCTGTGGTTCCTGGTCTTCAACATTGCGTGCGGCTTCGCTTACTCGAAGGGGTTGTTGATTGCGGCCCGTTTCCTGGCGGGCTTTGGAGCCAGTGCCATCTATGCACTTGCTGCTGGCGTGCTTGGTGATGTATGGAGGCCCGAGCAGCGCGGCCGTTCGTTGGCTATGTACCTGCTCATTCCTTTGCTTGGTGCTGCTGTTGGTTCGTGACCCTATTGCTCTATGTCTCACTGTTTCAATGTAGTATGAGTACTGACCAAGATAGGCCCGATCATTGGCGGCTTCATAGCTTCCCGCACCACCTGGCGATGGATGTTCTGGTCCACGTCCATCTTCCAAGCCGTCATGGTACGTATATACCACCCTGGCTGTTGATCGCTTTAGCGGACATTGTCCTTACCCTTGATTAATTAACTCGAAGTGCTTTGGAATCGGAAGCGTATACTAACACACTTACAGATGGCTGTTTCCTTCGACGTATTCCGCGAGACATTCGCACCCCTGATCCTGCGCCGTCGAGCAGCGCGACTACGAAGCGAAACCGGCAACCAGCAGTACCACACCTTAGATGAACGTCTCAACGAGAAGAAGTCAGTCTCCGCAGTCCTCGTCCGCACCCTGTCCCGCCCTCTCCGCCTGCTGGCTTTCCACCCCATCATCCAGATCGTCGCCGTCATCTCAGCCTTCTACTACGGCATACTGTACATCGTGCTGTCGAGCTTCTCGGAGCTGTGGGTGAACCAGTACCACCAATCCGTCGAGATCAGTGGCCTGCACTACATCGCAGTGGTCATCGGCGAGATCGGAGGCAGCCAGCTCGGCGGGCCCTTGATGGACTTCCTCTACCGCCGCTCTATACAAAAGGCCCGCACCACCAACGGCGAACTTGCCCCCGCCCCCGAGAGTCGCGTCCCGATGACGTTCATCGGCGCGCTCATCGCGCCGCTTGGTCTGTTCATCTACGGCTGGACGGCGCAGTACCATGTGCACTGGGTCGCCGTCGATGCCGGGATCGTCGTGGCTTGTCTGGGCATGCAGATGACCGACATCCCGCTCACGGCGTACGTCATCGACGCCTACCCGGAACACACGAGCAGTGCCGCGGGCGCGAAGCAGTTTCTGAGAAGCATGACGGCTTTCCTGTTCCCGCTGTTCACCCCGGTCATGTATAACGCGCTCGGCTATGGGTGGGGAAACAGCACCTTGGCTTTTGCTGGGTTGGTGCTTGGATTGCCGGCTCCGTTGATTATATATTTCTATGGAGCAAGGCTGAGGGCGAAGGCCGCTTCAAGTTACTAGCTTCTGCTTAAAGCTTCAGCAGGGGGTTGAGGCGAGGTCATTGGGATAGTTAGGGGTAGGCTGTGGTCTGGTCGACTGTGACCTGGCAAGTACCTCGGAGGCGCGAGTGTCAGTCGGAGTTTGTGACCCAGTCCAACCTTATGAGACGAGAGAGCTGAGGGTAAATGATAGGCTTCGGATTCGGATTGTCAATAGGCAGGTAGGGGTGATGGATACGTGGAGAACTCAAGGGTGAAATATTTCTAGGGATCGATTCGTCTTGGAACATCTACTATATGCTCAAGTACCTGGACCAACGCTACGCAGGATCGTGGCCAGTAGCTATTCCCTGTGAGCTGCACGCATAATCTTTAACATTGTTTTTAATATCTTCGACACTATCTTCGACATCATCACCGAACACTATGTCTCCGCTCACCATACCCAACACATCGGCCCCGTCCAAGGTCTACTGGTCTGCAGACATCATTGCATGCCCAGACATGCATCTGATCTATTCGGTGATTCCATCACTAACCAAAAGCAGAAGCCGGGGCAAACCGTGCGGGTGCTCACGAGTCAATCGATAACATCAGCTCGATGAAGTCTAGCTTTCAATTATACTGATACATATACACAGAATAAAACACACTCAATATCATACCCAGTACCACACAATACCAACAAGTAAACCCCACTCCCATACGCCCACGCCTTCTCCCCTCCAGCAAGAAACCAGCAAGAACCAGCCTTCTACGTCCCGACAGGTGTTCCCTCCACCTCGCAAACAAAGTCCGGATCCTTGCCCAGGGGAAACTTGCCGAACGAAGATGCGCCGAATGAAGATGCACTGAACGCGGGACCAGGCAGCAGCTCATATGGCGGCCGCTCGTGCGCGCGACTGGGGAGCAGATCACGATCACATGTTGGCTGCCCGTATGCGGGTTGTTCGTATACCGGGTTCTCGTACGCGGGTTGCTCATACGCCGAGGTCTCATACGCAGGCCGCTCATACGCGGGTCGCTCATACGTCGGTTTCTCATACGCCGGCCGCTCGTACGCCGGTTTCTCGTACGCCGGTCTCTCATACACCGGGTTCTTATACAGCGGGTTCTCATACGCCGGTCGCTCATACGCCGGTCTCTCATACGTCGGTCTCTCGTAAGCCGGTCTCTCGTATGTCGATTCAGCATACGACGACCCAGCCTCTGTGGTGGCGCGCGTACTGTAAGGGTCGACTGTAGTCTCGGCACTCACGTCACTGATGGGGCTCACGGGAGTATCCATGTCAGTCATCGTGGCAGTGCCGATGGTGCCATCTTCAGTCTCGGCCGTGTGGTTAGTGCCGGCAAGAGACGTGGCGACCGACGGCTTTTTCTCGATGGAAGACGTGACTAGACGTATCAAATATCAGCTTCGGCTGACCAAAGCAGCAGCTAACTCAGAGGAATAGGAATAGGAAGGAAGCATGACCTACCAGCCTGCTGCACCACGCCCCCATCCTCCGCCATCAGCCGGCGCGGAAACCCACTGATAGGCAGGGCCTTGACGCCGTTCGAGTACGCGGCCGGCTGCAGGCACAGCGAGATCTTGGTCTCGGACTGCTCGGTCGCGGCGTTGACGCGGATGGGGTCGAGGTGGAAGTTGCCCTGCAGGTGCATGTCCTGCAGCACCGTCTCCGACAGCACGAGCTTGTGCACCGGCCACGACGCCCCCTCGTTCTCCTCCTCCAGCAGGAAGTACGGCTCGAAGTCGCCCTGCAGCAGCGAGATCAGGAACCAGGCTAGGGCCTTTAGCTCGGGCGATAGGGGCCGGAATCGGCAGAAGATGGATCCTGGTGTTATGGTCAGTATCTAGTTCTGTCTGCACATAACTTGGGAATGGGAGAGCGTAATGGTGGTAAGTAAGTGAGTGCAGGTCAATGGTCGTACCTGTGCATGTGAAGCCCGAATCCGTCTGCCTGACGCTGCTCACATCCTTCTCGAAGAAGAACGTGCTCGCGACAAGCCGATGCGCAATCTCCACGATCTCCTGGGCGCCCTGGCGCAGCACCTCCCTGGCCTCGCGCTCGAGGTCGTCCATCTTGTGCACGTCGTCGAACTTGGGCAGCTTGGTGAAGAGCTCGGGGCTGATGCGCTTGTAGCGCCAGCGGTCGGCGCCGGGCCGCGCCGGCTTGCTCGTCACGAAGCGGTTCCACGTCCGGTCGCCCTGCCGCGAGTCGTTGAGCCGGTCCGTCTGGCCCGACAGCGGGTTGTGGAACGAGATTAGCATGGGCGCCTGCGGGTTGCGGATCACGATCCCGTTGCTGGCCGTCTTGTGGGTGGATGGGTCCAGGGGCGATGCGGATGAGCTCTCGCGGCGCTTGTAGTTGCCCATGCCGCCTCGCCCCTGGCGGATGATGGCACTGGGTACCGGCGCTGTTGTTACACTGTTTGACTCGGTCGTGACCGTCCGCAAAGACGGGGCACCATGGAGGTCGTCCAGGTTACTCAGGTTACTGTCGCCTATGTTACGCCCGGTGCCGATAGAAAGCACGAGATCGGGTGCTTCGAAGGCGACGTCGGTCCATATCGCCTGAGCCTCGTGGTGGGCTGTGGCAATCGGGCACATGAAGCGCATGTCATTGTTGGCATACTCGCTCTTGGTTTCGGGCTTCGTGTAAGACTTGAACAGCGGCGCAGTTGCTGCTGTAGCTCGAGCACTTCATGCATTCAGGGTCAGCACTACGTCAGGGGTTCGCATGTGGTCAGAGAACTTACGCTTCCCACATCCGTACCTCCCTTTCTGGCACATCAGATCGAGTGAATTGGTATGGGAGAACTGCTCACGGTACCAGTCAGCATTCCTCAATTCATGATTGGGTAGTTAATGTGCGGCGTTGCTCACTCATTGCGGTCGGATCCGGACGATTGTAGTTCGCAAAGACAACAGCTTGCCCATCCATAGTCCTCCGGGCGGTAATGGCAACCCTATTCGAAGTAGTGAGACGGGACTTGTGGGTAGAACCACCGAAAAAGGGCTGGTCGGAGAAGTATCTCTTCAGCGCTTTCTCGAAAGGTTGCGTCTTGTACAGACTGCCATGGTAGAGACTTGACAGCGCCCCGAATAACGGTATGCTGGTCATCTCCCGAGGGTTGAAGGCCTCTCGGCAGAGGTCTTTGAACTTCAAAATAGTGCCGTTGACGGTCCATTTCTTCACTCCCAGACCGATCGCGATGATGCCGCCAGTGCTTGAAACCAGGTTAGTTGTGTATGCCGACTTATCGACGGAGCTACCACTCACTTGGTCCCCACGATCAAATCAAAGAACAGCTGGATTGGCAAGTCAGGCCCCAGTACTTTTTCTATCTCTCTTAGAACTTGAAGCTGCACAATGCCTCGGACACCCCCACTACGATGTGTTAGTGATGAATTCATGGGCTAAGAATCCCACAGGGGAGCATACCCATCAAGGCTAAGAGTGCGCACGCCAGCAAATCGCGGTTTCGTCGTAACAACCCAAGCGGGATTTGAGATAATATCGCGGACGTGTAGAGGGCATCGCCGAATTTCGATTGTCGTCCTCGATGTCCGGGTTCCGTAAGTCTCGATACATGGGGTACACAGTACGTGACCGCACTGCAAATACAGTTAGTCAATGCCCACCATCCGTGGATGCAACCGGAGCGCTGGAAGCAACCTGGGTCTCTGAAGCCGTGACACTTGTTCCAAGAAATCACGGAAGATCAACGGAATAAAACGCTCATGGAGGACATACCGGTAATGCGCACTCGGGGAGCTCTCTCAAGCAGCACAAGCAGGCAGAGTAGCTGATATAATTAGTCGCGCAGCCCAGGACATTAGAGTAAAGCTCGTTCAGGCGCTCCTGATGCAGCAGGGCAGCAATCTCCAGCTCCGTCCTTTCCTGGAACTCATGTGCCAGCCTGAAACTGGAAGATTGGACCTGGACCAGGCTCGCTCGTATTAGTTGTTCCCACACCGGCAGGAATCCGGGGGCGTCAAAGTTGGACTCGTACTCCCCGTTTCCGATGATTTTTCCCTGCTTGTTCTGGTGGCCTTTCGGGTTATGACCTGATCGGACGTTACAGCACTGGCCAAGGTCTCCGCTGAGCGATGGGTTCGTGAAGCTGCAGGGCCAATACATGTTTGCGAACGTCTGCAGTGCACCCACGCAAGCGCTGGCGTAGCGATCATCCAGGAGACGACTCACAGTGCCTGACCTCGAGTCAGTAAAGCTACACTTCACGAACAAAGAGGGGTCCTGTTCAGGTAATGACAAGTGTCATTATCCGAGACTCACCTGGGAGCTTCTGCCGTACGGCGTCAAGCATGACGCAGGAGGCTATCACCGGTCCTATGACCCGAAAGATCTGTTCCGCATCGCTCTGGAGAACCATTGGTGTTGGGCTGTTCTTGATCGACAAGGCCAAGTTCAGTATGTTTCCCTCAAAGGTCCGAGACACTGGGCTGTGTCGCAGCGTCTCCTTGACAAAGTCAAACGGGGTATTGAGATCCCGGGTGAAATGGTCGTATGCTGCTTGAAGGTAAAACTGAAGCTTGTCCGTATTTGCCAGCATGCGCATCTGCTTTTTCTTGGCATGTGATGCCTCACATTTCTCTCTCAACAGGTCTGAGAGCTTGCCGGCCTGCTCGTTCATCAACACTGGTTGACAATTAGCATGCTCCTCAAGAAGAGACCTCGGCGACGCGGCTTCCGCCAGCTGTAGGTTGAAGAGGTGCCGGTGGGAAGTCACTTACTGTATGAGCCCTTATAGGGTACCCTGATGACGCTGATAGACGCGTAATAGCATTCCAGAAGCTCCTTCGTACTCTTGATTTTCCTCCCGCGTTTCTGCCACACCCGTACGTACTCCTGCAGGACCGGCTCCCGCGAGATCGCCTCCTTGATGTCGGACATGAGCAACTCCGTAGCCTTGGCGATGTCCCATTCCTTCTCATCGACGTTGATATCGGTAGCGTTGAGCACGATGACTGCGTGCGGAAGCACGGGCTGGTTGATGGACTTGTCGATCGAAGCCGCACCCCACCGTATTAGCTTGTGCAGCACCGTTGACTCGAAGGACCGCGGATTCCGCAACACAAAGACCACGACATCGCTGAATGTGTAGAGAATGCGGGGGTACAGTTGGCTGACTGCAAACTCTCGCTTCTGCGTCTGTGGTGTCTCTGCCCACTCGATCTTGCGCGGTGCTGTGTGTCCCCTCGGACGGATTCCGACTGAGGGTGAAGTCGGGTCTTCCGACGCATATCTTAGCTGCTTGGGTACGGCCTCCCCGCCGTTGAGGCCCTCGCAGTCTACCAAGAGCAGCGGGTGGTTGCTCTGTAATGATGCCGGGTCGGCATACAGATGAACATCACCCGTGGTGGATATGCGATCTTGGTTAGAGGATGTCACTGGAGAGTAGTATCTGGACTCCTGAGAAGAAGTCAAGTCTTGTCTGTCGATCAAAAGCTTGATCAGGGTACTCTTTCCAGCACCTGCAGAAGTCGTCAGTAGAGTCTCAGACCGCGAACGGCAGTAACACAGCCCATCGCCGCTAATCATCGTACCGGTTTCTCCAATGAAGGATGCAAGCTGAGGATAGCGCTCGGTTGTGTCGTCGGTCTGGGTCTCGCCCATGATAGCAGCAAAACGTCCATAATCATGGAGCATAGGATGGCCTTGGGCGTCTCGCCCGAAGCCGAACCATGTCGTATCTTGGTCGTCGAGGAGCTCGGCTTCGTGATCTACCTCTGAGCGGCTCGGTTCCAGGATCTGCCGGAGACGGTGGACGACAACCGGATCCGCCTTCTCATGTGGTTTCCCGTTCCTGTCGATGATCCATGGCGGTTAGTTTAGGCACATCTATGCCGTTCTACCCCGACATAAGGGGTTATAGACTCGAGCACTCGGGGTATAACGGCTATTTGGTTCGGTATACATACCATCCTACCGCCCCGGCAGTGTGCAAGACCCATTTCGGCCAGTCCGCATCACAGAAGGCCAGATTATTGCATTGTGTACAAGTAAACGTCTTCTCGGCCTTCGTACCGCAGGTGTGGCAAGATTGCGATAGCTGATCGAGTGTCATCATAACGAGCTGGCCGTGCGTCGTGAGCTAGGTATGAATACTAGTCGATCAGAATACGTAACCGTTTGTCAAGTAAACAGAGGAGAACAATACTCGAGGATCCAGCAGGTGGGCTGGCCGCGCATTTTCCCCTCATCACCAGACAGCCAGCCGCACGAAGTTTCCGGTCGAGTGGGTTTGGATCCTCCCGGGATGGCAGGATACGCGTCGTTTGGCAGTGGAGCCGAGCAGGCAACGCGGATGTGCAATCCACAAGCTGGCAGTGGCATGTCTGATGTCACGAGGATGTCTCTGTCTCAATGTAACATCGCGGGGATCTGGGGTTATTAAAGGCGGAATTCGCACTCTGCCACTCTACCATGATTGGCCTCATGATACGGGGGTATGTCAGCCATGTGCCCCGTACGTACATAACTGCTCTTGCGGGGCTTGTGTTGGTGTTCTATTTATATCCATCACGATGCCGGGACGGGTATGTAGCACAGCAGCCCAATGCATCCCATGGGCCTTTTGGGGGACTTATGATGGGTTACCATCCGCGTCGCATGCATATCTGCACTGTAACTGGATGCGGCCGTGTGAACAAACGTTGCGAGCACAACTCTCTATCGGGGAGAGTGAGGGTCGAAAGAGTCGCACACCGCGATTTGAACAGCCCCGAGAAAGCTCTTCATGAATGCCATAAGTGAGTGATGGAGGAATCAGGATGAAAGTAAAAGTACCATTCTCGTGCCATCGTATAATCGGGGTGCCACATTCCCCGGGAAGGATGCAGAGACGGCTATCGCCATTGGTTCGTCCGATCAGAGCAATTACAAGTCGAGATTGTCGATGTGCGGTAAGGATCATGACGGGCCATGATTCATGAGTCGTGACAGGTGCGCTCAGCGGCCCCAGACAACCTGGAACTGTGTGCCTTGCATAAGCTGATGATCGTTGCCGACTTCGGCACCAAGCCCGATGAGCTTATGAGGACGGACCTGGCAGGGTGAGCATCCTTCAGGATCTATCTTATCTTACCGCAGTAGTATCTTTCGGCGCTTACTCCGGTCGTAATACCTAAATATCTAGGCGAGCCGGCATGGTATAACAATGACCTCGGGATTTGCGTTCCTCCTCATCGTCCCCCGCGGAATTGAACCGAACTTGGTTGTGCACTAGGTCTCTTCTAGCTACCCAACGGGATCTATTCCCATAATCTGCCTTGTAGGCCGCTGCCGACAGGGAGCCGCCCCACCATAGCGTCGGCACTCGTGGGGATCTCATGCCTGATCCCATCGGTCGACCCGCAGTCTTTCGAGTCTAGACCCGCATAGAGAGCAGTTATCGTGGGGCGTTATCGTCGGTGCACAACTTCACAAGAGGAGTCTGGACCTCACTTCTTCTACTAGGACCTCTTCGATCTTCGGGTCCAAGTCCATGGTTCTGCTACTTTTGGCTCGGGAATAGAAATCGGTAGCAAAACAGAGCAGGCCAGAAATCAACCAAGTGTTCTCTACTGTTACATCAGTACTCAATGTGCTCTTTCCAATCACTGACTGCATCATGTTCACATTCATTGCCCTGATAGGTTGTGCAAGCAGAGATTCATTACTGCCTTGTGGTATCTGCTAGCAAGGAACATCCAGTAGAATCAGCAACGGTCTGGGGTTGCCATTCCATCCGACTGCTCCTGTAGCAATCGCATAGTCTAGGTGAATGCGTTAGGCGGGTGGTTGCTTCCAAACTCCCGACCCTATCCGTATTCCTCCATCTACCAGATCAATTCTCCTTGTACTGCATTGGACTGTACTCGAATCCTCGGCTCGTCAAGTCTCCCTGAGGCAATCCGTTGACAGCGACGTCGTGCAGGAAGCCGGCGCTCTGCATCGTGGAGTCCTCAAGGCGGACGTTGAGGAAGTCCAAGCCGCGCGAGGTGGCTCCGCCGTGCCAGAATCCCTCGATCTTCATACCCTTCGCGATCTCCTTGACGATGTGTCGCTCCCACGTGTGGACGGGCGGTTCGACCTGGCCGTGCTTCTGCCAGTCGTCGTGCAGCGGGTCGTAGATGATGACCTCAATCTTTTGGCCCTGGAGTCTTCGCACGATGAATACCAGTCCGATCTTCTCGCAGTCCTCGTACCAGTATCGGGATCGTGACTGGTGTCGGTTCGCGTCAAAGCCCTCTTCCCAGCACTTCTGGCCTCCCTAGGGCCAGAAGGAGAAGAGGCCGATGACCATGGATCGACCACGGCCGGTGAGCTGGTCCTTGGTGTAGTCGATGAACTCGGGCAGAGTGTCGTACATCTTGGAACAGCCTCCCGTGGCGACGAACCTGTCTTTCTTGTCGCCAGCGTCGAGGAATCCGATGGGTGCCATGTACAAGGACCAGTCGACAGTTGTGGGAGTCGCGGGCTTGTGCTTCGTAAGGCCGAGCCAGCACAGGAAGAGCTTCACGTCGGTGGGATGGAAACGACTCGTGGGGATCAACGGGATGTCCTCGTTCTGGATCGTCTTGCTGTGGTCGAGGCCGAAGAGTTGCCATCGGATGCGGCTGTCAGTGATCCACATGCACTCCGCCTGGTTGAAATGGGCCGGAGGCCAGGTGATCGACGACAGAGCGGACGAGGACTCCGGGGTCGAGGATGAGAGCTGGAGCTGGCCCAGCTGCTGGCCCAGCTGGCCTAGCTGCATTCGTTGTTGGTCCGCCTGGGTAGGGCGGAGCTGAAGCGTAAACTCTTGAGCGGGGCCCAGTGCTACGACTTGGTCGTGAAAGTCGATGAAGCGGTCCACCAGCTGGGTAAGCTTGGTGTCGACGTGTCCGGATTGCGGGTTGTAGTTCTGCCGGGCGCGGACGAGGGAAAAGACAAGATCGCTGACGTCGCCGGTTTCGAGGTGGTTGAGGACCTCCCACTCACCAGTGACGGTCTTCCAGTAGGCAGAGCTGACGCAAAGAGCTAGTCCGAGCGTCTGGTGTTCAAGGCAGATCTCGAACAGCTTCTCCAGTGCCTCGCATGCTCTGGCCTCGAGGTCCACAGGCTTGTTCTTCTTGATGTCGGTGCCGAGTACCGCGTCATAGATTCGCTGGGTGACTGCATTCGTGGAGCCAAGGGCGCCTCCACCAATCGCGAAACCAGCTTGCTTGAACGCCTTCTTCTTGGTCGACGACATGACGGCTTGCGGGCGTCGTCGGATGTCGTGGTGGGATGTGGAATGTGGGATGAGAAACGCAAGAAATCCAAGCAATGTGTAAGAAGAACGATCTCGGAGGAAGGTCCTAGGATCGATTCTTGAGGGAAGATGGTTGTGGGGGATGGTTGGAGAGGCAAGATGTGGGGGTGAACAATGCGTGGAAGAAAAGTGTGGGATGAATGGTTTAGAAGGGATATTGGGGGTGGGAAAGGCGAGTTGCTGGCTGGGAGCAACACACTGAGGGATGGAATCGAAGAAAATTTGCTTTTGCACAGGTGATGTGCCTCAGGGACAACGAGGTTGCTGGGCAGGGGTTTTACCGCTCAAGTTGCGAATTACCCCTGAGCCTATCATTTTATCCTCGAAGTCAACGACGGCGGGTCAGGCGAGCTGTAGAGTGAACTAAAGACAAACATGTACCTGTTATAAGCGGTGAAGGACATGGCACGTCCTTGAATTCATCCGATCTCCGTGGCCAATCATTCTATCTCCGGGTGCAATTGGGTCACGAGATGATCGAGTGGGCAGTGCAAGGCCTCCGTGATCGAGCGAATGAACCAGAGGTTTCTTATCTAGCCTGTAGACTCCTGCAGATTATACCCACAACCCAAGTAGTCAGCCTGTAAGGGATGCCAGGCTGACTGTTTCGATATGAATGGCAGAAGCTGACATCTCGGCTCAGTCTCATTCAACTTGCCAGCTGAGACGATACGGAGCCGCGATGATTCATCAGACCATGATGGTGACTGAAACCCTATTCACCAGTGAAAGATCTTTACGACACTCCAAAACTCTCGGGCTCACGGCTATGAGCACAGTGATTCTCGAGTGGTGGGAATTCCGTGCAATCAAAACTGGTACGGCTTACTGGTCCATCGGGATGCTGGAGTGATCATGAAGGGGCCTCTGTGCGTGAGTGAACAGCGTGGCGGTAAGTATGCAGCATAATTCTGATGGCCTGTCGAGTAAGCACTGGTGATGGCTGATTGACATCTGGAGAAGGCTTCAAGTCATGTTCATAGGTAGGTAGGCAAGAATAGAATTTGGCTGATACGTTGTTCTGAGAGTGCACGATGACATTGGCTGCGGGAGCGGGGAGCATTACGAACACACGAAAAGTTACCGAGATGAAAGGCTGCAGGTCGAGACAGTGATGCGAATATGAGCGGTGGACATAACCTATACAATTTTCCTTGGGATCAGCTCGCTGCACTTGCATTTTCAATCTAGAAATGTATGTCATGTGACCAACCACCTGGCATGGGCGGGTGGTTGGGTGGAAGGGTACTTGTATCGAATGGTTGAACTTTTTTCCACAAGGAAACAAGCAGCGTCACCTTTGTGGCGTAGTTAGGATGAGTAATTTCACGTTCGGTATGGCCAGGCCTTAGGGTACCGAGTTCGAATCGAGCAAATGGGAAACCAGCGATTTGAATAGTGATCGGAGATCGTACCGGCTAGCTTGCTTCCTCCCAATTCTTGATTTCTGACGCAGGAATTCATTTTTTGTCCATGTAGCAACTGTATCAGTGCTGCACTGATTTTTAATTATCTGTTTTCTAGCTATGTGTTGTACTTTTTTTCCCGGCCACCTGTTCGTGCCTCTTTTGCTATGTTGTAGATGCGGCATGTGTTGCTTTGGTGACTTAGTAGCTGGCTTTCGTTTTACTCCGAGGGCCTAGCAATGATGATTCTTCCGAGTCAGCAACCATTGTTTCGAAACTATGATGTCTGCCAGATGACCATCACCACTGCTAGCGCATATCTGCCACACTTTGCCGGCTCGCGGCAGAGATCTAGTTCACGGCAAAGGCTGTACGCAGCATTGACAACTTAGCGACTCTATGGCAGCAGCAACACCTTGCTATAAGGACTTATGGGATACAGTCCCCGCCGCACCACAGCCGAGTACGATGACTTCACAACGTGACATGGTGTTTGCCTCAAACCTTTCCATCTCTTGTCGAGCCCCATATAATGAATCCTCACTTGAAGCTAATGCGCTTAACGAATACGGTGTCTGCCTTGGGATAACTGCCTGCACATAAGGAGAAGCTGCTGTCTTATCCCCCAAACCCACCGGTGCGGACAAATACTCCATCAAGCTCACCGTCTAGGCCGCTACCATAGCAAATGTAGCACGGTTGTTGAATTCATCTGATCTCACCAACCAATCATCCTAGCCATGAGATGTTGTTGCGTATGGGATGATGAAATACCCAGTGTGAGGTCCCGATGGCATATGCAGTGAAGTGATAAGGCCATTGTTCGAACGATGGTGTGGTATTCGAGCTTGTACCTGTAATCTAGGCCATGAGTCTAGTAAGGCCGCCGGGTTGATGTTGTCGAGTGAAATACAACGAATTAGGTAGACCGGGCCTTCATAGAGACACTGTATAAGCATAGCCGAGCAGCTCCCCTTGATCCAACGGCAGCCCCCTATTCCAGATATTTATGTGACACAGTACGACCGGCAAAGCAAATGCATCCGTGTCTTCTTCACCTATCACGCTGCCTGTCTCAGACATGATTTTCTCTTGCTGATGCCCCGCCTGAAGGCCCAGTTGACCTGAATGCGGATAATGTGTACGGCATCTAGCAGAGCAACACAGGCGCAAGGTTTTCATGAGGAGCATGCGGAACTCCACTACATTCATAGTATCGCGGGCACCAACGTCAAGCTACCTAGGTTTAGGCACGCCTGATGACGGGAGAACAGGATTGATCTAAAACCCCGAGGCTTCGAGTAATGGATAGGTAGGGTCATGGTCGCGACGCCGGTTCCACACACGCCGCCATGTCTTTCTACCTTGGCTTCTCCTTCATAAATGAAGGTAAACTACACTCGGCAAAGCACCTGATTTCTGCTCGCTCCGTCCCATACAATCAGTCCTGAATCGACCGTCGATCACAGGTACACCGAATCTCCAGAAGTTTCCGTACACCACTCGTCCACCAAGCGAAATACGTATTTACTATAGTTAACTGGAATAAGCAGTCTGGAATAAGCATCAAATATGGCTAATCGGATGGGACCTGCTTATTCCAAGGTGATTATTCCACTAATACGGATGTAGCATTAATATCCAAGAGTTGACAGGACATGACGGACGGAGACTTATGAGGGGTGACTGTACCATTGTCGGTGCCGCTGTCAGCACAGTCCAAGGGCTTTAGCAAGGAGCATGAAGCATACCTGCCCCTATGCTTGCTGGCAGATACCGGTGAGCTCCATTCCCGTCAAGTTTAACGCCAACTGCTGCTTGATGCCGTCTCATCCAGCTTCTGCACAAAAAACTGTGGTGCGTATAAGAAATTGTGGCAAAGTCCGCGGTGTCAAATTGACAAGACACGACCAACAACCTACTTCCACGTCCTCTCGCAAGGTACCATCACGCAATCCCCGGCTCTCTCCACCACCGACAAGCAAACCAAACCACCCTTGCCCCCGTCCGAGCCTGCAGCCTCGTCCTCCACCCCTCATCCACGGCCCCAAACACCCTCACAACCCTCAACCCCTTCATCCCCCCAATCACCCCAAAGAACTCATCCTCCTTCTTGCGATTCAGCCTGCCCTCCCACCCCTTCTCCCCCACCATCCTCGGGTGCCAATCCAACGTCAAACACTCCAGCGCCTCCGCGCGCCCCTCCCTCACGACCTGCCGAAAGAACTCCAGCCACGCGTTCCACGCCGGGTACTCCGCCGCCAGCACCAGCACCAGGCGCCTCAGGCGCGCCAAGCACAAATTGCCGTGGACGGCGAACCCGATGCGGCGGCCGTGGCGGCCCTGCGTGTGGATGCGCAGAACCGCTTCGTAGTGCACGAGGGGCGCCAGGTCGCGGTAAGCCGCCCGGCTGGCGAACATCAGGCGCGGCAGCGGCGTGGAGTGCCGCTCGCCCGACTCGAGGTAGTCGTGCAGCGGCCGCAGCGAGTCGCCGAAGTCGCCGTGGTCGAAGCTGAGGTAGTAGTCGTAGATGCGCTCGCGCACCTCGAGGGGCAGGTTGAGGAGGGGCGAGGGCGAGGGCGAGGGGTCGGCTGCTGCCATCGTGGTCGGTCCGTGAGATGGGTGAGTGGGTGGCTTGAAGATGGGGAATGGGAATGGAGGCGTTTGGTATGGCGAGGCGCTTCAATGGTCACAGCTTAATCATAGATGCATTTGCTGGTCGAGGGATTTCATTTGCTGGTCTCACGGGATTGGGATGTCTTTTTTACATGACTCGTGTTGATTTGACCCCAGAATTCACGTGTTGTTGGCTGGACAATGCGGATTCGAATCCCTGTTCTTATACCGTAGATGGCATTAGGGCGACATTTGGAGGTGAACAGCCAAGCTGTCTGGCTGTCAGCACAACCACGTGATCTTCGATGATTACGAAGGCTGCGGTTTGGACAACACGATATACTCAGTCCGTATCCGGCTCATACTAAGTACCCAGCCAATAATCCGGCCATAATGGTATGCAGGTATTTACTGGTTCGAAGCCGTCGGCCATTGGCTACCTGAAACAGCGTTACGAGCAATACTGTGTGCATCATCACTGGCAAGAAGAATGGCATGTGCTTCATGAGAGATTCGGCTCTAATAGAATGTTTCAATAGCTACATAGGTATTCAGTCCGAAGAAGTTGTCAACAATCTCGTCGACCAAGAAACTCTGTGCTCACACGCCATGCTGACACCCAACCTGCCTACTCAAGTACGCAGTCAACCCAACACTTGTCCAAACAACAGTTCACTCGGCCTCTTCAGCGCCTCCGTCATCCATCTCCTCCGGGTACTCCTCCTCGACATCGTCGTCGATGGAGGCGTCCTGGTACTGCTGATACTCGCTGATCAGATCGTTCAAGTTGGACTCGGCCTCAGTGAATTCCATCTCGTCCATGCCCTCGTTCGTGTACCAATGCAAGAAAGCACGGCGCCGGAACATGGCCGAGAACTGATCGCCAACGCGCTTCAGGATCTCCTGCAGCGAGGTCGAGTTGCCCACGAACGTTCCGCCCAGTGCCAGTCCCTTGGGCGGCACCTCGCAGAGGGTGGTCTGGATGTTGTTGGGGATCCAGTCAACAAAGTACGATGAGTTGCGGTCCTGGAGCGTGCGGATCTGGTCCTCAACTTCCTTTCCGGAAACCTTGCCGCGGCTGTAAAAGTTGGTTAGCAGCTAGCCTGGTAGATATCGTTCACCACAGAACGAAGATCATGGATAACCAAGAGAAAAACGTACAAGATCGCAGAGCAGGTCAAGAAGCGGCCATTACGGAAGTCACACGCCGCCATCATGTTTCTCGGATCGAACATCTCCTGCGTAAGGGCCTGAGTGTTCATGTTGCGGAAGGCTTTCGCGCCGGGCGTAGTGCTCGTCAAGGGCGCCGAGCCCACCATGAAGAAGTGCAGTCGCGGGAACGGCACCATGTTAACGGCCAGCTTTCTCAGGTCCGAGTTGAGCTGACCGGGGAAGCGGAGCGAGGTCGAGATACCTGACATGACGGTCGAAACCAGGTGGTTGAGATCACCGTACGATGGGTGTGCAAGCTTCAAGGAGCGGTTGCAGATATCGTAAAGCGCCTCGTTGTCGATACAGAAGGTCTCATCTGCATTCTCAACAAGCTGATGGATTGACAGCGTGGCGTTGTACGGCTCCACAACGGTGTCGGAGACCTTGGGGGACGGGATCACAGAGTAGGTGGCCATGATGCGGTCTGGGAACTCCTCGCGCACCTTGGCAAGAAGAAGTGTTCCCATGCCTGCGCCGGTGCCACCGCCGACAGAGTGGGTAATCTAATCCAGTAAAGAGTCAGCATACGCAAGTTGACGACTTCTGAGGGCGACTTGACCCTCATCTCATCATTGGCCAAGGACATGGATCTTGGAGAATGCAATCGCAAAACAGGATGATCCGAGATCAGATAGAAAAGGGGAATCCAAGGCAATGGCGACTAACCTGGAAGCCCTGCAGGCAATCACAGCCTTCGGCCTCGCGACGAACAACATCGAGCACGTCGTCGACGAGCTCAGCACCCTCGGTGTAATGGCCCTTGGCCCAGTTGTTGCCGGCGCCCGACTGCCCAGTCACAATGTTGTCCGGGCGAAACAGGCCGCCGTAAGGACCACTGCGAACAGCGTCAACGGCGCCAGGCTCCAGATCGACGAGCACAGCACGCGGGACGTATCGCTCACGAGCTCCCTGCAGGTGACACGTGTGAGCACATCATAGTTGGGATTGGGAGGGGTCGCGGCGACGAACCTCGTTGAAGTAGACGCCCATGCGGGCGCGTTGGACCTCGGCATCGCCGTGGTAGGCGCCTTGGGTGTCGAGGCCATGCTCGCGGGAGATGGTCTCCCAGAAGGCGGCGCCGACTTGGTTGCCCTGAGTCAGGGCGCGTCAGTCAATCCCTTCTTCACGTGGGCGCGCGTCAATGGGTATCTTACACATTGGCCGGCAGAGAGGGATATCTAAGGAGTGACGGTTAGCGGGTGATCATGTGATCAAGGCACATCCTGGTCTTGGGAGATGTGTCGGTGAGGAAGGAGAACTCACAATCTCGCGCATCTTGACTGACTCGTAGGTAGGTAACAGGAAGTGCGAAGGAGGTATGTTGCAGGACAAGGTGAATGCGACAAAGCTCGAGAGGATGTACAGCGCCTAGGTTAATGTCGCGATGCTGCTTACGGGGTTGATGCGCAAGCTGAAGGGGAAGGTGTTGGTGGTCTGTCGCGTTATTGAAGATTTTCGGGGTCTCAAATTCGTGGCAGCCTAGCACGTGCAGTGCATGTAAACATCAATACCAGACCTGTCAATAATTGGTTATGCACCTCAGCAACAGGCAACCCATAAAAGCATCACCATGTCCGTAAGCACTATAGCGCTAGGCTGCAGTAAGCCTATCTCGCTTGATCCCCACCACACGATAAGCTTATAACACGGATTACCACCCTGCAGGTGCAAGCGAGCCCGAACTTTTGAAAGCCGTTGGGCTTGAATGCGCTGTCGGCGTTTCAGTGCGCATCATTCCGGATCCGCCACGTAGGTAGGTACCTATCACAACGAGAAGGAAAAGGAGGTGGCGCCTTTCATTTGGGAATTTCCCACTGCTTCATTCGGCATGGTGCTCTGCAATCCGGAGCTGGGACAGTCTGATGAGGCCCCACGAGCCACGACCGTATCTCAATTGGCACACCGCCTACTACCCAAAAGCCGGAGAAAGAGAAAGAGAGACATACGAATAGACAAGTCACGTCTCACGCAGTCCACTGTACGTAACTAATCCCTGGTGAGGGAAGTAGAGATGAGGGAAGCCAGGCAATCAATTCGGCACGAGCCGATCAACTTGCGAGCACATCGTCGTTGCGTGAGGGTCGTGTCAGATAGCAGAATCATCATTTACAAGCTTCTGAGACAAGACCCGACAAGAACACAAGAAAGACAAGAGAAACGAACGTGATTATTACCTACCGCAACATGGCGCAGGTGCGGGAACGACATTCTGTAGTACAAGTCCTCGTTTACAAGCAAGTGCGCGATCCCAGATTTCCCCTCGTGTACCGACGAACAGCTCAAATCCATCTCATCTCATCCATCCATCAACCCATCCCTCACCACTCTTCACTACCCATCACCACCCATCTCACCATGACCGATTGGTTCTCTACAACCTCATTTCCAACAACCCCATGCCAATCCCGGCCCCGAAGGCACGTCCGGCCATCCAGTCCCGTCGTGGTGTCGTGAATGGCCCGACGCCCGCAATGCCTAGAACAAGAAAGCCACCGAAGTAGCAGCCGTGGCGCTGGAGGCGCTCGCGCTCGCACTGGCGGGAAGCAGATAGCACTGGTACGCAACACTCCTGTCGTCGAACGGGCCCATGGCAGTCAGGCCAGGCTGTCCGGGCGGGATGGTCAGGCTGCTCCCAGGCACGGAGGGGTCGCAATTGGCATTGCTAGACAAGACAAAAACAAAAAAACGTCAGTTTCGTTTCTTCACGCAACACTAGCAAGCGCCATGGCCACCAGGTTTGGCAAGAAGCAACAAGCAGCATTGTCATGTGGCGCACGGCGGCCGATGGGTGCGGTCGTGGCAAAGATGAGAGAGAATATGGGACAGGAAAGAAGGAAAGAAGGACTTACTCGTAAAGAGTGCAGTTGTAGCCCTCCTGTACGCGCGCCGACGAGACGCCCTGGGGAGGGCCGGGGCGCAGCATATAGGGCAGAGGAACTGCAGCCAGCCCCGGAAGCCGTCGTCAGTCTTCAGTCTTCTTCCTCATCACGCAGAGTCCCCATCCCAAATAAGAGGTGAAGGAAGAAAAGAATGCATATGCCTACAGCAGGGCGGGGGTCCGTAGCCCCCGGAAGTGGCGAGGTCGTTGAGCTCCTGGCACGTACAGCCATCACATTCCTGGTTGAAGTTGGGGTTGGAACAGGCGTAGATACCCCTGATGTCTTGTCTGGGCAGGACCGAAGAAGCGAGGATCGGGGTGGTAGCCGCTCCGGCCACGACCAGCAGGATAGTAGTTATCAGCTTCATGGTTTGGTGGTGGTGAGGAACGGACCGTGAAGGAGAAAGGGCGGGATACGAAGAGGGGTTCAAGGTGGGTGAGAGACTGCAAGCAAACCGTGTTGGAAGGTTGTCTGAGCTCAGGCATATGGTGACAAGACGCTTTATGTAGGCTATGAGATCGTTGGGCAACTTATACGAGTTCGGCCAGGAGGGCGGCTGGGAAACTCTGAGTGACGCGTGATCTGGTCGGTGGAACGGCACTCCTGAGCCGTCGCTTCACAGCCCTTAGGGGAAAGGGGTTAGCTGCTTCCTTCTTGTAGGACCGCAAAGGTGCTGGCCTGATCAGAGGTCGCACTCGCGTTCCAGCTTGAAGTAGCTGCGATGACATATGTATCTCTTTCGTCACTAATGAGGGCACCGACGGCGACAAGGTCAACTCGAAATGCATGAACCGCCGATACTTTGGATGTAGGACATTGCTGAAGTGCCTCTTGCCACGTCTCATCCGGTTGGAACATTGCGTGGAACGCTGAACGGAATCGAATATCGGGACATCCGCTGCGGAGAGCACTCTCCAGGTGGTGTCGAGTTGCGCAAAGGCCTCGTAATTGCAGAGAAACCCATGCGGAGTGACAGTACGGTCTGGTCTTTGATCCATCCAGCACATCTGAAAGACCTTTGTACCTTGTGCGAGAATGTGTCCGACATCAAAACACATTGTGGTAGGCTGATCCGGGAGATGCGTTCCTCACTCTCGACCACCGTTGCAAGCTAATCTTATTAGTGAGAGACATTGTTAGTCACAGTAAACGTTCACCATTTCTAGGACGAATTGCTATGGCACTTGTAGACCAGAAATGAGTGACTGTATTCAAGCCTGGTCGGGTACGACCAGCAATAAATGAGTAGTAAATGAATGTTCCAGAGGATCCCGTCGCAGTCTAGTTGCTAGGCCCAATTTCCGTGCTTCCTCGCTCGGCTAACAAGATGGCGATGGTATGACAGAACGAGAGGAAGTAGATCCAAGTCAAACGGTTTAGAAACGAAGACGGATGGTGCTCTACATATCCTCTCCTACTCGAACCCCGCTTCCACCGGCCCAGCCCTCGCGCTCGTAGAATCGGAAAACCAATTCATAATCCTCGAAATCATGAACGATCCGGTCAATTCGTCGGTAGCCTTGAATCTTCTCCAATCGCTTGCTGCGACCAACGCAAGCAGGAACCTCGTCACAGCCAAAAGCTGGGGTAGGCTTGGCCTCAAAAAGAGTGATGCTGAATCGACCGGGTTGGAAGATCTCAACCACGTGCTCAACTATCTCTGACGTCTCACGACCATTCTGGCCTCCTGGAACGTTCGTCTCGAAGGAAGCAAAAGAACAGATTGGCTCTGGAGTGACATGTACAGTGAAGTAGTGAGTCGACTTGGCGCCATCGTTGTTGTTATGCTTCTCAGGTGCAGGAATGATGCCATTGGCAGAAAAGCCGCATGGTGAGAATAGATAGGCATCTATGCGAGCATCCGGATACTTGGAGGTGGGGTACACGTCCGAGAGACCACATGCATCCGAGACAACCGTTCCCAGCGCATGACCTTCGGTTGTAAGGCCCTCAGTATCGACTGGCTCGGACATTGGGGTATGTGAGTCATGGAGATCCGAGTCGCTGCCATTATCGAAGACGTCGAGCGCCTCGTCACACATGGTGTCAACCGTACTGTTTGTGTTGATGGTAATTGTGCTGTCCGCCAAGTCGCCGAGACTATCCGCAGCCGACTGGCGAGCCTCCTGAGCTTGCGTAGGGTACCTGGTGCTCGCGACCGCACTCGCGTGTTCCAGGTAGAATTTCTTCGCATTCTCGGGCTCGAGGTCCGTCATAAGTATCTCGAGAGTCTCGTCGTTGCTTTCCATCCCGCCGTTGAAAGTGGAAGCGAGGCTGGTGGGAATCTTGAACGTGCTGACTGGTGCTGTGGGAGTCTTCTCGCACTCTGGAGTACGTGGCGGCGTCAAGGCCGTCTCGGGAGAAGTGATGTACAAGTACCAGTGGTCGCCGTTCATCTTCCCAACCATGTATGCGCTTCCACCCTCGAACATATCGTCAAGGTACTTGACTTCCTGCTTCCAGCTGCGGTGTGGACCGCGCTGCTTGTCGGGGAACAGGAAGTTCTTGCGAGAGTAAAAGACCCGGTATGGGGACGCAGCAGCATGGATATCGTCCAGAGATTTGGCGTTGTGGAAGGGAAAACCCGCAAACTCAGCAGCAATTCGGAGCAGCCTGTGAAGTCCGAGAAGCAAGGTAGTGGTTCCGCACGTCTTTAGAATCAGCTTGTGAGGGAAAACAAACATGCTTGACTCGGAAAGCAGGTAGGCATCCATATGCTCAGCCTCGAGAACAGAGAGGATCTTGCAGTTGACCATGTCCAGCACCCCGACCCAAGCCTCCTTGGAGACAGCCTTCAAGCCATTCTCCTTGACACCAGACGGAAGAGCTTTGGGGCTCGGCGCGAACCAAACCTCTAGCAGCTTCTCCGGGCCTAGTCGAGCGTTAGAAGGCAACAACGACACTCTCTGAAGTCACCCTTACCTTCAAAGGCATTGCTGGAGTCTAGATCTGCAGCCACATCATGATTGATTGTCAAATGGGGCGTACCCTCAGATGGCGAGAATGTGTAATTGGTAGGGACCTCAAGGTTGACCATCTCCGTACAGAGTTCGTACAGGACGAATGGCCAAGTCGGTTAGATAGATCGCCGGTTACAAAGTTAGGGGTACAGCTGCAGGTAAGGTGCTCTAGCTACCGCGGAGCACTGACTGCCACCCAAACGAACCTTGCGGCGTTCGTCTGAGAGAGTAGGCCCACAGGCGGTGGGAATCTTTATTTGCTGGCGGAGCCAGCTGCAACCGGGATATAGATATTCTTAACGTCTCACGGAGGGACGTTAGGGGGGCCGGGCTCGGAGGGGGAGGAAGAAGTCCTTTGACCAGGGAATGGTGACCTCTTGGTGGGGGCCTCGATCTGGCAGAAACCGATACCTATGGAGGAGTATCGGACCTAGCAGACGAGGGTATCTGCAAATATGGTGGGAGTTTGGAGGAGTGGAAGACACAAGGCTTCGGTTCTTGATGCTATACTTTCGTGGCGGGTGTTATCGAGGCCTGGAAGGGCATTGCAGTTAGCGAGATGATATGCATCAAACATACATGGCAAAGTCTATGGAATCCTACTTTGCGGGCTTGGAGAGGAAGCGAAGCAAGTCTACTTGGCTCATGGAAACCTCGAACGACGTGAAGAGGTCAGTTCTGCTGTATTCACCCGGTGTCGTATCCGGACGGGGTGGTTCATTTGTTATCGTTGGCGGTCATCGGGCGTGCAGACGCTGGCAGAAACGGGAACGGCGAGGACGGGTGGGTAGTTGTGAGTGTCGTGTGACGTGGTGATCACAACCGGGCGACTATACATTCAGGAAACGGAGGTTAGCAGAAGGTTCGGCTTTTACACAAACTTGGCTGGGCGAACAAGGCAGCCAAGAAAAGTGCACGTCGCTCCACAAACTTTGAGGGCCGAAGAACATTGACTGGACCAAGAAGACCAACAAGCAAAGAGTATTGCTCTTTCGTCCTACTTCCTACCCGCACCACGTCTGCTGCGGAAAAGGGAAACAGAGACGACTTACGTGGAAATACTCTCGGTTGGAGAGAGGCTTCTGTAGCGGATCTGAGAAGACAGCCCACTACAAAACGTGCCGCTAGAAGATGGATCGTGGGTGTGGTGTTTTGAGAAAACAGAGTTCAGTAGCAGTGGATTGCGGACGTGGACGTGGACGGCGGGTGGAAGTGGGCGGCGATGTGGGCGGAGAATCGGGTTGTGCAAATTTATTATTACCAGCTGGAGGAGCCCAGAAATTCCCATGTAGGCTACAGTGGATCGGTATGCGAATCCGGGAGGTGTGAGGTCACCGACTGTTCCAGTGCCACCTGCAGGCAGTGCCTAAGCAGGGTTCCACTTTGGGTATTTTGTCTGCTGTGGCGAGTTTCTGAGTGGCCAGAATCGGATAGCTGCTGCATGTGGTTAGGATTCTGGAGCAGGGTATTGACCAGTGAGGGGCACGGTGCAAGGCGGCAGGCGGCAGGCGGCAGGCGGCAGGCGGCAGGAAGCGCGTGGAGGGGCAGGCAATTGTGAGACCGCAAGGGAGCCCAGGCCTTCCAACAGGACTGCAGGACCGCAGGATCGGCCGATCGGGCGCACTTGCACATTTGTGCATGTGACTCTCACCACTCAATGAGGCAACATGATACATGATACATAGGTACTTATGTAGTCAATGAACATCAATGCATAGAGTGCCTATCGGCCGTCCATTACCCAAGTTCCGGTCACTATTACGAAAGCGGGCGGTCATGTGTATGCAACCCACTTGATCTGGTGGCAATACCTATCTACGCATGCAACACTGGAAGATGAAGACGAAGATAGCATACAGTCTGGTCCCTGTATGGAGTGTGTTATGCTACGTATCTAATGTAGGGTCGTAAATGTAGGGTCGTAAATGTAGGGTCGTAAATGCTAGGCCGCAGTACAGACTACCTATGACCCAGGGGCAGATAGGCAGGAGGAGGGCATCCAGGCCCGTCAAATTGTCGTCGTCTCCAAATGCCCAGCCTTGGGACTATCGGCTTGCCCCTGAACAGCCGCCGTGGTCACCTCTCATAGGTCGTCTCTCTGCATTGCATAGCCCACGTTGTCAGCAGACTCGAATCTTCGCCATGGCTGTGGGTCAGTTCGATCGAATATAGTCCAACCTGCATGCCATGCTGATGACCCCAAGAATATTGCCGTTGCACTGCATCCGTCTACATGGACGGCAATAACTTAGCCTGATAGGGATTGGGCTTGGCCTCAACCGATGGCGCTCACGATATCTTGCGTTATCTTCTTGAAGATGGGCTCAAGCGAGCAGCTTCGATATTTGTCCGCCAACAAGCTTGCGTCTTTTGTCTCCTGGGCGCCTGAGTCAACGTGGCCGGTTTCTTGCGCCTTTGGGAAGTCTTGGCCATTGATGATTGTTCCTTCGGGATATGAGGGTCGTCTTCCCGTTTCGACCAACATAACGAACTGAGGGTCGATAGGCACCCCTCCGAGAAACCTCACGTTGAAGTCGTCCGCCATCACTTGGCCTCCTCCCTTGCCAAAGATGTTCGTGCACTCGGCGCAGTTGGGACACACGAACCCCGCCATGTTTTCTATGACGCCGACCACCGGTATGCTCGTCTTCGCGCAGAAGTTCAGTTCCTTTCTAACATCTGCGGTTGCGACAGCTTGAGGTGTCGTCACAACGACTGCGCCAGCGACCTGTCCTGGCAATGCATCTTTCAACAGGGCTTCGGCGAGCGAGATATGTTCATCCGAAGTTCCGGGAGGTGTGTCAATGAGGAGATAATCCATTTCTCCCCACAGTACGTCTGTGAGGAACTGTCGTATCATCACAGTCTTCTTGGGCCCTCGCCAGACCACGGCGTCGCCTCTTCCCCGCAACAGAAACCCCAGACTCATGCAGCGTAGCTCGCCAATACCGGCTTGTGGGTTTGCGGGATGGACAGAGACGGGGAGCCAGCCTCCAGGGGCTTGTGTCACTTTCGCATCTTCGATATTGAACATGCGCGGCATAGATGGACCGGTGAGGTCGACATCTAAGACTCCCACGGAATGACCCGACAGAGACAGCGAGAGGGCTAGTTGTGTGGTTACTGAGGATTTGCCCACGCCTCCTTTCCCGGAAAGAACCTGACAACCGTGTAAGTCAAAAGCTGCAGATTGGACAGTCACACATTTGGCGTTCTGTAGCGAACGGAGAACATACCAGGACAATATGCTTTATCTTCGCGAGCGACATAATCGGTTGTGAGAAGAGATAAAAAATGGTGGAGAGGGATTTATTCAGGGCAGTAGCGATCCTATTCAGAGTGGGTTAAAGAGAGACATTTGTGTCGGGCAGCTTCGCGAACATTTCCGCTTGCAAGATGGGCGCAAGAATCCAATGCATTTATCAGCATAAAGAGTCAAGCCACACACGCTGCAGTCGGGCACAGGTATGTGGATCCCAGCCACTGGATTCAGCCACCAGTACCTTATCGGATCTCCTGTCATCCAAGGCGTTCTACGATAAGGTTACCTGGGATGGCTGCCCCAGGTGACAGGTACCAACCCACTGTAATTTAGGTATTTAGATACTTCTCGGATGGGATCCTTCCCATCCGAACGTAACCAAGCACCAACCAGAATACAGATCATCCCAACCGAGACTTGTGATAGATCTCTCTGTTCTGGTTCCGCTACCACAAAGGCACAGGTAGGTCCGTTTGGTGGGAAGTGACGTAACAAAGTCCGTGCTGACCAGCCACACACAACCTAGTCAACGTGGCGGTGTGGCTGATAACGTCCGCCGATGCCGTTCCTGCCGCAGCTGGCCGTTGAATCGTTAATTGTTGATTGAAAGACAAGGGGCCGATGCGAGTCGAGTCGCAAGTCGCAAGTCGCAACCCCTGAACCACTTCCGTTCTCCTCTGCATCAAAGTGTCAATACCGACTCGAGGGCGACTGCGACGTGAAGTTCTCTTGGCAGTTGGACTGAAGAAACATCATACCCTACTGCGTAAAGCCAGCGACGATGCCGTTCCACCACTCTTCGACTTATTTCACATAGTCGCTACGTACCATTTCGTGCCTCTGCCCGCCCCCAGAGGCGTCGCATTGAAGCGCAAACACCATGAGCATTGTCAGAGACCACTATGGACGATCCTTGGGGCTCGCCTTGGGCATCATCCGATGCAACAACCACATCAAAACATGACACTCTACCGCCGTCGCCTCCGAAGTCCCTCCTAAGTCCGCCGCCGCGGGCCTTCTTTGGCAACATAGCGAACCTGCCGAGCCATTCACCATGGGCTGACGACGATGCATTTGGGGACTGGGCTGGTGCGGAACGAACGGAGAATACCAGCAGCCAGGGCGACTGGGGAGCACGGGCAGATGCCGGAGCGCAGATGCCACAGTTAAGCCCGAAGCCGGATAGTTCGGGAAAGGCGAGTCCCTTGGCATGGCCCAGCAGTGCCGCGACATCTCCTGGGCTGAGGCCTCTCCCGCGATCGAGAGCTTCCTCCGTATTTCGACACCATTCCTTGGACCCGTGGGCGACAGAGCCATCATTAACCGAAGGACCAAACCTCCCACCACCGACCTCCCCGAATGCGCAAGTGAACGCGACGGCGAACACCACGACTGGACCGGACGAGGAAGACGCTATCTCAATATCGATCAGGGGCCCAGGCGAGGGGACGACGACAGTGATAGATGGACCTGCATTCTTGGACCAACAGGCCGAAACATCAAAGGTCGACGGAAAGGATGAACAAGGTGCCTCGGAATATTACAAAGATGATGGAGTACTGAGACCCGAGCTGGACTCCCACGATCCCCAGTCAAGACCCTCTTCCGCATTCTCTGACGATAGCCGCAACGTCCCAGATAGACCAGACTCGCCAATCACCTCCATCGACGAGGACCCAAAGTCCCGACGGCAGCCTATCTCGCGAAAGACTTCTGGGAAGGTACAAGAGCTAGTCGGCATGTTTGACGGTCTGGCAAAGGCCATCCCGGAGGAAACACCTCCACCCGAGCGACACGAATCGTTACAAGTCAAGCGCCGTGAGCGGTTGCCAGGCCGTACCGAATCTAGAGAAGACGCCGAATCAGGTTTTGGGGATTTCGAAGATGCAAGCTTTGACAACAGAAAGGTTGCGCCTGATTCTGCAGTCAGTTTGGGTCGGTCGTCGACACCCAAAGCCCGATGTGAGGATGGTGTTAGCCCAGACAGGGAGTCAGAGTCCAACGAACCTCAAGCGCCAATCTCCAGGTCTGTTTTGGTTCGTGTGCAAGAGCTTATCGAGAAGTTTGGCCCCGTGTCGTACGATGTCGATTTGCAGGACATTGACAAGTTATACCCGGACCTTGACGAGGTGGTGAGGAGCGATGCGAGCGATGCCGGTGAAGCCAGCCAAGTTCCAGACCAGTTGATTAGAGACAGCTTTACCACCATATCGGAACGAAAGACGTGGTATCGCATTTCTCGTTACGGCCCGATGCGCAAGCATGATTCAGGTGACGAGGATAACTACCAGAGGGTCATTTGGTCCAGCTCTCAGCTGCATACCGACACGATCAAGATCGTCAGACGCTGGATGGAGGAGGACTCGTTCTCCTCGGGACGGCCCTCATTGGGCGGCAGCAAGCGTACCAGTGCCTTTAACTGGGACTCCGACGCGACGGCTGCCCCTATAGATCTTGACAAAGTATTTGCGCGCAGGCCGTCTGCCATTGCGCATGCGCGGACCGTATCTATTCCGCCGCCGAAACAGAATCCAATTCAGACTGCACCGTCTTTGGGCAGTCGGCCTGCAAGGGATTCGACTGGAGGCTCCGTCGGCCAACCCGGAACTACGTTCGGGACAGTGACCCTGGTTGCAAACTTTGGTTGGAGCTCAGATGTACTTGATTCGCCTACCACAGCTCCTCCGGCTTCTATTGGGACCCAAGCACAGAATGCACCGAGGCGTCCGTCGCCTATTGTGCCGCCACCAGCTGCAGTCACTCTACCAGTCCCTGGCGAAGTTCATGCGGGATCCGAAGATGACGAAGAGGATGACTGGGGTGAGATGGTATCCTCTCCGAAAGTTGAGATACATCCAGCTATTCCCGCTGCGGCAATTCGTCAAGAGTCAAGCTCGACACTCACAACTCAAGTCAATTCTCCAGCGCCAACGCTATCTGTTGCTATTCCGCAGCCCAGCCAGCCCTCAGAAGAGGTGTCGAAGGAGCCTCCCTCACCTGAAAGGAAATCCGCGCATGGTAACCCGTGGCCTCTTGCGGACTTATCCATATTCGAAAAATCGGCCGGGACCCCGAAGTCGTCGAGGCAAGAACTGGGGCCAGTGGCGGACTTTTCAATATTTGAATCCCCAACGTCATTCTCGAAGTCGAGTTTGGTAAACTCAACAAAGCCTAACTCAGTTTTCGAGTCAAGAGATGGTGGTGACGGATCAGCAGTCGAGCAGAAGGAGACTGATTCTCCAGACACACAGGTGCCAGCGAAACCTATAGCAGCTATCCTCGGACCGATCGAGAAATCAACCGTGTCGAGCGACCAAGAAAGCATTGCACGGAATATTGTACAAAACCTACCAGACCTGTCGTACATGTTGCGGTAGAGGTTTCGCGAAATGCTGTGTACCGAATAACCCTGCCACCAAAGTACATAGGGGTTTCCCACATTGGTCGCTCACTAAGTATATATTTAATGCGGTGTACCTCAGTATGAGCTACACCACCGGAAACACGGAGACCGTTCTGTTTTCGGATAGCATCAGCAAGCATCGGCACAGGCGTTCAGGGTACTCGGATTGGAATAAGCAATCGACTGTACATTTTATGATCTCAGTATCAATCGGATATAAAGCACACATATCAAATACATCAACCATTATTTTGCCGCCGTTCCCTTTATCTTTAAGTGATCAGGCTCTGAGACCCGGTCCACTTACTACTCTTTCCGCGGAGAAATCACGTCTTTAGCATGGCTAATCCGAACAGGGTCCTGTCGCAGTGGCAGATCATAACTGAGTCAGTCAGAGGGCCGGAAGCCACGAGCCAAAAGGAAAGGTCCCAGTCGTTGCTCGAATTTCGAGAACTGCAATATGTGTCAGTAGGCGCTCACCATGTAAGCCGGACTTGAGGGGACATACAATGCTCTTCTGATTCAGGGGCTTGACCCCTTCCTTGATCCACAGCCCCCAGCTGCCCATCGTGTTGGCCAACATCATATCGGTCATCAGGCGGTCTCCCACGATGACAATCTCGCTCGGGTGGGTGACGCCAGTCTCTGGGTGGCTCTTGAAGTGAGCCATGATCTCGCCCTTGCAACCCGGCTTCTTTACGCGATGAGCGAGGACAGAAACTCCGGTTGCCGTCTCCAACTCATCGGCTAGCCGTCCATCGCGGTCGTATGATGTTGCTCCAGCGGTGTTGGAGACGATCAGAAGCCTATGGCCGGGGTATTCCTTTTGCAGCTGTCGAAATCGCTCCTACTCTCACATTAGTAACGATGCATCCGAGGGCTGGAAGACAGGATCTCATAGAAATCTACGGAAGAATTCGTCAGGCGCACATACTGTATAAGCAGGGTATATCTCATTCGTCTCAGGATAAGCGAAACAGTCGTCCTTGTCAAGCACGACTGCCTTGATATTCACCTTCTTCCCCTGGCCCTCGAACGCCTTTGACAGCGGACTGGGGAGCTCGGCGAAGGTCGATACTGTTGCGTGGGGAAGACACAGTGAAGGCCTTGCGAGGAGTCTGAAGACATTCACGAAGCCTGACAGGTTGAGGTTCAACATGATGGAGGGCGGAGCTTTGCCCCTTAGGGATGTAAGGAGGCTGCTACTTGCACACTGCCATCAGAGTCAGGGTTGAAAGGATGTGAGTGTGACTTCAGTCGGGTCAGGGCGGGTCAGCTGGCTGGCTGCAGGCTGCAGGTGCTCCTTCAGGCATCGCCGGCTAGATTCCAGGGGACTACGCGGCTAACCTAGCCCGCCCGCTAGCGCGTATTTTCACTGAACTTCTTAAGTTCTAGAACGGCGCTGATCGTGACCCTGAGTGACCCCTGACGCGTCGCGACTGCAGTACCTCTCAAGTCTTATACTTGACCATTACTGACACAGCTCGACTTCGCTGCCGCCATTACCAGCAAACTGTGCGGCAACTGCTACACACGATGTACTCTACGACAGAAAAACTACGGGAACACACAATGGTACGGACGAAGAAGTCCCAGCCCCGGGCTGAAGAACCGGCGCCCAGAGCCTCTCCCCGGAAACGAGGCCGCGACGAGCCAGAAGAGCCTACGGAAGGCACTCCCTCCAGACGGCGAAGCAGTGGTCGAACTGGAGCTGGAGCTGGTTCTCGAACGAATGGCCGGGCGAACGGGAGCCGATCCGAATACGACTTCCCCTCGGACGAGGAAGTGCACGCGAGCAATTCAGCTATGGAAGATACAGGTACACCAAGGAAACGCAAGAGGCAGCCCGCAACTGCAACTGCAACACCGAGGAAAGATGATGCCGAAGCCGCGACGCCGCGGGGTCGCGAGGGAAAGGGCAACGTGACAGTGACACCGTCGAAGCCCAATGGCACAGCGGTCAACGGCGAGACGCCGCGCTGGAAGCGCAACGACCGGTCCGCGCGGAAGAAGAGCGCCCGGGCTCTGATCGAGAAGGTCGTGGCCGGGGAGTCGAGCGACGAGGAAGCAGACGAGGACATCGCCCGGGAGATCTACGAGTCAAGCGAGGAAGAAGAAGCAGAAGACGGCGACGACGAAGAACAACAACAACACCAAGAGGAAGGCGAAGAAGGCCCGCTCAACGAAGCCGCAACCCCATCGAAGAAGCCCCGCGGCGGCCGCACCAAGACCACCAACAAGAAGACCACGCGACGCAAGAAATCGCCCACGCCCCCGCGCGACCTCCCGCCGCACGAGCAGTACTTCGCGCAGAACCGGCCCGGCACTTCCCAAAAAACGTCCAACAACACGCTCGCGTCCTTACAATTACAACTCCTGACGCACGACGAGTACTTCGCCGTCCTGCGCGACTGGGCGGACCCGCACGCCGACGACGTCGCGTTCCTGCAGGCGATCCACGGCGAGTCGTTCCCGCAGTGGGCGTTTGAGCTCGCGCAGGGGTTTGGGATTTGTCTGTATGGGTACGGGTCGAAGCGGGCGCTGCTGCACCGGTTCGCGAGGCATATCTACGATTTGCACACGGCGGCGGCGGCGGCGGCTGATCATTGTGATGGATATGGGAATGGGGGGAATGGTGGGAATACCATGAAGGTCGTGATTGTCAATGGCTACGTGCGGACAGCTTCGCTGAGGGAGATCCTGGGAACGGTGGCGAGCGCCGTGGACCCAGGCTACAAACTACCAGCTGGGGGGCCTTCGGCTGTGCTGGATAGTGTCAAGAATCTTCTTTCATCGCATGAGGTGATGATCACGGTCGTCTTGAACTCGATCGACGCGGCTCCCCTTCGGAAACCAGGCATACAACCTATCCTGGCGCAACTGGCAGCACATCCGCAGATCCAGCTCATCTGCTCAGCCGACACGCCGGATTTCACATTACTGTGGGACAGTAGTCTGCGGTCCTCGTTCAACTTTCTGTTTCACGACTGCACGACATTTGCTCCGTATGAAGCGGAGCTGGATGTTGTGGATGATGTGCATGAACTGCTCGGGCGGAAAGCCAGGCGTGTGGGTGGGAAAGAGGGTGTCACGTATGTGTTGCGCAGTCTGCCCGAGAACGCCAAGAACCTGTTCCGGCTCCTCGTTGGTGAGGTGTTGGTGCTCATGGATGACGATGGTGGCTCATCGGGGGAGAACCCTGGAGTCGAATACCGGGCGATGTACCAGAAGGCTGAACAGGAATTCATCTGTAGTTCGGAGATGGCTTTTCGGACATTGCTGAAAGAGTGAGTCTGCCCCAACCCTTCACGTACTCGCTGCCAGCTTTTGCTAACGATTATCACTACCAGATTTCACGATCACCAGATGATCACAAGTCGCAGAGATGTCATGGGCACTGAATTGCTGAGTGTACCATTCCGGAAGGAGGAGCTCGAGGCTATTCTCGAGGACCTCATGTCATAGTAGTTGTATATCAGCCGCAGCATAGCAGCGTACATACCATGTAGACCAGATTTGGGGTATAGAACCAACAACGTGAACACATGATACACGTACTATCATCCATCCATCATTTCATCAATCCTGGCTCACGTGCTCGACCTTTCGCTTGCCCACCACGCTCTCCATCTCGTGCTTCTCGACATCCTTCATCAGCTCGCTATCATTGTCCAGGCGCGTCCACTTGGGCTTCCCATCCGGGAGATCCACCACGCGCTGGCTGTAGAAGATGTGGCACCTAAAAACTCATCAGTTACCAGGCCGACATAAACGGGAGAGGGAAAAGGTATGGCTTACTGCGGGTCAAACTGCTTCTTTCGCTCCGGGTCGCCAAACTTGATGATGGCTGGGAACATGAGCACCATGTTGCGGCCCTCGTCCATGATGGGCGCGTGGCAGTAGGCACAGCTGACCTTGATGGGCAGGCCGTAGTGCGTCTCCTTGGTGCCCGAGTTGTAGAAGGCCAGGCCCTCGGCGCCGTTCTCGAAGTGCAGGTCCTCCTTGTGGAAGATGGCGGCCCACTGGAAGGGAGCGCCTGCACAACACAATAGTTAGTCAGTCGGTCAGATCTTGTGAGATGATCTGCCTGATGGATAATAGATAGGTAGGGTTCATGTGAGGGATGAGGCTCACGCACCGTGCAGCGCCTGGCAGTCGGTGCAGTGGCAGAACTTGGCGGCGAGCGGCTTCTCCCGGCTCAGCCAGTACTTGATGCGGCCGCAGTGGCACTGAGCCGTGTACTTCTTGTCGAAGTGCTCGTTCTTCTCGGCGCTACGGTAGGGCGGGCGCGTCTTCCAGTCCTCGCCCTCGTGGTCGGCCTCCTTGCTCGCCGCCTTGGTGTCGCTGTTTGCGACCTGGTTGTACCCGGACATGGTGCGGGTGCTGGTGTGCAGAGGTGCGCCTAGGAAGTGGTTGCAACCGGGGCCGTGGTGGTGGTGCTGGTGTGGATGGAGGTGAGAGTGAAGGTTGCTCTGTGTGGTAGAGATTTGGTACTGGAGTGAGGGTGGGTGTGAGTATGAGTATGAATGTGAATGTGAGTGTGGGAGTGAGAGTGCTGGCGAATGGGAATGGTTGCAGTTATTGCTGTGGCTGCTGTGGTTGCTGCTGCAGGTCGTCGTCAGGTACGAGTGATGACGTCGGGGCCCCAATGTCCGGGTGATAAAGGAAGTGGAAAGCTGCAGTCGTGACGATCTGACTTGGGCTGGTAGGACGCGAGCTGCTTTGAACATGTCTTTGCTATGGAATTTGTAGTTCAAAAGAATCGTCTTAGAAGGTCATTGATCAAAGGGAGTTTAATAGGTACAGATAGGAAGTAGTCAGAAGCTCAAACTGGGGTTGATTGCCCCAGAACATCTGAACATGTGCCTGCATTACCCCTTCCCTTCACTGGCGTCTTCGTTTGCGCCATCGAGGCCTCATCGAGAGCCTATTGCAACTTGATGACGTTCTTCAAGCAGATGGGGGCGTCAGGTACCGAAGGGCGGATCTGATCGTCAACTGTCAACCGACTGCAGGTGGAGTTCTCTGGGGTAATGTCTCCGCTTATCTGTGCTAGCCCGGACGAAAGCTCCGGGAATCAGACTGCCCGGGACGTTACCTTATTAAGTGCACGTGCCAATCGCGATACGTACCGCTTGGCAGCATCATCGGAAACCTCAACCCTGAGTCTGTTTCTGGCGTCTCATGAGTCATCGTCTCCTCTGTCGTTTGAACAGATGGAACCGCATCCTCCTATCAGCGATATCATGAGGCTACTAGGTATGAGCTGCATCGAGTGGCAGTCTCTGCAGCCTAACAACATTGAGCGCAGTTCTCTTCGAAACATGATAAGCTCGTCGTACTTGGGTCGCGTGCCTGTAGTTTGACCTGAGACCGGCACTTCCAGGATCGAGGTATGCCTTGTGCTCGCTATTCCGCGATGATGTTTTGATCGTGGGCTTCGGCTTGCCTCATCGCCAGTTTGCGACATTTTATCACTCGAAGGTCCTGTTGACTGCCTGTCATGATCCCCGATCTGCTGGTGTACATGAGCATCAGCTGATTCAGCGCAGCAGTCCCGAAACTTGTTGCCATCGGGGAGCACGATTGAAGGGCCGGGCTAGGATCCTGACTAACACCTCTCGAACTTCACGGCCTTTCCTCTCATGATGAGAATCATCTAAACATCGTTGTAACATCTCATCTTTGATCCCAGCACGTGGAGTCCCCAGCTAGATCCAGTGTCAGCTTATAGCTTGGGACTACAGTCAGCCTCACGCACCACCCCGGTAGAGCCGCTGTTCCGCGGCCAATCCAGAGGATCCGATCATTCAGCTCATTGACTTGAAAGAACAATGCTGGCATCGTCTCGTGGTCGGATTGGCCGAAAATCCCCTGGGGCCGGAAATGAAGCACAGTAGTGCTGCTCAAGGGCTGACCGGCTGACCGAGGTCTATTCACCGAAGACTTTCACGGCAACGTAGAAAAAGTTCTTGCTCTAACGTTCACCTCGTCTTACAAGGGTCCCTTACTGATACCCATGGTATAGTTGATTTTCTCGTACATGTACTTTTCAGTATATAAGCCCGTGGATTTCTTGTCCACCTGCCAGAATTGTCCTCTTCACAATACTCACTTACTTCACCAAGTCCAGCTTCGACACGTTCCAGACGGCACACACAGCACACGCAGTTCACCTCATTTCCCCATACCAAATTCCCATCATGAAGACATCCACCTTCTTCGCCCTGCTCTCAGCCGCCGCCGGCGCCCTAGCCATTCCCAACGTCGTGGAAGCCCGCCAGAAATCCACAACAACCACCACCCCCGACCTGCCGTGTCCAACGAACCCGGCCAACTGTGCCGCGAAGCAGAACGGTCACCTGGTCTGCCTGTCCAACGGCGTCTGGTGCCAGTACGTCGATTCTACCTACGGTACCCCGGCATTCTTCCCCGTGGACCTCACGCTGCCGTGTCCCGCCTGCCTCCCGTCTTCTTGATCGGATGGCTGTGCTTGGAAGATGGGGCGGAGGCAGGCTTGAGCCGGAGGCGGATTGCTGAGTACATTCATGTCGCATGCGAGGATCTTGGAGAGTTCCCCTGTTTGCATGGGCTCTTAGAGACGAGTGGTTGAAAAGAGAGCTTCGATGGTGTCGGTGCATGAAGACTGGTATGGATGGTGGATAGAAATGAGGGTTTCTTCCCGACTGGAATCCTCTGTCACAGAAGTACTCATAGGAACAGACCGATACTATAATCTTTGTGGATATAAATCATGAAATCCTCCAGGTTCCAGCATCGAAATACCGTCAACTAATTTATCATCGTGACCGAATCGTCGGACCCCTGTAATAGATCTTGTGTGACACCGGATTTTACTTTCTGTCAGTACAGTCGATGGGGAAATTCCAGTAGTTGGTCGGCGTCCAAAACGAACATATCGAATAGAGCAATGAAGTTCCGGAGCTGAGTCGAGTTCAGAGGTAGGTGTGATCGTGGCAGCAATCCAGACAGTGAGTGAGTGGGTTATCGAACGATGACGCAGTGGAGCTCCAAAACCTCGAAGCTCCAATACCTTAGAACCCCACCAAGCCAAGCAAGCTCTCACTCCAACCTCATGCTCACCTTCACAAATACTCACTCACCCATCACATGCAACATACATACCTACGGCACACCCACAAGCCAAACCGTTCCGACCAAACCCATACCATCACAAGTCTCCCCAACGGCATGTGAGCGGAATCGGGACACCAACCAAGTCCGCCAAAACGCGAGAGAGAAACTGGATCAGCCGCACAGACACCAACCACACTCCCACCAACCACTCCGACGACAACAATGCGCCCTCACAAACCCCTGGACAGCCCCGACGCCAAAGAGGCGCAATGGGAAGCCGCGCGCGGAGCGGCCCTCGGCGCCGTGAAATGGGGCGCCGCGTCGGCCGTGCTGGGCGGCGTCGGATATGCCTTCTCGCCGCTGTATCGGGGACTGACTATCCAGTTTAAAGTGTAGGTCGTCCGTCTACTTGGCCCGGCTATCTGGCTCACCCCTTGTTGTTTCGTTGGTCTGGCTTCTTTTACTTTGGGCCTCCGGGAGGAGTGGACGGGGGAGTTGTGTTTGTTTCTTACTTGGGGATATTCGGGTGGGGGTGTATGGATGGGTGAGGTTGGGTAAAGGGCTGACGGCTGACGCTGACGAGCAAACAGATACCTCCAGATGTCCGGCATGATCCTCGGCAGCATGATCGAGGCGGACTACCGGATGAGGCAATATGAGCAGCACGTGCGCATGCAGAGACGGATAGCGCGCGATCGTGCCGTGTGGGACAACTATGAGAAGGAGTTCATGGAGGAGGATCGACCGCCGCCACGGCCGGCATACCTCCAGGACCCGAAGAAATGATCACGATGTCCAGTGATAGCGGCGGCCAGCTTATGTACAAACTTGTGTTCAGCATTGTACAAACGTAATCAAGCATGTAGATAATTCAGCTTTCTTCATTCATTCGTCCCAGCCGGCCCGGGACTCCGGTATCTCGTGAACGCCATGCCATGCAATATCCCATTCAGATCACCCCAGTTTATCCGACTGTCTCTCGGTACCTCTGTTCCCTACGTCTTTCTCGTCTCAAACTTCTTCGGGTCCATATTGATCTTGCACAGCCTTGCCACGCAGCCACTCAGCTGCAGCAGCGTCTGCACACCTTCCAGAATCTTCATATGCGTGAACCCGATCTCCCTGATGAACTCGAGCTTCGCGTGCTCGCTCAGCGTCGGGATGGTCTTGGTGACGCGGAACATGGTGCTGATAATATCGTGGCTCGAGTAGCCCAAATCCCACAGCTCGCGCAGCCCGTCCAGCGCGCCGAGGACGTCGCCCTCGTAGCACGCCTTCAGCATGGCCTGCACCTTGATGGGGTGCGGGGAATCGACGACCTTAAACACGTTATCGCCGCTCACGAAGCCGAAGCCGGCGTGCGTGCTCTGCAGGTTGTTGATGGCCTGGCGCATGTCGCCCTCGGCGCTGAACACGAGCGCCGCCAGCCCGTCGTCGCTGTGCTGCACCCCCTCGGCTTCGATGATCTGCACCAGCCGCTTCACCACCTGCGCGTCGGTCAGCCGCCCGTACCGCAGGATTGCGCACCGCGACTGCAGCGGCTCGATGATCTTGTTGGACTGGTTGCACGCGAAGGCGAAGCGCGTCGTGTTGGAGTAGATCTCCATGGTGCGCCGGAGGGCCTGCTGCGCGCCCGACGTCATGCTGTCGGCTTCGTCGAGGATCACGAGCTTGTGGCGGCCGGCCGGTAGGGTCACTTTCTTCTGGGCGAAGCCCTTGATTCGGTTTCGGACGACGTCGATACCTGGAGTGGCAATGGTCGGTCAGCTGGAGTTCTAGACTGCGGTATCTACATGCAATCAAATGAATAGAGAGCATTGACTGACCTCTCTCGTCACTGGCGTTCAACTCCAGCACCGCCTCCTTGTACGCATCTCCCAACAGCTGTCGCGCCAGACACAGCACGCTCGTCGTCTTTCCGATTCCCGGCATGCCCGATATGATGACGTGCGGCATGTTGCCATCCTTCGCAATAATCTTCAACCGCTCGATAGTCTCTGTGTTTCCGACTACGTCGTCAAGGAAGACCGGTCTGTATTTCTCTACCCTGCGACAGGCCGCCAGATCAGCGAGGGACGAGGCTGGTGGAGCAGGGCGCGGGATGTACCTACCATGGCAGCTCGTATGTGACAGTGCCGTTCGAGGTGGCAGCCAATGCCTTCTTGGAGGAAGCGGTTGAGGACTCGCCCTTCTCTGCGGGCTTTGCGGACGGCATTGTCGCGGTTGTCTTGTGTTGGGAGTTGGAAGCTTCAGTGTTGCTCAGCTGGTGGTCGGCACATGGAATAGCTCTGGTGCAGCTAGAAATTCACTTTACGCGTGGTCTGGCGGGCAGAAGCGCGTTTGGAGTGCACTAAGCCCCATTGCGTGACCACATGCAGGGGTTCTTCCGCGACGCTGCCTCTGCCCGCCAAGGTGCAATCCCTAGGTCCCATATGACGTGTATTATACAGTCTAGTGCTATGGCATGGGCACTGTGTTTTCCATCTCTTCACCTTCACTAGGTACCTATAGAAACGGAGAGTAAAACCCTTTCTCCAGTCTGCATTCTCGGCTGGGTATGTAGCCTCGTAAAGGTTTCAAAAGCTCTGGCAATCTCTTTATGTGATCATGCAAATTTTTAAATAGCCATACAAAGGTGATTGACCACCTACGACCGATAGTCTGCGTTGATAGTAATATACTCATGCGAGTAGTCGCAGGTCCAATACATCGTCTTCTTATTCTGAGGAGCTCCCAGCCTCACCAGGACCTCAATATCCTCATGAGCCAGAACCTCAGCACAACGAGCCTCGTCCACATTGCCCGGCTCTCCGTCAACGAACACTTTCAGTTCCGGGCTGCCGTCCGCGGGTATGAACGAGATGTTGGTCTTCTCGGGCTCGACATCCGCGTAGTTGTCCACGGCGGGCTCTCTCTGGTTGGTGGTCAATGCCGTTCCGATCGCCGCGTATATCCTTCCCCAGTTGGCGTCCCTGCCGTAGAGGGCCGTCTTGACGAGCGGCGAGCGGGCGATGACGCTTGCGACCAGTCGTGCTGCTTCGTCGGTCGGGGCCTCTTCCACGCGGATGGTCACGAACTTGGTCGCGCCCTCGCCATCTCTGACGACAAGCTTGGCAAGGTCTGTCGCGGTCTCGGTGAGAACCTCCAGGAAGACCTGGTAGTCGACTGTGTCTGTCGATGACAGCTCCTTGCCACCAGCTGCCCCGTTGGCCAGCAGAGCGATTGTGTCGTTGGTCGACGTATCACCGTCAATCGTGATGCTGTTGAATGACCGGTCAACGGCGTATTTCAGCGCCTCGGGTATGACGCTAGACGAGACAGACGCATCGGTGGAGATAACACCCAAAAGAGTAGCCATGTTGGGATGGATCATGCCCGCGCCCTTGGTCATGCCAGCAATGCGGTACTGGATATCCGGCGATGAAGGCAGCTTGAACGTCTTTGACACCACCTTGGGGAATGTATCAGTCGTGCAGATTGCTGTAGCGCAGGCCATCCAGTGCTTGTGAGAGTCTCCGAGCGCTTCGTGAGCTTCAGGGACTTTGTCGAGGATCTTCTTGATCGGTAACCTGCATGATAGTCAGTTGAGAAGCTCGGCGGGACTACTTGAATCTCCAAGACGCTCACCTCTGCCCGATGACGCCCGTGCTCATGACCACCGTGGCGTTCTCGGCATCCAGACACCTGTCCGCAGCCTTGGACATCTCCCGCGCATCCTCAAGGGCGCCCTGCCCAGTCGCGGCATTGGCACATCCCGAGTTGATAATGACACAGCGGAAGCCCGAGTTCTTCTGATCCTGCAGCAATCTTCGGCTGAAAGTCACGGGCGCGGCGTGGTACTTGATCTTGGTGAAGACGGCGGCCGCTGAACATGGCGTATCCGAAGCAATCAGGGCGAGATCTGGCTTGGACTTGTTGCTGGGCTTGACGCCGACCCAGGTTCCTGAGACTTTGAAGCCTTTGGGGTACGTGCCGCTCGCTGGGATGTACTTCTTCTTTGCTGCTGGTATCCCGCCTGCCGGAGCTGAGTACCACCTGGATCCCGAGATGCTTCGAGAGGCCAGGGTGGCCACCCGGGAGCAGGAAGTTCGAGGCAGCGACATACCCAACGACCTGCAATGGCACAATCAGCTGTTCCGTGATGGTTCCGCCCAGTTACGTCGCGCGCCCTCAACGATCGCAATTTGTGTTCTGTAGATTCCAATTGATGAAGAATTGGTCTTCCAGTGACTAACTCTCGGGGTCCAAGCTCCGGAACCGGCGACGCAATGAGTAGCAGACACTGGTCGCGATCTGGTCAGACTGCTGTGCAAATCATTAAGTCTCTGGCCACATCCTTGCAGCAGCTGAATTTTTACAAATGAGTACCCTCTCCGCCGGGGGCACGCGCTTGACCTTGTGAGTCAGTCAGAATTTATTCTACATGAACAGAAGAAGTCATCCTGATCTGCGAGACACTGATGTAAGTCTTGGAGACGTCCCGACCTTCGGCGATTTTGTTGCGACAGCCGTGGCCGTGGCAGGCTCGAGTCGGCAGAAACAAAAAAAACCTAGCCGGAAAGCCGGACAGAGCCGCCGTTACAGAAGGCACCGGAAGGCGGTAAGTCACGGTCGCTCGTCCCCTCCCGCATTCAAGTCGTCAATTCAACATGATCACAACCACAAATCACATATCACATATCGACCCAAGATGTTATCAACATTAGATATTCACTATCTGGAAAGCTTGCCAGACCACACCTGTCTGCATCTCCTTATCATGCTCGGTCGAGGGTAGAACAAGTCCCGTGGGTATCCCAGACGTGCGGGGGGACGGCGCTCCCTATGCTGAGCTTGATGGGAAGACACCGAGCAATGTCGAACCTGATCGATCGTTTCGCCTTGTTCATGAACTGGAGCGATTTCTAAATCGAGCAGTCAGTGGAAACACCTCTTCTTCATGTCATAATCCTTACCGTTCCCCTGGCATGATGAACGTCGTGGAATTGCGACCGTCACCCGAGCCACCAAGAGCCATAACAGCGTCATCTTGGTGAAAGAACTTCGATCGTCTTCTGCGAGTAGCAGTGTCTGTTTCCATCTTCGTGTGGCTCATGGGCACCTGTCGCAGGGGGACATGTCTTGGGCTCCTGGGTTGGGACTGATGCAGTGGTCCATATCCACCAGCATCACGAGAGTAGCCACCCTCGACAGAACATCCAGGTTCACCATTGCCACCATCATCGTCATCATCGTCCCGAGCGTTGGCTTGCTCTCCTTCTGCCCTTGGCGATGTGCATAAAGTCCCGAGGCCCGTACCCATTCTGACAGGGTCTTCCGTCAGGCTGGGGCCCTAGCTTGGAGTTCATGTGGATTCAGAAGACACCACCAGTATCTCCAAGCTTGTCCTTCACGGCGTCGAAGTAGACCTTTCTGATGCCGAGCTGTCGAAAAAGCGAAGCACAACATGACGCAAGCCTACTCTCTTTCGAAATGGCGAGATGAATCGAAAGATGGGGGCTGTGGTCCGCGTGAGGTGCTCAAAGAGCCCCGACTTGAGTCGTTGGCTGCGGGGTACCCAGATCTACGCTGCAGGAACAGACGGAGAAATAGCGCCTCATTGTAGCTCGGCGATGGATACCGCGAGAATGCTCAGGACCACACAGAGAGCCAAGAGTAAACTTAAGTGTTGTTTTGGGGAGGTGGGGATACTTCAACTCGTTCATCATCCTGTCCAGCTCCAAGTCGAAGCCCGTTTCCTCTTGAGCTGCTTGCGCTTACTTTTGTTTCGCCATGCCGGCCATGCGCGCACTCCTGACCACCTCCACGCTGCTTCCATACGTTCTCGCGCGGTCGTGCTGGCGAGACACCATTTGCACCGGACCACTCGACACCGCCTTTCCAGGGCCGTGGGAAGCCAATATCTACTCGCCATCCTCTCGCAGTGTCTCCCCAGCCAATATCTTGTCATTGGACATCGCGGAGGTCATCTCGTCTTACCCAGGTGCTTCTACTCTCAGTGGCAATGCGAGCGCTTTGGTCTTTGACTTCGGTATAGAAGTCGGTGGCATCGTCCACATCGACTACTCCACCAGTGGCGGTTCGGGTGCCCTTGGCCTAGCTTTCACGGAAGCGAAGAACTGGGTCAGTCTTGCTAGTGACTCTTCAAACGGCGCATTCGGATCTTCAGATGCCTCTCTTCGCGGCAATTTTGACCAGTCTTGCGATGATGGAGCCATCTACAGCTACTTCTCCTCCGCCGGCAACCACAGCTACGAAATGGACCTGCCGCACCTGCGTGGGGGCTTCAGATACCTCACGCTCTTCCTGCTCACGAACAGCACGGATACGACTCTCGCCCTTGGCGATGTGACCTGCGAAATCGGCTTCCAGCCGACGTGGCCCAATCTCCGCGCCTACCAGGGCTACTTCCACTCCAACGATGAAGAGCTCAACAGAATCTGGTACAGCGGCGCCTATACACTGCAGACCAATGCTGTACCAACCAATACTGGGCGATGGATCCCGGCGCTGACATCTGGCTGGGCGAACAACGGCACGCTATCTAATGGCTCGACGGTCATTGTGGACGGTGCGAAGCGTGACCGGGCGGTTTGGCCTGGTGACATGGGCATTGCCGTGCCATCTACGTTCGTGTCTATCGGTGATCTGGAGAGCGTGCAGAATGCTCTGCAGACGATTTACGCTCATCAGAATAGTGATGGAAGCTTTCCCGAGGCCGGGCCACCGCTGTTGCAACAGGGCAGCGATACGTACCATATGTGGACGATGATAGGGTATGTTCAGGCCATCCATATCTGCTATTGGGATGTAAGCTGACAGTTGACAGGACGTACAACTACGTGCTATACACGAACGACACCGCCTTTTTGGATCAGCATTGGGCACAATACCAATTTGCCATGGAGTACGTCTACGACAAAGTGCTACAACCTCTGGGTCTCTTGAACGTGACTGGCACGCGAGACTGGGCTCGCAACCAGCAGGGCGGCAACAACACAGAGGCCAACATGATTCTGTACCGCACGCTCACCACCGGCTCTTCCCTCGCAGAGTGGGCGGGCAACAGCACGCTGGCCTCGACGTATACCGCACGCGCAGCGACCCTCGCGTCCAACATCGTAGCGAGCACATACGACACGAGCTACGGCGCGTTCAAGGACAACGACACAGCCACGTCATTGCACCCGCAGGACGCGAACAGCATGTCTCTGCTCTTCGGCGTCGTCTCCAATACATCCGCCATGGCACAGAGCGTCTCCGAGCGCCTCACAGACAACTGGACGCCGATCGGCGCGGAGACACCAGAGCTACCAAACAACATCAGCCCTTTCATCTCCGGGTTTGAGATACAGGGACATCTTGCGATTGGGAATACTGCGCGAGCTCTGGAGCTCATCAGACGCTCGTGGGGCTGGTACCTGAGAAATGCCATTGGAACGGAGTCGACTGTGATCGAAGGCTATCTGACGAACGGGAGCTTTGCGTACAGAAATTATAGGGGTTACTACTACGATGCCTCGTACGTAAGCCACTCGCATGGCTGGTCCAGCGGCCCGACGTCGGCGCTTACTAATTACGTCCTTGGTCTTGAGATCACGGGGCGCGCTGGCAGTGCGTGGAAGTTCGCACCGCAGTTCGGAGACTTGACGAGCGTGGAAGGCGGCTTCACAACGACCCTTGGCAAGTTCTCGGCGGCGTGGAATGTGACGGACGGAGGGCGGTCGTACACGGCGAGCTGGACTGTGCCGAGTGGTACAAAAGGCACGGTGAGTTTGCCGGCACTGCCCAGTGGCGGGAGTGGAAGTGTGGTGTGGGACGGTCGGCATCGTGGGTACGTCGGTAAGGGTGGTATGAAAGTGTCGTGCGGTGGCGGGAAGCATAGCGTTCATGTTCGGCACGTGTAGTCGGTAGCACTTGAGACCTAGATCGCTCGGGTGTCCTCATCACCCTCCTCTTGTTCGAGTCCGGAACTCTCTTCCTTGGAAGTCTCGACACAGCTGCAGACAACCACAAGTCCAAGTTCTGGGTAGTCCGGCGTGCCATATGAGGCAAGAGCCTTGCTCGGACTCCTGTTCGGAAGTCGAGCTGCAACCGTGCTAACCACGCTGGGCGTTGCCATCATCGGAATGGACAGAAGTGAGACACCGATAGCAAATACTCGGCACGACGAACTAGGTGGACAGTTTCTGGGGCTTTTGCACCTTTGGCCTCGGCATGCTCTCGCTCTTGCTTCGTCTCGGTGCGATGGTCTTCCAGGAAGAACTTGTCCTGTATCCCGAGCGCCTCGTCATCACGAATCTACGTCCAAGCACCGAAACCATACCTATTAATACCAACGAGGAGCATTCCATCCTCTTTGCCGCCCCATTCGCAGCTGTAATGTGCAATGTTGGCTTTCGATGTACCGGTTCTGTTGCATTATCATTCCCGACGACAAACACCCGGCTTTCAAGCTCTCGACCAGCATGTTGGCGCCAGGTAGTCGAACCGTTGACCAAGAAAGATTCTTCCCGGGCATCACGAGTTGCCAACTTAGCTGTTCTCGGGTCCCAAGAAAGGTGAGGGGGTGATTCAGGCCGGCTAGGGAAGCAGGCCTTGGGCAACAAGTACGATGCCGGGCATAGTGCGTCAAGACGGGCGCAGGTATTGCGAACCGTATGGTTGCTCTGCAGGTAGGCCGGCATGGAGCAGAGCGGTTATCTCCTCCTCGCATCTGCTGTCGCCTGCGGGCTGGGCATAGGCATACATCGGGGATGGTGTGCCGTCTTACAGAGCCTTTACGTCGTAGGCGTTCTTGGCTCTGCGGTTCAGCTTCGCTTGGATAAGCTTCGTGATGATTGCCTCAAACAGAGTGGCAGGTGGGCGAACGCGCCGATCTATGATTAATCCCGTACGCAACGCTGGGCTGCTCGAGGAACTCGACGTAGCGACGCATGCGGTCCTAGTTGGCCGCAAATGCGTCCAGGCTGCAGAGGCGTCAGTTCGTCGGAAGACAGCACGATGGACGATTACGTCTTCAATCCGGGGGAAGGTTTCCACCGTTGAATCGGTAGACATTGGTGTTGCTAAGACACCAGTTGCCCTGCTAGTTTAAGTGAACCGGAAATGATTCAAAATGTGCAGTACTTGATGTTATTAGAGAGGCAATGTCTTGTCTTGATATATGTACCCCTCTACCAGAAACAGCAGCACCTCGTGTATGGTTTTACTAGTTATCTGCCAACCAAACATTTGAGTGTGGACAGCCGATCGAGTACGCCTTTGCTATTTCACCGTGGGGACCTTCCCAGCAGCCACCCTCCCTCTGCCATTGCCCAAACGTATACATCACGCTCTTTCTCGAACAATCCGAGGACGCGAAGATGTCAATCTGGCCATTAGCTGGGGACTTCTTCACCTTCCAGCTGGTCATGTCCTTATCGTCTTTAAAGCGGGTGCAGCGTTGGCCGTGTTTGATCTCGACCTCTTCTCCCGAGCCTTCGCATCCCCCACTTGTAAAGAACTCGATCTTTCCGACGTCGCCGGTGTCGTGCCCAGTGACCGCGAGGGTGAGAAGAGGGATGACGGCGAAGAGGGCGGTAGAGAACTGCATGGCCGTTATTCGGGTGGGAATTAGATAGTGCGATGATTGTTGTTGAGATGTTTTACTGTAGAGTCTGAATCAGGGTGCGCGTGATCTTATACTTGTTTTTTTCATTAACACGCAACTAATAATGCACAAAAGTAACTGCACATCACGGCCAGCGGCATTATGTGCCTCGTGGGAAGCGGCATCCCGTGCGTGTGCCTCGTAGGAAGCGGCGACGTAATGATGTTTTGTAGCAAAAACACGGAGTCTGTGACCAGAGGAGAAAGATGACAAAAAACTGAACGGACCAGCCGATGCTGTCCTTATCTTCATCTCGAGCTGCCTCGTCCACAGCGTTCTTCTCATCGTCAATGCCATTGCCACCGTCCACGCCATCGTCCTCGCTAGTGGCGAGATCTAAAATGTATCCTTTCTTCTTTGTAGAATGAAAGGCGCCATGACGGTTCGGGTGTTGGCCACTCGCTCCCTCGCCAGTGCGGCAAAGTTGTGGACCTCTTGCTGGGAAATTCTTGTCGTCATCGTGCATTCATATAGAACTGGAACACATGTACAGTTACAAACTCGACTGAAGGAAAGGAAACCTTTCTTTCATGTGCCTCCCTTCTAAGTACCGACTGTGGTGGGAGCAATAGCCCGTTATGTCGAGTCCCTTCGTTCTAAAATGCCTATGTTGTGGAGGTAACCCGGGTCTTACATTGCATTGGGATACCATGGAAGCCTCAAATGGTGTCGATTTGATCAAACGTTTGTCCTTAACAAACTCGACCTTGACCAGAACGCTTACGAAAGATCAATGCCCACCCCCTTACCGGTCTAACTGTTGCCCTCGTCGCCAAAACAAACGTTGAAGACCCTTGCCTCTGACGTGAATGGCTGACCTGCCGCCAAGCAGTTGGATATCTTCACTCCATGACCTTCCGTAGACACTAATATCAAAATCGACCGTCGGCTGCTGCTGTTGCTGCCACTGCTGCTGGCACCGGTCTCGGGTGCTTCAGGCATTTCTTCGTCCGCGTCAAAAGGACGAAGCAACAGACGGGTCGGTCAGAAACAGCATCGGGACGTTCATCTGTTGCTCTTGCTGTTGCTGCTGCTGTGCGGGCTGTATCTCTGTACGCCGTTATTTATTTGTAAGATTTTGATGATAAAGGCTGACATGCAGACAGCTCTCTTATGCTATCTAGCCAGCTATTACACCTAAAAGCTCGATATATCCCTGTTCTTCGATCGCCACGCCAGCTACGAGTCTTACTTCTATGACGAGGTCGCAACGTATGCCATTGTGTACACCCGCGCGGCTAAGTTCAGCACAAGGTTCTTGCGTTTGAGGTACAAGAGCAAGTGGACGATGCAGGCTGCATGGCGCATGGGGCAGTAGTCTGCAATTCGGCGAGGTTCAGGGATGACGAGATCGTCCAAGTCGGTGAGCTCCCCTGCCTCTGCAAGCACTCTAAGCTTTATCTGACAGGCTCGGAACATCGTAATGGTGCGGACAATGATCGTTATGACCTAATACCAAGTTTCTCGACACATTCAGTCTGTCATATGCCATTCACCACGACTGCTCCGTCAAGGTGTAGCTCGCGGATACTAGCGCTGATCAGGGCTCTTCCGGCGACCATGGGAATGGTGACGCCTGCTCCATGGTAGAGCTTCTTGGCGTTAGCCCAGCCGGTATGCTCGTTCACAAAGCACAGCGCCAGACCTTTAAGCCAAACCTCTTCGACGTTCAGGGTGTGGGCCATTAGTCCCGACTACACACAGTCAGTAGGGAAAATTGCATATAAGGTTTGCGGGACAATCTAACAGCGCAAGCAGACACCGGCGTCTTCTGGCAGATAGTCCTGGTGTCTTCAGCTTCTCCATGAGAGGCCACTCTCACGGATCGGCAACACCTTGGTTCGTAACAGGGATAGAGGACGGAACAGGAGCGGGAGACAGACGAGGAGGATGATCTGAAGGTCGGCGGTGGCTGGGGTCGGAGCAATCAGGCGATACTGGCGGTTCTGTCGGTGCTGCTGTCGGCCGGTTCGAGGAGCAGGGACCAGAGGTGCCAAAAGGCCGCCAATTTGGCGCGCTCGCGGCACATTTGCCGGTCTCGAAGGGCCAGAAGCGCCAGCAGAGCCGTAGCCACAGAACCGGCACCTTTCCGCGCTCTACACAGAAGTAAATTCTGCTCTTGATTGGCGTAGGGCCCCAACGGTTTCTTCTCGGCCATGGGTCGAAGGTTATCCTATCGACAGTAAATGCCCCTCTCGGCAATCTATGTCTTGTCGAACATGGCAAGACTGCCTTCAACCCCAAAGTCGCCTGTCTGCTGGACGTCTCTAACGTCCTCCGAGACCCAACTGTTCTCAGCGTTTGGATCGGCACGGCTTGTCTAGCCCTTTCTGAGTGAGGCGAATGGCTGGAACAACCTCAACCGAAGAGGCACCGTTGCACTGGAGTTACTCACAGGCTCGAGAGCTTGAAGTTGGTGAGGTACTTGAGGTCCTTCTCTCGGACCGCTAGTGTCTCACATAATTCAAGCTGTCCAGTCTGTGAGTAGCCTCCATCTCGTCCGGTGAGGTGTCAGACCCAGCCACATTGACACTGCTGTTGCTGCCCTGGCTGCCCTGGCGGTGTGTACTGGATCCGGGACACATCACATCGTTTCCCTCGCTCTGTCCTCTGCGTGCTCGTTGCCCGTTCTCATCATCGACATCGTGGATCACGACCAGATAGGGGTCGTCTGCGGCTACGCTTGAAGGGATATCTTCCAATCTGGCTTTTGCTGCCCGGATACCGTCAGCACACTGGAAACCATGCCCGCACTCGCTGTCTCGACCAAGTTATTGTCCTGGACAGCAAACTCTTGAGATGCGATCCGTCGCATGACGTGAAGGAACGAAGAGTTCTTGAACTTCTCTCTCTCGTTGTTGGAGACCGAGTCGACGAGCTGCTGGGCAGCATGCGCAAGTGCGGTGTTGGGATTGCTCATCTTCGGGAATCGGTCAGGTCGATAAGTTGGTGGGCATCGTCGGTCAGGTTGGTAAGTTGATGGGCATCGTCGGGTCGGCCTGCACCATGCTGTCGTGCTCCCTCTTGAGCGAGCGCCTTGTCTACCGCCCGATTCCCCCACCGAGGCCCTGGGAAGACTGTCCTGGCTCCGTCAAGTCTTTCGTCCCTGGGCCTCGTGGTACTGGCCGCGGAAAGGATCAGGCACCGTGTAGGCCGGCGGCGGGATGACCCCCTTCACCTCCGCGATCGCATAGGGTCCCCCACGAACCCCCGGGCTTGGCTCTAGGTAGCTCTTGCCCATGTCGCCAAGGATCTCCCATATCAAGGTCTTTGAACGGTGTGGTGAAAAGCAGGCGTGCGGATGGGCGGATGCAGATAGATGAAAAGAAAGGTGGAGGTTGAAGATATCATGGAGACCATTTACGGGATGCCGGCGCAGCTGGATCTGGCTCTGGCTCTGGCTCTGGCTTTGCAGATGAGCAGCTGCTCATTTCAAGCTTACATGTTCCTCCTCCCGCCGTGCCTATCAGTGATTCCACCCGGGTCCTCTAAGAACCAGTTCTCTCCATCAATGCGATACCACACCCAGAGCACCCTTGACCAGTTGTCTCTATCCATGCAGAAATCAGACGAAGACCCAGTCGACGTAGACACGTTCGATGTCGGGGTTGGCCAGGCTCTGGAAGACGGCAGGAGAGACGTCGATGGAACCGGAAGCGCATGGGGCGGCATGTCCATGTTGATGATGCTTGAAAGGAGACCAGACAACAAGACCAGAAGACAGGACAGGACATTCCTTATCAAGTGGTCAAGCCGTCTCAAGAAGATGCATAAAGACCGCCCCGAACCCAAAGATATGTAGTGAGTTCTCATTGGGACGGGAATCCCCGTGGCAAAGCGTTTGATCATGGTGGTGTCGATGCGCTCTTTCCCGGGGGAATGCACCCGGTCCTTCTCCTGAAGGTGTACCCGTATATGCTTGAGCAGGGCCTTGGCCATCGTGGGTGGTAACGCATTCTCGATCTGCTTCTTTCTCCACGTCCTGTCGAAAAGGCAGCCTACGGAGAAGGTCTGGAGGACAACGGCCAGCCCACTTGCGGACAAGGGCTGCGGAGTGCAGGCTTTGGGTGCACATAGGGCAAGTGACCTGATTCTGGGAGCCGTGTTTGAAGCAGCCCTTGCCGTGCTTAAAGGTGAGGACGTCACTCGCCTTTTTATAGGCATAAACAAGACAATCCGGGACCGCAGACGGCCCGTGCAGCCGTAGAGTCTCGAAGACACGTCTGGCGTACTCCACGTGCTCCCTGAGGGCCACCACTGAGCCCTCCAGTTGCATATCCTTGTGCCTGCCACTACGGGGAGCGATTCGACCTCGATGTCTGACGTTATGGCATTGTACAGAAGCTCTCCGCCAAGCTCATTGTCTACCAGGATGCCTCCAACTTCGGCGAACGCTTCCGATAATTCCGGCTGGTGCTCGGCGCCGGGGAACGCTCATGTTGCTGGTGGCATCGGATCCTGAAGCCGCTTTAGCTAGCATCGTAGGTGATCTCTGAGTTCAGCAATTCTTGATGCAACGCTGCCTAGATATCCTCAAGTCCTACTGGTGGCAGGATCCAGTTGCAACCGAGGGATAACTCGAGAAACTCGTCATGATAAATACGTCGGCTTTTAGGGAGCGGCCTGAACAGGCTCGGCGTAACAGCGCCGCGACACCTCCTGAATTCGGATGCTATACTTCCACGCCCGGCCCTGCTGGTCATACTAAAATGACTATTGCCCCTTGGCAGCGCTTGACCATGGCGCTCAATGGACGCGGTGGCATGTTGCCAGGTGATGAGGGTGGCGAGGAGGAGACCTGGCCTTGAACATTGCATCGCCTGCCAGTGAGCGCAACAATTCAAGCCTACCTGCCGATACGGGACGAATCCGGGATGCATGTACTGTCCGGAGCAAGTGCCATCGGGCTGAGCGATCTGGTGATCGTAGGGGCCCATCGAATACTGGGGGGTATCCGGGGGATCGAAGCGCGGGACGTATGTATGAACCATGGGTCCGGTCCGTTGCTGGTGTCGGGGACCTGCGGCTGGAAGTTCTGCTGGGTGCGCTTTCGAGGGAGACGAAAGAGGCCTCTTGGGTAGTCTCCAGCTGTCTAAACCGGCAATTGCGTCAGCAATCATGGCATCTTGGTAATTGTCTTCCCACTGGCCGACACTGTCGATTCTCTCGCCCACGTCTGTTGTTGTTCGGATCAGCTCGTCGAAAGCTCCAGATTTTTGGAACGTCTCTGCGGTCCAGCTGGCTTCATCCACAACCTCGACACCCCGATTCTTGAAGAGAGCCCCGGAGATCATCTTCGACTGGATCGTAGCTTCATACCACATCGCCGCTTGTTCCTACTGCTTGTACGGTAGCATCCATAACCAAGTGACCGTCCTCGAGAGATCCCGAGCGATGGCTCCAATGCGTCGGATATCTCGGTGTCCTCTGTCAGTGCGGAGCTGGGTAACCCATGGGGGTTACCCAGCGGACGGGACAACAATGACACATCAGCCCTTGCGTGTCTGACTTCGACCAAAGTACATGCTTCTCAACGATGCTAGCCGTTGGACTTCTGGATAGCCTGCATCTTTATGCCCCCACGCCGGCCGGCAGTCCAATTACGGTTGCACCAAATTTCGTAAAAGTGCACCATGCTCGACGGCGCACCGCCGTCGGCAGTCCGGAAATCGAGGTCGAACTTGACTTGGCAGCGGCAGAAGACTCTGACGACGGCAATGCACGACGAGTGGGCGGGGATGCACCCCCCGGAAGCGCGCCAGCAGGTCTTCGTCCTCCAGTCATGCCACGTCGTCTTCGGCAAAGCCTGAACAGCAGCGCGGCGGCCAGACAGAGCCGTCGGCGAGTGCCAGGCGCAGAGCTTGCTTCATGTCGGCTTTGCACATGTGGTGGCCGTAGGGGAAGCCATCTCCCCGTCATCCGTGTTGATAGCCACCTGGCCGGGAAGCTCATCAACGAAAAAGACACAAGCACTGCCACGGAACTCAAGGCACACAAGACCAGTCAGAGCCTCCATCCTCGCCCTTGAGCTGTCAAGTTGACAGCCGTATGTCAGATGAGCATCCCATCCGACCACGTGCAACATGGTACTTCTTACAGCCTCTGACTCCAGGCTACCAAGGATTATCGTACAGAAAGTAGGTTGTTAATTGCCACACTGTTGTATTTTCGATGCTACCATGTGAGTAGTCGGCCGTTCGGGCAGTCAGTGGAAACAGATCGCCAGTCTACATGATCTAGTCCTGAGGGAGACCACCATGATCCGTATCCATGCTGTCACCACCTGCGCCAGGGGTAAGGTACCTGACGAAGCTCAGTCCGAGCGGTCGTCCTCCATACTGATAGCCTTGGGACTTCTGGATGGATCTCTGGACCGTCGCCGTCACATCCATCCATAGCGGCAGATCAGATGGTTCCTTTCGACAGATGGTGACCAGTGCCAGGGGACGTGACAATCCAGATTTGTGTGGATTCCGCACCCAATATCAGATCGTCACATCCATCCACTACTGTCGAAGCGAACAACACCGGTACCTCGTGACCGTCCGCTAGGCTCGTACTGGATCTCGGCCTGCTCGACCTGTTCGATGGTCGTGAAGAGCTCTACGAGATCCTCATTACTAGTGGGCCGAGGGCGGTTTCACACGTAAATAATCTCGCTTGGGTCGGTTCCTGCAGTAGCAAAGTCGGCGAACGCGTTCGGTGCTTGTGTAGTGGGAGCAGCACTACTGGCGCCATCGGATGTACCTGCAATGCTGGCTCATCCGTACTGGGCCGTTTCGGGCTGCTGGTCTCTCCATCTGCAGGGAGGTAGCCAGCTGTGGCAGAGTTGACCTGTGAAGAGGTTAGCATGTGCGGACACGAAGAAGGCTTCAGAGTTGAAGAATCATCAGCTTACAGTGGGCTTTACAACGCCTTCGCAGATTACACAGGCTAAAATCTTGTTGCAACCCTGAACGACCTGGGCTTGCCCTCTTCGGCTACCTCGAGAATTTTTCAGAGTCACACTGTCTCTCTAAGCTTCATCTCACAAGCGCAGGCATTGGCCGCGTCGCCGGAGCTTGAGGGGCTGCGGATTGGCAACCTGTTGCAGACCACCTTGGTGGGCGGCTTATCCTGTCGGAAGACGACCGCAGCCGGGAATGATGAGATCACGCCCGTTGGTTTACTGCTGCAACAAGTCGTTGCTTTGGGCCACTCGCCCAGCCAGTTCGGGCGGCTCTCCATGACCTTGTACTCCTGATAGGAGGCTACACTGGTTAGCGGAAGGTAGATTTATTGCTATAAATGAGACCTACTATCTGGTGAAGGCTACCTTGAACCATGATTTCGGATGATGGAAGTATTTGTTGGTATGGGGGTGGTTGTAGGTGTGAAAGGAGTCAGAGATGTAGAAGTATTTGAGTGTGTATATGTTGTGGTGGAGGAGATGGAGGGCGGAGGGCGGAGAAAGAAAAGACGGAAGTGGGAGATATAAATATTCGTGAGAAGGACTGCAATATCGATCTTGGTACGTGGACACTTCGGGTGGCAGCAGACCCTTTGCGAAGGACCAGCGCAGGGATGGTAATACTCATGAGCTTTGGTATCGACTGGTGCGCGAGTGTCGACGTCGGTATTGCAAGTTACTGTGTGCAACTGTATTGCTGTAAGTACAGTATCATACAAGCGTCTGGGGATAAGACGCTACCATCGTATAGGGGGCCCTCTTAGGCCGTTATTCTCTTGCTCGGTATTGCCAGAGTTCTCGGTTTCCTCGTCGATGTCACCGTTGCGGGCGAGAGATGCTTGTTGGCACCATGGCGTCGTCTATCGAGATGACGGATAAAAATGCTGAAAAATCCGTTATGTGTACATCTTCCAGGCAGATTGTTTCCCGTCTCGCTGGAACCGTTGCAGTTCGGCGTTGTTGCCCTGAGGCGTTGCGAGACCTGGGTGCTCTTTCTGGCCACAGCGACGGAGAAGGTGACGCAGGATTTGAGCCCACGCCATCCCCAGAAGCATTACGACTCCCCATATCTGCAACCGTCGGACGAAAAACAGTTCCGCCAAGAAATCGAGGCAGTGCCGGTGGTTCAAGTAGACTCGCGCCAATGGTTAGGTGTTCGGCGACGGAACCAGAAGAATCACAGACGAACAAGTGGGTGGCGTTAACTCCCGTGGACCTTTTACGCTGCGTGTTTATTCCTTGTGGACTGAATAGCGGTTAGTAAATGGCTCCACGTTATAGTTGCAGTGCCTGTGGCCGTTGCTTGAGACTCGGCGATACTGCTAGCACCGGTCGCGATGGTTTCGCCTGTGTGGAAAGCTGGTCCGGGTCTAATGGGCACACCTGTTACTGCGTCGGGTATAGCTTGCTGATAGACAGCTCTCGTTCCATTATCATGCCCGGTGCCATGTTTGGGTCGGACAGATGAAGTGGTTTGGCCATTGTCTTTCTCTGGGTTCCATCACGGTTGGAATGATCGAAGGGGGAAAGGATCAGCTTCTATGGGTTCTGTCAGCACTGTACGGGGGTGGTACCAGGACTGGGTATTGCGTCCGCTCACATCTGTGCACATAGTAGGAGATGGGGGGAGGAAGAGAAGCTTGTCTTGTGAGACAAGGCCGTATGCTGCTGCGTAGTGTGCCGCGCTCGATCCCTGGTTGGTGGTATTATGTTGCTGCAGTACTTCGATAGCCCATTTGCTCCAGTGTCGGTCAGTCTGGGATAAAGCCGAGATCGCCTGGCTGTCATTGCAACATTCTGCGATATTCTTGACAATTTCGGAATATACATTGCCAAATTGCTCCGCACGGTGGCGGACTCCGAGTCTCATGGTTGCTAGGGGTGGTCTCGTTCAGTTGATGGTAGGTAGAGCGACTCGTAGGGGTCGTCGTCGGACGGAGTCTGGTGCAGGACTTACGATATGGACATCTTCAGACAGCTCAAATATACTATTCCCTACTTCGTCGACTTTCTTCAGGTACATCCGGATGATGAGAGATCGCGTTCTGTGGGCTGAGTACTCGAATGACCCCTGCTGGAGCCAGCCGGAGGTCAGCGAGGATGGTAGGGCTCCTCGCCAGACAGAGTGTTGAGGGTCAGATTAGCCGCCCATTGTGGGTGGGTTAAGTGAGGTGCTTTACTGGCGAAGGGCAATGAGGACTGCGATCTTGTTTATATGGCGCCGATGGATGTTGTGATCGGGGCAGTGTAGGGGAAGCAGAATAGACTTGGTTGATGCCTGAGTTGTGTTGAGGTGGGAGGAAGAGAGGAATTGCTGGGTTTTTGAGGGGGTGTCCTCAGGAACTTGAATATTTTGTGCAAAGAACTAGAACTTCTTGGGGCATGGGATTGCTAGGACAAGCCGCGCGGCTTGAGCCCGTGGCTCGGAGTCATGGTTTGAAATGGAGATGGGAGTTGCCAAAGAGCTGACAGCCGTGGCTTGATACCGTGGCTGGGATATGAGATTAAGATCGGTAAACGGCTGTATCATGGATAGTCTAGGGGACAACTCAGGAAATGATTATTCGCGTATCTATCAGGCCCTGGGAGGGCGTGGGCACCCCCTAAGATCGCCGCGGGCCCGTGTGTTACCCCTATGATCGCCGTGGGGCCCATGTGCCTTCCTCATAATCGCCGCAGGACCTGTATATACACCCGGTCATTGCCGCAGGGTATCAACCCTCTATAGTCGCTGCGGGGTGTGTACCTGTGGTTAATGACCGGGACAGCGGTGACGAAGGTGATGATGGCGAGGACGGCGCCAGCAGAATGAGAAGTACCCTTAGCGACGACGGTCAGTGAGGCCCTAAACACATGTGACAAGCTTCACATGGCCATGATACGCTTCCACCTGTGCGCTGCCAATAGTAGAGGCATGACTTCGTAGAAACAGGCACTATGACTAAGAAGTTAGGAAACTCATTAGGGGCTCGCATTGTTCTGTAGAGAGACCGGATCAGAGTTGGGGTTGGAGCCCGTTAAGGAACCACATCCTTCTTTTAAGGGCAATGAACGTTTCCAGTGGTTTGCAGATTCATGACAGACCTATGAATGTGAATGGTGAAGCTGTGCTCATAGCAAAGTATAACTGTCTTCATCACAACCAAGATGGGTTGATAGGGTAGACACGCATAGGGGCTGTCCATTGCTGTGAACTGCTTGTCGGGTCACAAATGACGCCTTGTGATACCCTTTCAACTATGGGGACTTAGGACTTAGTCATTTGGAACGGCATGCACTTCAATGATTACTCAAGCCGAACGGCCTTCTATACTTCTGACAAAGGCTATGAATATGTGTAGTTGCTCCGCGCTTAGCACTCATGTCAGGGGTCCGTCAAGTCCTACAGTCAGGCCATCGAGCTTTGCCGATGACAGGCTGGGCCTCACCAGCAATGGCATTGTTTCGGTCTCTGGCCAGGAACCTTCTCCAAAGGGCTGGCCTCCCCTGAAGTATCGGTGTCACTTCCCAGTATAAGAGTGAGTCATGTCCATGAGCACCGCTATTACCTCCATACTACGATCATCTGTTCACAGATAATGCCCTCAGTACCACTGTCTGCATGGAATGCAAGTCGCCGATTATTAAGGTGCGCACGAAAGGGGCCACAGCGCCTAGTTGTCGGCAAAGGGAGAACTCGGACATTTTCTGCATTGTGTTGAAGATGGAAGTCACCGACAAGAAAGGTTCACACTCAGGGTCGAAGCGTCTAGTAGAGGAGGATCCACGTGGCGTGGTAGCACCCTCCCGCGCCCTGGACCTTCTAGTAGCTCGTAAAGGGGGAAGCTCTGAGGATCTCTCCCAGTGTTTGCCTGTGGATATAGCTTGCTGCAGCTAGCAAGGATAAAAAGGGTTCAAAAGATGAGGGTGAGCCTTAGATGCATGGGAGTGAAAGGGGCTTTGGTCACCAGGTTAAATGATAAGCCTTGCCTTGTGTTTAGAGTGTGTGTCTAGTACTAAATGTTACTTACGGTAGCATCTCCGCCAGCGATCTAAGGGATAGGTGGTGACAGGTGACGGGCACCAGGCGCCGAGCCCACGAACTTACTCTTTATGCACGGGAGCGCCACCTGCCGATACACGCACGAGCGTTGTGTACGACCTGCATATAACTTATAGCCTTACATAAATTCTCGCGTCAGCGTCATCCGGGCTGCTTAACTGCCGGCGCTATATGCACACGTCTACGGCAGCGGCCACGCCCGTCCTCTGGCAGTCAGGTTTTGGCTTATACATCTGGAAACGGGCGCGGAAATGGGCGTGGGACCGACCGGATGGTCGGATGGTCAGATGGTTGGATGGTCAGATGGTCGGATGGTCGGAGGGAATGTTAGATATTTCCTTTGGCTAATCAAAGGACGGAGAATGACAGGTATATATACTCCCTTATGGCTCGGCTAGGCATTCACGGACGCCACATACCGACCCCCTGGTCTGCTCGCGGTCAGAACCTCTGTCTCCCCTGCGATCGCGCGCTGGATAACGCCGTTACTACTGAAGACAAGTTACTTAGGAGCAGCTGACTGGATGGAAGCAGTCCTTGGAACGCGTCGCATTGTGACAGTGACGGCTTTGAAGGTGATACCATCAGGCACGTACGACGAGGTCGCGTGGGCGTTGAGAGACACGTTCGCTATGCGTGGAGGGCGCGTTTGCCGCCGACGTCGCCGCTCCGCAACGCGTGAGACGGACCCCCAAGCGATCATTCGACCTGACGAAGCGCGAGAAATCATCTGGTCACGACGACGGCAGAGGCATGCGGAGCAAGCAGCAGTCCTCCCAGCTGGCCGAGGCATCCTGATAAGAGACGATTGCTCTGACGCAGCGCATGATGAGGACGCGTGTACACACTGAGACAACGATAACTGGAGAGAACAAAGCGCTCGTGAGCGGGTTGGGTGTAATACGAACGGAGTATCCGCAACAACCTGGAAGCAACGGCCACATCATTTGGTTGACATCGTGAAGCGCGTCGAGCGCGAGGCATGACACAGGCCGACGTTGATAGCAGGAGAGGTCGAGACGGAACACGGCGCTGCGAAGGAGACGACCCGTTCAGTGATGTAGCTGTGGCCACAGCATGCGTTGAGCGAGGTCTCCTCTTTCGTGATCACGGCGTGTGTGAAGAAGACGTACGCAAGTCTGGATAACGCGTTGGTGTTGGCTCGGCTTCACCTGGAGAGCGCGAACAAAGCCAAGCGACGGGTAGGCTTCCACGGCGAGAGCATTATCAGCATCAGCATCACAAGCACGGAACAGGAGAATGAGGGCGAACGAGCGAGCGATGTGCGGCATCACGGCACGGCAAGGCACGGCACGGCACGGCATCACAACGGCTGCAGCGGAGCCTCGAGATTTTGAGAGATGACGAGACGAGAGATGAAGGAGAAGACCATCACAAGCATCGGAGCGCGTTCGCAAAGGAAAGGGACGAAGATCGAGTAGATGGAGCCTCGCTAGCTGTAGAGGTTGGGTCTTAAAAGCGCATGGCTGTATTTACTAATTTAGTACTCTTCCCGTGCTAGCCATATTCCTGTCAGCTGGCATCGAAATTAGGGGAGTCATTCCCACCCGTCATTCATGCTGGGTGCATGTAACCAAGCCGATGCTGCTGTGTTTCTATGGCAGGTCGACTGCACCCTCAGGCGACGTTCAGACGGCTAGGGGCAGTTGGTGTGATGATTAATAAGGGGGGTTCGTAGAGGCCTCGGGGTCTACATACGTTACCTTACGGAGGTAGCTCCCGCCCGACCGCTCTTCAACGCTGCAACTGCCGGCGCTTATGCAGCTTCGCCTGCTTCACTACCTTTGCAGGGATGGGGGTTCTGGCCAGGCCTACTGTGCAGACGAGATCATTGTTGGGCGACAAGGGTTGCAATGGGGGCTCTTGTGCAAGTTTATGCATGTCTTGTGCAATTTTGTGCAGGTGCTAGAATGGATAGTGCCGGTATAAGTCTACCGGTACGGGGCACTGGGGTGCCGAGGGTGCTTCCTCCCGCGACTTGTGCATCGCACCAGCCTGGAAATGCATTGTGCAAGTATAATTGCACGGCCGGGGAATATATGGCGGGAATAGTGTGTACGAGCGGGACTCCGGCTACCCGTGTGGATCAGGTATGCCATGGTGGCCGGGTGGACCCCCCACACTGCGGATCGAAATGAGAGCTGGAAGATGACTGTATGAGAGTATAAAACACTCCTCCTGGCCGTTGGTTGAGTCGGGACTGCGATGGTCTGTCTGTCCTGAGTTCTGACACTCTGGATCTTCGCTCGACACCACTGACGACCATGGCTTCTTCAATCCCGTCAGGAGTCCCTTGGGCTGACCGAGTATCCGTCACCGCCATGGACATGGGCATCCGCCCTTACCTTATTCCACTCTTTGTGTGCGTCCTTGCTTGCTACTACCTTTTCGGCACGAAAAGCAGCGAGTTCGAGTTGATCAATCCTCGAAAGCCCTTCCAGTTCACCGACGTCGAGGCCAAAAAACACTTCCAGACCCATGCGAAAAGACTGATACATAAAGCCCTTGACGCGGCCCATGGCAAGCCGTACAGAGCCATCACCGAGATCGGCGAAACCATCGTGTTGCCCAACAAGTACGCCCAGGAGGTTCGCAATATCCCCGAGCTAAGTTTCGACTCGGCCATTAGACACGTGAGTCTTCTCTCAGCCTTTCTCGTACCAACGATGAACCACTGAACGAAGACTGCAGGAATTCCACACGCACCTATCCACCTTCGAGACCTTCAGGGCCGGCACCAACGGCCAACAGCTGGTCAGGTTCGTCGCACAAAGACAACTGACACAGAAGCTTGGTAGGAAAAACCACGAGCCCCGAAGGTGACTCCGGTATAGAAGATTATACTGACAGATTTCGGACTGCTAGGGCATGTGACACAACCGCTCTCTGACGAATGTACAGCCACGTTGCAAGACCTCCTGGGAGATAGCAAAGGTGAGCGGTTCTCTATCTCCGCCACCGATGTATACGTAGATTCGCTGACTTGATCTTCAAGAATGGCATGAGATACAGCTCAAGGACACCATGCTGATGCTCGTGGCTCGCATCTCATCCAGAGTCTTTCTGGGGGAGGAGTTGTGCCGCAACCCGGAGTGGCTGAAGATCACCATCGACCATACGGTTTCCCTATTCACGTCTGCCAGGCAGCTACGAGTCTACCCTTATTTGTTGCGCCCGATCGCGCAGATGTTCCTGCCTTTGGCGCGGGATACGCGCCAGCAGGTCAGGGATGCTCGACGCGTCATCCAGCCGGTGCTCGACAAGCGACGCGCCACCAAGGCGGCCATGATTGCCGAGGGCAAAGATCCCAAGGAGCTGAACGACGCGATGGAGTGGTTCGAGCAGACCGCCAAGGGCCAACCCTATGACCCCGCGCTCATGCAGCTCAACTTGTCCACGGCTGCTATCCACACCACTACCGATCTCATCATGAAAGTCCTTGCCGATATCATCGCGCACCCAGATATCATTGAGCCCCTGCGAAAGGAAATGGCCGAGGTTATCGGGAGGGACGGCTGGAAGAAGACTTCACTGTACAATTTGAAGTTGCTCGACAGCGTTGTCAAGGAAACGCAGCGTGTGAAGCCGGTCGCGATAGGTAAGCCCTCATCCCTCATCCCTATTCCCCTTTCCAACCAGGGCAGTGCCAAGACCAAGCAGCTGACCGAGGACGAACCTAGCCTCGATTCGACGCTACATTGAGAAGGACACCAAGCTCTCCGACGGCACCGTCCTCCCCAAGGGAAACTTCATCATAGTCTCAGCCGAGAAGATGTGGGATCCGGAGGTCTACAGCGACCCGCAGGAATGGGACCCCTACCGCTTCCTCAAGATACGCCAAGACCCGGGCAATGAGTCCTGGGCACAGCTGGCGAGCACCAGTCCCGAGCACATGGGCTTCGGTCACGGCCAGCACGCTTGTCCCGGCCGCTTCTTCGCTGCCAACGAGGTCAAGGTCGCGCTCGTCCACCTGCTGATGAAGTACGACTTCAAGTTCAGCGAGGCCGGGGAGCCCAAGGTCTTCCCCTATGGATGGTCTATCGTGGCCGATCCACGCGCGAGATTGATGGTGAAGAGGAGACAGGAGGAGATAGAGCTCTGAGCTCCAGGGGAGGCGGCACGATCTGATGGAAGAACTGTAACATGACCGAGGAGCGACAGAAAAGGATGATATTAGTGTAGCTAGGTATTAGTCACCAGTCGATCGGGCCGTAGGTCGTAGGTAACAGCGAACTCTATAACTCGACTGAACACACTGCGTCTAAACCCAGGTACCGTATCCAATACGCCAAACGACAGTAAGTCGCGTTCGCCTCGCGCTGGGCCTTTCATCCGAACCTCTCGCACCACTGTACAGCGCTCCCGTCGTCACTCCCGTTGTCACGGCCTCTCTCACGACCTCTCCTTCACAGCGCCCCAGCCACGATAAAGGCCTTGTCGCTGCTGGCCACGGGACCCAACACGCTTGCAGCCCTGCCTGGGCTGCAGAGTTTATTATCCTATGCGTCCCGTCCCAGTGCTGCCAGTCTCTCCCGCAATGCCTGAAACGGGCCAAGGAAAATAACAAACGCCGAACACAGTAGCACTCCGCTGACGGTTGTAAATATGCGCGAACACATGCTTCCTGGCTCCTCTATCGCGTCGCCGCCGTCAAGCCCGCACTCGTCTCGGCACTGGTCCCAGAGCCGGCCGCAGTTATAGCAGAACATTGTGCCGCAGGGGCAACTGTCCGGGATCATGTGATTAGCGAGATGTTCGAGAGCTTTTTTCGGGGCTGGGATCATGCGAAACACAGGCTTAGGTAGTAAGAGAGAGGGGGTCTCCAACATACGTGATGTGGGTGCACCCATAGGTACGATCGATGGCTTGTCTGCACGTCGGGCATAGCTTCCATCGTTTGCGTTCGATGACCTCCTGCGTCTGCCTCGCAAGTCCGAGTTCGACGCATTTTTCTCCTCCCTCGGCGTGGGCCTCGCCACGGCACGGGGCGCACGTCCGTCGGCCGCAGGACTGGCATTCCGCCACCAAGTCGACGATTTCCCGGGTCGAAATGAGGACGTTGCAGTCTTCGCTGCTGCACGGAAGCGTAACCATGTTTGTGTGCAAGCTGTGGTAGGCTCGAACGCGCTCCTTGCCTAAGGCCGCGAGGACTGCAGGTGTGAGCGCGATTCGGCCACAGCATTTGGCCGGGTATCGTTCGAAGATCTCATAGAGGCATCCCTGGCAGGCTATGTGTGCGCAATCGAGCCTTATGCTAACGCGGTCGGCGAGGGGTTCCAGGCAGACCTGACATGTTTCTTCCCACGGCGCCATGTGATCGTGTGGCTGACCGTCGGGGAGACTCCATCTCCTTGTTTTAACAGGCACGAACATGAATATTAGAAAGGTGGTCTGGATGCTCCTTGACGTGTAACGTATAAGGACTCGATTCGAACGGTAAACGAGGTAGAAGTCCTGCTTCACAGCGACGATTCTCTAAGTAAAGATCATCTTCAACATTGATGACCTAGTGTGATTGTGAGCATGTGTTTCTTGCCATAAGGTTCCCTAGCGTAGACAAATTCATAACAAAAGCTCTCAAGCCTCGGATATGCCAACGCGACGCGACCTACAGCCACACAGCTGACAATTGAGGCCGGGACTTGCACGAAGATCATACAATGGAATACCCGACACGCGACCAATTTGTAGCGGGAAAAGCTCTCCACATAGCAGACTGGCAAAACGACCCCCACGAGGCACAAGGCACGTCTCTCGGCCGGCTTCTCCTCGACACGCTCAGCAAAACGCGCTCAATTCGGGTGAGCGCGTATCGAGAAGCATCGTCTGAGTGGTGACATTGTCCCAGAAGAACCAAGCTTCCTTGTCATGGCTGGGACTATCGGGTCATTAGTAACAACGCTTCTTGGTACTTGGAAGCCTCATGCCGAGTGACGCGGGACGAGTAAAGGGGATGCAGCGGGGAATTAAACGGAACAAACATACTCGCGTAAAGTCATCGCGCCAGTGTCGTTCTGTGGCTGATAGCCCCATGAGACTGTCCAGTCATTCTCATCGCATTTTTGATTGTAGAAGCCCCAGGTCTGCGGGTCAGAGCCAGAAGGAGGCATGGCGTCAATGGTACAGGCAAGTTGATTGCCATTCTCGTCTTTGAACCCGAGGTCCATATGAACGGCGGTACTGCTGACAGCTACACAGTTTCTTATTAGTGCTTGTCCAACCGAAGAAAAAGTCTTCGCGCGGGTTAGGGCGCTCGCTTACTTCGATTCAGCGAGTCGATGCCCCAGACACAAGTGCCTGGAGATGCTCGCTCAGCTTCCGAGACCTCATCGTCATTGCCGAAGTCTCCGACGGGGTATGCAGGGCTCTCCTTGGAAGTAACGATATTGTCGTCTTCAATCTCCCAGTCGTCGAATCCAAACCATGCGTAGGTATTCTTCCCGAGATCGGTGAAGCAGAGGACGATGGAGTGGTTCGAACCCCAGGCACCGTTGACCCTTATCGTGTTCTCCGAGCCCTGGCAGACGACACTCTCGAAATGGAGGTGGTCCGGAGCGACGTCGTCGGAGGGTGATCTCACAGTGAAGCCACACTCGTGAACGTTGTTACGACCTTCGTCGATGGCGAAGGTGTAATCACATGCACCCCCAACACACCCGATGTAGCTGTCACGAAGGACCCAGGTGCCCACCGGCTTGAGGGTATGGCCATTCGAGGCAGCCACCAGCGCAGGGCTGGCGAGAATAGCGAGAGCTGCGGCAGTGAACATGGCGAGATTCTGGACAGGACGCAGTCGGTGAAGGAGGGCTATGAAGAGTCTGCGAAGAGAAGTTCTCTGTCAGGCAGTTCAGAGGAGGCTGGTGAGTCATAGTTCCTATATATGCAGCGAGAAGCACCTTCAACGCGATAGAGCCGCAGCCCATTTTGGAGTTGTGAACCATTTATGCTACACCTGGGTGAGTTGTCAAACGAGGAGCCGTTTGCTTGTTGTCGTCGTCCCGTGTTCGTGAATCATCCCGTCGGACACCGGCCCTCTGCAGACTCAAGCGAGGATTCCGACGGAATGGCCGAGCTGGATGCTTCGCAATCTCTCGTCGGCAAACAAGTCAGAAAGAGAATGCAACTGCACACCATACTACACAACGTCATTCAGTCATTCAGGTCCGGTGCATCTGGCTTCCGAGAAATCAGTTCGCACACAGGTATCAGCTTTGCCGTATGTACTGACCCGTATCGACCCGTGGCCCGTATCAATAAACATCGCAACGTGTATGCCTTGAGCAGCCTTAGCAGTAAGCTGTGAGCCTCGGAGTGTCGGCTTCCTGCAGCGCCCGGCAAGCAGCGCCATGAGCAATCATCATTACTTGAGATGTAGGCACAGGGTGCCTAGCCTCAGATTCTCAGTGTCGAAGTCCGATTCATGCCTGCGACTGTGAGACGTACCTCCTTCTAATGAACTCTGCAAGTCTAGGTAGGGACAAGTTGGGAGCCCACAGATAGGATCATGAAGGATTGAGATAGAGCAGCAACTCGATTGACGTGTTGCTCCGAAACAAGACTGTTCTCAAGCCTCACTCATGAAAGCCATGGGCTACTTTTCTCCTTTCCCAGTGGTTGGCGGTAGAGCCATGGAGGAGGCTGAAAGGAGGCACCAGCAGTCGAGTGCGAGGAGAAGCGGCTCATACTGACCGAGCACGTCTGTGACTCCAGACTTGGCTCAAGGTCTGTACAAGCAAAACACTACATCGCAACTCGAGTGGCATCCTACCGTCACACGAGCTCAGGTTACACGAAGGGATTCAATTTCATGGAGACTGGTCGGGCTTCCGGGGCTGCCCCAGCCACCTGCAGAGAAATTGACGGGTCAGGGTTGAAGCCACAGATTGAAGCAGCAGAAATAGTGTGGCTAGAATCAAGCCCCACTGTGGCTGGACGGCAACCTGAAGCTCTTTTTAGCTCTTGTCAGAATTTGACACGACACAGATTCCTCTTCCTCTTCCTTCATCATCTCACCAATCCTACCTCCCAGCCCTTCTTCAGCTGACCTTCCCCTCGATTGGTCAAGCAACATGCAAACAGCGGCGCAGTTGGCCGCCTGCTTGCCTATTGTGCCACCATAATACAGCCCATGCATTGAGCCTCGTCAAAGGAAGCAAACGTGTTCTTGTCCTACTTCCTGACCTGCCTCGCGCGGAGCTGGTTATCCACCTTCACAACATTTTTCCTTCGACCTGACAACTTGACAACTTGAAATCGTCCACCAGCACAATCGCACAACATGTCCGACGTAGCGAGCGCCTACATGGCCGCTCCTCCCATTGCGAGGTAAGCCATCTGTCTACATGCTAGCAAGATTACAAACGCTCGCTCTCGGCAATGGCCCAAACTGAGTCTCCCGACAGGACTGTGGCAACCGTTGTCTTCGTCTCCTCTCTCTGTGTCTACACGGGCATGCTGTCGATGTATGGCTTCGTCTTCCACTACTCGTTCCTCCTCAAGTTCCCTCCGGCGATCCAACGACTTGTGACGAGCTTCCTTATCACGTCGAAAGACTTTGGTGTCATCTTCGACACCTACTTCGTCTACACATATCTGAGCCAGCTTGAGAGGGGCAACCCGAAGTTCATGAAGAAGGAAGATCTGATCTGGTACTTGATGTTTGTTGGCGCCACCATCATTGTAGGTCACATTTTTCTCGCCTTGGGTTGACCCTTGTCTTTCGATGCTCGCTGTCCCCCATCACAGCAACACAACACGTCTGCGTACCTCTTCTATCTGCCCGCATAGCGTACTGCTTCAACAGCTATAGCGGTTCCTGAAAAAGAGGAAGATTACCCCTGCACTGTTGGCTGGTCCGTCATTCGCAACCTCGTTTAGGATCAGTCCGGAGTGTGGGCATGGTGGGATGTCTAAATGGATGACTCGGGCGATGTCTTTGACTGTTTGTCCGGGTGGTATCTAGCGCCCTACATACCTTGATGACTGGATAAATTTCATTTCTCTTTGCTATCTTGGAGACAATACTTGAAGATCTGGAAGCAAGGAACGAAACGCTAACCATATCTCTAGGGTATCAACCAGGTATTAACCGGAGCATACATGTATTTGCACGCTATGCTCATCGCGATCTGTTACACGGCGACCCAGGATCAGCGTGGGCAACAAGCACACTTCTACGTGGTCAATGTTCCCGCCCAGCTCATGCCGTGGTGCATGCTGCTAACAAATCTGCTCTTCGGTGGTTGGGCATCGTTCCTGCTGGGCTTGACTGGGATTGCCGCCGCTCACCTGCATGACTTCTTGACACGAATCTACCCCGAGTTCGGAAACGGACCAAATCTTCTCCCCACGCCATGGTTCATCTCGTGGATCATGCGTACGCCTAGAGCACGAAATACTGTCTATGGATCGTCCCATGCACCTCCGAGTGGTACAAGCGGTCGTGGTGGTCCATTGCCAGATTCGTGGAGGAGTACGGGGCCTGGCCGACGTCTGGGTTAGCCTATGCTGGGGTCATAGGTATATCGAGCTATAACGAATATAATGAATCCCAACAAGCTCTGCGTGATGACTACCTTGTGTGATCGTCCCAAGCCAGTGGCACACGCTCAGCAGCATATCCCTCTGGACGGTACCAGCACACATGGCCCTGGTCACCGGAGCATTCTGGCTTGACATCCTTGGGACGGCTCCTAGTGGGCATAAGCATACCGAGGAGATGGACACCCTCGCTAATCTCAGTGCCAAAGTGATTCACTGCACTCACAGCTTCCGTTCAGCTGAAGCCCCTGGTATACCAACAATGTTGACATTAATGCTGCCTGGTCTATTGATCTGGGTACGGAAAGACAGGCATTTCATGAGACCTCACCCCCTGCAGTACGCCAAGCATATCGTACGCACGTCTCCACACAAACCATTACCTCCTATTGCCATCCACTCGTGTCCCCGACCGAGCCACTGCCGCACTGATCTTACAGTCCTGTTGATTAACAGTCACAAGCCTCGACTGGACTTGGACCAGCGGTTCCCAGGTTTTCATCCTTGTTGATGTGATGAAACCCGAAGAACGCGCGGTGCTTTCGTGCGGGGCTATAGAAAAGGCAGTCATATTAGCTTTCGTGGTCGACTCAACGGAACGGAAAGGGGAGGAAAAGGACAAGGATCTGCCGTACTCTACGAGGGTCATGATCCCCGCGTCTCCAGCCGTCGTGTAACCCCAAGACGCGGTCCAATCGCTGTTGTTGCACTTCTCGTCGTAGAACGACCATGTGGCCAGCTCGTTGCCCTCCGGTGCTTGCAGGTTCAGGTAGCAGGGAAATGGTTCCGCGGCGCCGTTGCGGATGCCGAAGCTCATATTGACGGCGTGCGTGGTAGGGTCGCTGTCTTTGATATATATGTCAGTCATGATGTATGTTTCATCTGCCATGTTTGTTTAGAGATAGGCGGGCCGACTCACGGCGATACATGTTCGCGACGGTCCATTCCGCAGCCGTCGTATTCTCAAAGCGTGGGCCATGATGGAAATCAGCCAGGGCAGCACGAGCCGCCGCCGCCGCCGACGCCGACGACGACGACGACGACGACGCACCCAGCGGCTTTCTGGCCACGATCTGGGGGGCGATAGTGGTATTCGTGTCGAGCTTCAAGTCCGGAAAGCCGAAAAAGGCCTGGGACTTTTCCACCGCGTTCACGATGACCATGACGACGAAGCGCAGGGGGCTGTGGCCGCCGTTGATGACGAAGGCGTTGTTGCCGCTGCATTTCGCCACGGTCCAGGACCGGTCGCCGCAGTCTTGGCCGGGCGGGGCGACGACGGTGAAGTCGCACGTGTAGGTGGTGGTGGGGCTGCCTGGGGTGTTGGGAGCGGGTGCCGGATCGCTTAGGCGGAGGTGCCAGGAGCAGACAGTGTTATTGCTGGACTTGGTGCGGTGGGCGTCCGACACCATCCACTGCCCCGTGGCCGCGTCGCTGTCGCTGTCGGCGGACGGTAGCGGGATGGCGACTGCCAGCAGGCCGCTGAGGAGGAGGGTCGTGGCCAGGGAGAGGGAGATGGTATACATGATTGGTACTGCTGATTGATTGTATGTGACTGCAACGAGGGTGGATTATGATGTATGTGACTACAACGAGGGTGGGTGCGGGAGGTGGTGATGTATGATGATGGTGTATCGTGTTGTTGTTGTTGTTGTTGTTGTTTGCGGGAGGATGGGGCCGTGGCTGGGGTGACGAAGTGCAGTGCTGTCTTAAGTAATGGGTCTGGTGTTTACAGCTGGTTCGTGACTCCTCCGTTGATGGTAGTTGACGCAACTTGATACAGGAAGGCATGTATGTTGCCGCGACACTTCCACTCCAAAGGCAGGTGGCCACTCCCCAACAGGGGGCAGGACAGATGACGAAGCTGGCATTCTTCGCCGCAATGACGATGACCCCTCAAGACCAAACCTTGAATGGTGGGAAAGCGCGAGTCTAGAACTGCAGATGCCATCCAATCCGCCTGTCTCGCCGTGCTGATGCCACCTACCTCCAGGAACCATGCCCAACCTCTGACCGGTAGATGGTGCCTGCAGTACCGACGTCCCAGATAGACTCTGCTAAGGTTGTCCTACACGCTGATCGCAATGGCCCAGATACTGTCTCTGGATACCCGTCAGACCCATTTTGGGTTTGGTTGTTTGCTTCAAGACGGGATGCTGAATCGGACACAGGACGGCCGCAGGCCACGTTCCAGATACAGTACGATCTGTTCGGCGGACAAGAGCAAAAGGCTCTCTACAGCCTTAATTCGCCGAAATTGGCCGGTCTGAGACGCAATAGGGGCTTTGTAGAGGTTGACATGTGCGGTTTCCCGAGACATTGGTAAACGGGCAGATACCCGTGCCTTGATATCGGCGCCGCCGACGGCATCGGCATCGAACCCAACAATTGACTTCGTACACCGCAACAGTCAGGATTCATACGGCTCGTATTGTCGTTGAAGTGTGCGACGATGCTGGCGATCTCGTCTGAAATAGAGATAGTGGCATGTGTCACTGCGAAACGAAGCGAGGCTCGTAAGACGTTCTGCAGCCTCAGCTGAGACACCGGAGGCGAATGACAACAACGAGCTTTGGGGCTCAACTTCACTTCAGATAGGGGTCCTGTACCGTGGACATGAGGCTCCTAGTGCAATGGCTCTTTGCAACCTGATGCCCCTGAGAATGTGTTGAAGTGATATTTAATGAGAGCACCGCCTGTGGACCGGGCGGGGAAGGGGGTTGGTAACGGCACATGGTTGGATTTTGTCACTCAATCATGTATCGTAAAGTTGATAGCGATCATTGATCCTGTTCATTCATATCCATACTATGCCCGATTATACCAAACCACGCCGTGCTACCAGCAGTTGCAACCATGCCCAAAGCTTTCCGACCCTTGATATCCCCCCCCCCCCCCCCCCACCCCCACCCCCCCAAGATACGCCCAAGATTATGCAAATATATACAGCAATACTCGCCCGTTTCTTCCTTCAGCCATACATAGCGCTATTCCCCGACTTGACCTGAGCCTCCGCCGCGATCCACGGCTTCGGCCGTCGGTCAACAGCCGTCTGGTTCACGATCAACGGCGCTGGCGGCTCTTTTCTCCGTCTCTCGTACGCGTCGTCCCCGAACCGCGCCTCGTGAGTGACGATGGGCCTGCTGATCTCGAGGCCAATCGGCAAATCTGCTTGCTGGTCTTGCTGGTCGACCGGAGTGGGGAACTCGACCGTGATCTTGGGTGGGGAGTACTTTTTGGGCACTCGAATCCGAGGCACAGAAGGGAGGCTTAAAGACGGGACTTTGGGTGCGCGGGGAGGCGGCGGTGGCGGTGTGAACGCTAGTTGAGTAGCTTGATGTTGGTGTGAATTTATTGCTGTTTGGTACTGGTGTGCTTGTAACAAAGGCCTGCGGTCGGGCGAGGGTCCGCGGCTGTCGAAGGAAGGGTCAGGACTGTGTGATGACGCTCGACTATGTGAGAAGTTCTGGAGGGATGAGGGTCCGCGGTACGGTGAGGAACCCCTGACCGCCGCCGCTGGTGGCGGGCCCGGCGGTGGGGGTGGTGAACCCATCGCGTTCGCGTCCTCTGCAGCACTGAGGTACGTTTGCAATGCATATGAATCGGGCCTGTTTGTTCTTATGGGTTGAGCTCGACGGACTGTCGAGTCTGCGGACGCCTGGCGACTGTGGGCTTGTGGGACGTAGGCTGGATGTGTGGGCAGTGCGCCCTGGGGGCCGGAACTGGGTTGGTTCGGGTTGGAGGCATAGTGTGGTCGTCGGGTCTGTATCTCCTTCTCTAGCTCCTCGTAGTAGTCCGCGTTGTTGGTGTAGGCCTGCCTAGACCGAAGCTCGTAGTCACTCATGACCGCTGCCATCTGTGGCATATCTAAATTGAAGCTGCCGTATAGTGGCGGAGATATGGACTTGCTACCAGTTTGAGGGTGGTAGTTGGAATCCACTGGGTCGCTGTACAAGCGCTTCTGCTTGCGGTAATAGACGTAAAAGAGCCCCGTCCCACCGAGGAACAAGAGCGCAGCACCAACTGCGATGCCCACGATGGCCCCTGTAGTCATGCCGGTTGAGCCGCCTTTCGTGTCTTCGGTCTCTTGCACTGGAGGAGCCGTGATGTTTACTTGAGAGTCAGTAAAGAGAGAACCACTGAGACCCAGCAGGGTACCCGCTGCCGGCTTCTGCTGACATCCTGCCTTCAGTGCCGTTATGACTATATTCGGATTAGCAATGACAGGGGCAGTGAACCGTCAGACTCATACAATTAGAGAGGTACGCCTGGTTCGTGCTTGACGCGAAGCACTGGAGGCAAGCCTCGGTCTGGGACCCAAGGAAGCTGCCACCGTCCGCCGAACAGTACTCGTATTGATCGCCAGTGGAGCTTAGACTTCCAGACTCGAGGGCTGTCTTCAGCGGTTGACAAGCGTAGTTGATGTCACAGGGTGAAGAGACCCCCTTCGTGGCATTCGGGAAGCCGTATACGCAGACATCAACCGAATATCGGACATTGTCTAGCATATCATGTCAGCAAGGGTCGGAGCAGAGGTCTGTGACCTGTCTTACAGAGAAACCACGAGGTATCACTCTCGGTCCCACTCGTGGCGTTGCTCTTTTGTAGGCAGTCGATACAGTTCTTGTATTTGATCCCAGCACCCGAAGTCTCGTAGTCTTCATCGGTACACACTATGTCGTCGGGCGTTGTGTTCGATGATTTCGGATCGAGAGCATCTCCTTCTGGGTCGTCTAGACAGAGCGCGGCACATGCCGACCCTGGGGTGACCTGTAGAGCTACACCATGATGCTTGAAGAGTACGAGCGTCACTAGCAGAGGCAGGAGAGACTTCATGATGCTCTAGAGGATGCTTGAAGTGTGACGAGAGAGTAGGTGGTGTGACGTTGTTCCCAAATCTTGACCATGGCAAACACTAGAGTAGCACTGGGATGATACTGGAAGAGACTATTGCACGAAGACTCAATCGAAGGCGAGCTCCGCTATGGGAAGAGGACCAGATGTAAGAACTGAACTAAGGCAAGCTCACCCTCGAGGAGCTGTGATGTCTATATGTCGGCCCTGCATGTTCACTTGGCACCGGTGCGCCTCGCAGGCCAGGCGGCGGCTCCAGCATGGCAGCATGGCACTTTGCCTAATTTGAGAAATTCCGTGAAGCTGTAGAAAGGCCCAGGGGATGGTAGGTATGTTGGCGTGTGGAGCGCGCTTCTCATAACAGACATCAATATCGTTGGCCCAGATGGATGGGTCGTCCTTGCCAATGGCGCCACCGGAAGTTCCTGGTCGCGCACACGATTCAATGAAATGCAGGCCCGTCTGCGAGTCTGGCCTTTAACCCGGCCGCGCAATACCGGGCAGGCCAATAGCAATTCATGACAGCTGCCACTTGGAGGTGTGTGAGTCGTGGGGAGGGTCTGCATGTGAGCCTGTAAATGGACGACTCGAGCGTTAGCAGGGGTCGTGGGGTCGTGGGCGCTTGGGCACCCCGGCATGCAAGAAGTGGAAGAAGCATCAGCAAGGGATGTGAATGGTGTTGCAGACGCCGGCCAGCTTGGGCGGCCATCCAATCCCCACCCGAGGAAACTTCGGCCCAATAGACTTTAAGCGTCGGGAGTTCCAGAAGCTGAACAGCAGTCTTCGAGAATGAGGCTCAGGAAACGATTCCGTCCCCGCCCAACAGGTGTGTTACCAACGAGCCGAAACCTGAGGCTATTTAGCGGAGTGCGGAGGTGGCAGTGAACTCGATCCTGCCTGGCTACCCGTGTCGTCGGAAAGATGTTGGGCTCTTCACGGAAGGTACTCGGGAAAAGCACCCATGCAGCTCCCCTCCATCTCCATAAGCCCGCCCTCAAGCGCGGAAGCGCTGGCAGCTGGGGATAGATATTGGATTTTGCCGCACCGTTGGCGCCAATAAGCAAGGGACGACAAGTGGCCGGCCTCGTAGACCCAATTATAGCAAGCAGTGTGACCGTGACGATAGCTGCATTGCGCATGTGCATCCCGACTTGGCGAGGACCCCGGCAGCACCGATACTATCGCCGACATCAGAATCCATCTCCGTCTTCAAATCGGCCGAGCTCGCGAGCCCTACTTTCGTACATAATCATGAACTCCCATACTTCTGACAAGAGAGAGAGAGAGAGAGAGACTCGCGAAGGGCCCAGAACCTGCGTTCTTATAGCTCAAGTTGCGAACTACGCTTGACGTTGGAGATCTGTATGCCATGTGAAGCATAGGGTTTGTGCCCGTTGGAAAGACGCCGTCTCTCAAATAGGACGTTGAAGTGAAAAAGCTCGTGCTCAACAATTGAAGCATATCATGGATTGTTGTCCGCTGCACCTGCTAGCAATAGACAGCCAGCACTCGTCATCTTCTCCCTCTTAACCCAGACTGCTTTTCCTTCTACCCACAGCCCTTTCTATCAACCTTTTTATATACCGTGGGCTCCTGCGGGCATCTTTTCGCCCTACATGCAGATACGGAACTGTCCATATTTGGGAAACATCGAGCATCAGCACGAAGAAACGGGGACGCGGGACCTTCCACTCGGAATACGAAAGTGAAAGACATACAAAGATGTCCCGAGTCTTGGTGCAGACGTGAATCTAACTAGATAGACGTTTGTGCTTCTGAATGGGGAAGGGCAGAAAGCCGATAAAAGAGTTGGTACCGCACCTGTTTCTCGAAAATATCACGACTCAAACATCTCCCCATCTTGTGGGCGTTCCCACATAAAGCCAAGTAAGTTATAGATGCTAGAGAAAACTTAGTCAATCTTACTCCAGCTGCTGAGATATGCAGATGCTGAACCTTGCGGATTGCTGCTTTGGGGATTCGTCAAAGTTTATGTGGGAGCCAAGCGTTCGAGCAGCTCGACTCCCAAGCGCAACCAAGCGCCCATAAGCGCGATTCCATGGATATGATGGTGTGGCCGAATAACGGGCCAGCGCCTACATATTGCCATGAGATGTGGAAACCACTCACATAGCGACATTCCGTCTCAATTCGAGAAGGCCACGTCGTCGGCAAGAGTCGAAACCTGACTGCGGCGTAGACCCCGTCCTATATCAGCCTCACTGGGCGAGGAGACTGGCTCCGGTGTCCGTTAAGATATACTCCGTGCGACTCTCTACTCCAAATTCACACGATGTGCAACGACGCCGAATGAGTTTAAGAGCAAGGATGTGCGCGCAGGCAGACTGGTGATGCCGGCAGTAGGCACACCACGAGACCGTGGAAGGAGGAGCTTGTACGAGACCGTCAACGGCGAATTAGACGAGAATGGACACTTGGATCACTCGACTCCAAGAAACGAGGCTCGTAAAAGCGGGGGGTTGGCTGGCTTAGGTACCAGGTAGGTAGTTACGTGGTGGTCGGATGCTTGCGCCGGGTGTTCCGCCACTGGTACTCACATCAGCTGAGAGCCAACAGTAAAGAGCCGAGAGTGGCATTACTGTAATGGCGTGATGGGGAAGTGTGATGCATGTTGGCGATCCTCTTTGCAGAGGACGCTGCGTGAGTAGTTCCTCCGGATCAACTTACCTGCGTATCATCTCTACAATTAAGGCTCCGAGGTCTGTGGATGAGGAGCAGAGGAACACGAGTGTGCCCATCTGCCTTTCAGGGGCTGGAATCCGTCTGCGTGACCGAGGACTGTCCCCAAGACGATGGGAATCATAGGCTCCGCGTGCCACGATGTCAGAACCGAAATGATTCAAATGATGTAGTGAATCGACAGATCCCGAAATAGAGATGAGGTACCTGGCCGTACAGGACGAGATGTAGGATACATTTCTCGTCATAGGTTAAGCATCAAGGGGGGCGGCTCGGGTGGCAGGTGCCGACTGTACGTGTGCGATGGGGAAGCAGCGCTAAACGGTGTCCTGTGAGTGGTCAGCTTTGTACCCGACCCGCAGCGATCTACCCCACATGCAGTGGTGCCCGCTGTGCCCCACCTGATTACCTCAAAACACCAATCGCCGAAGACATTCGAGATGTATTCCCAGAGCCCACTCGGTTCCAGAAAGTCTCTAAAACGCAGGGTCGCTGCAGTAGACGGTGACGAAGGTGGGCGTCTTGGAGATCGACTAACGGTTAGGAGGTACCTGTGAACCCCGACTGTCTTCCCAAGGTTGTTATATCTCCTCCATGTGTTTAGATTGTGTGTACACGCGCAGAATGCTTGCCTCTTTTGCCTGATTGACAGCTGTGTCATTCGCGAGCTGCCCAGCGGAGAGCCGGGGACGACTTCCGAGTTCCAACGACGCCTGCGCCGGGCGACTCGGTCTGCGACGACGACCCCTCATCGAGACTGCGATACCTTGGAGACTGCCGCCAAAATGAAGATAGGTTGCCTGCAGTTCGCGCCAAAGGTCGGCGATATCGACAATAACCTCAATCGAGCCGATGCCATCCTCAACAGGTCGGATCTAGGGGATCTGGATTTGCTAGTCCTCCCCGAGCTGGCATTCTCTGGTACGTCGCCATAGCGTCAAGGTTGGCGGTTATCTATGCGTCTGAGCGGCGCATATAGTCTTGTCGTGGATTGCGCATTTGGTTCCGGGATTGCATTGAGATTGCGCGATATATCCGTCGGCACTGAGAACGACATCACAGCTGACTCGCCTAGGGTACAACTTCAAGTCGCTGCACGATATCGCTCCGTTCCTCGAACCCACCGGCGCCGGTATCACATCTGTCTGGGCCCGTACGACCGCTCTCAAGCACAACTGCAAAGTGGTGGTAGGATATCCAGAGACAGCTGATGTTTCGTTCAAGTGGCCTACGTCGCCGGAGTACTACAATTCCGCCATCATCGTGAATGAGGAGGGCGACACATGGGGTCACTACAGGAAATCACATCTGTACTATACAGACGAAACATGGGCCCTGGAAGGGTCCGGTTTCTTCAAAGGCCACGTTCCTGGGCTGGGGAAGATCTCTATGGGAATATGTAGGCGCTCTCCTCCATGTAGCTCGTGTAACCTCTTTATACTGACTCCAGGGCTATTTAGGCATGGATATTAAGTGAGCTTTGGTCGTACTTAGGGAGATCAAATGATGCTAACCATTCCCAGCCCGTATAAGTTTGAAGCCCCATGGAGTGCGTATGAGTTCGCTTTTCATGCATTAGATGTGTCTGCGAATGTCGTAGTGGTGTCTATGGCCTGGCTTACTCGCGAAGATGCCTCCTCGTTCAGTTGCAAGCCCAAGGAGCCCGACATGGATACCCTCACATACTGGATCTCACGGATGGAGCCTTTGATCAGATCGGAAAATCAAGAGGAAATCATTATCATATTTGCGAATCGTACTGGAATCGAAGACGATGCTGTCTATGCAGGAACCAGCGCCGTTGTTGGTATACAGAATGGGGAAGTCACTGTATACGGTCTTCTTGGCCGCGGCGAGAAAGAGCTCCTGGTCGTCGATACGTCGAAGCCTGGATTTGCCAAGTTGGTCTACCGCCCAGGGGAGGAAGAAGAACTGATATCTGCTGTGTTGCCTGGCAGTGAGCCCCGGACCCCTCCAGGCGATGAACATCGGGATGCCGAATCTTCGAACGGGTCGGACTTGTCATCCGGATCCTTCTCAAACAACCAAGGTGCACCTGATGGTCGGGCTATGGATCCGAAGATATCAGATGCCGCCAGAGACAATTCCAGCATAGCAGTTGGAAATCATGTTCTCGTCAACTCAGCAGTATATGACGAGTCCCCGGTCTCACCACGATACTTCTGGGGCCAGCCTGCTTCAGGAGTGCCAGTGACAGCTCAACTTCCCAACGTGGGAGTTCATGACAATTATGAGGATTGGCGCAACTCCCTGCGAGCAGATCAGGCTAGGGATGGGGATCTTGTCCCACAAGATAGCCCCGGTCCGCGACATGCCGACCTAGATTCGGGCACTGAGTTCTCCTCATTGGTGGATGTGTTACGTGACAAAACCATCAGCACGGAGGCATACATTGACCGGCCGGGTTCAACCAAGTCTCGTAATGAGGGCCGCTTCACATCGCAGAATGCAAGCAGCAACGCTCGAGGTGAGCAGCTAGTGGACCGACCGCGGCGGATGACTTCGAACCTTCATCAGCACGTGCAGCTGCCCTCCAACGAGGTCCGCCACAACCAGGGCAAATTGCCAGATCATGGGTCTCGAAACGCCATCGAGAAGCCTGAACGAGATGCACCGCAATTTTCATCGCATGCGAGTTCCGAAATGCAGCAATGTCCCGTGTCTCCAGACCTAGAGAGGCTCGGCGCGGACCTCATGGTGTTCGAAGGCGAGAAGGCCAACCGCTCGAAACGTGACAGTCTAGTATGTCATGTGGACGAAGATGACTACGTCACCCAACGCAGAGATTTCATCCCAAAGAAAAAGGCCGTCAACTCGGACGAGCGTCCAACTCGCTCGAGCTCGCGAAACACCCCGACGCATATCGACTCCTTGCGACATGGCAGCGAAAGAACTCGTACAAACAGCACCGCCGCGTTTGCTTCGCTGGGGGACGAACTGTCGCCTGAGCGTCCCATGAGCCGTGATCGTCATCGCAGTGATAACGCATCGACGCCAAAACTATTGTCAAGAAAAGCTTCGCGCAACAAAGTCGCCTCTCCGCTCGCATCGGGAAGTGACCACCATCATACTCGTCAATCACCGACAGAGGTACGAGATGTCCATCGGCACGAGAGACATGGTCTCTCGAGTATGGCATCACCTCCATCTCGTCGGCACCGGCAGGAGGTCCCGACCTTTCCCGGCGAGCACTCTAGACACAAGAGCCCAGACCCGATCGTCGAGCACCAAGTTACGGTGCCTATTCGAACCAGGAAGACATACGAAAGGGACTCTTACAAGACACTTGCCAAAGGGTCATCATCCTCGGCGAATACTCCTGTCAAGTCTCCTCCTCGAGCTGTGCAGCCGAGCCCCGGTGTATATGCTTCTTCCATTGTAGCGGTTGACACGCCGGGAACGGGACTGACCATCCCAGACCGCACCCCAGAGAGGATGCCACCGACGCCCAAGGCCATGGTACTACCACCGGATTATGACAGTGGCAATGGCCATCAAAGCGTCCCTCCTCCGCCCAAGTACCAAGCACCAGTGGTGCCACTCAAGTGCTTGAACCAAAGAGGTGGCATACAAGCAGATAGGCCAAGAAGTGCGGTCTGGTAAATTTCTTGTTATCATGGTTCCTTATTTCAGCGAGGAGTTAGGAAGGAACTTGAAGATGCGGACCTCATGTATTATTGTAGATACTAGCGACGTTGCACACGTCAGCATATGACATAAGTAGCAGGACCGGAGGATCCTGGCGTCGCCTCTGATGAACGAGATCATGTACCAAGGGAATTGGTTATCTTTGACGGTGAATGAATGCACTTCCTGCAAATTACGATACGATGATGTGCTTGAGTAGAGACGTTGACGTACCAGTAATTGTCCATGAGGCCTATTTGGCCAATGCCTCGTGCTCAACAAGCAGATGTTCCTGGCTTGATAGAAGGCTCCCAGCTCGCCGTGGCCTCGGTCGAGGCAGGCCAGACTGTTGAAACCGCGAGGGCATGAACTTCTCGACGACAGCAACGAGGTCTGAAGTCCCTCCAAGGAGAGGCACACAGGATCAAGAACGAATATACAAGACAGTGTTGGTCTTCGAAAGATTAAAAAAAACCCAGGAAGAGAAAATCGTTCTACTCTCTACATACATAGAGTCCAACACTCAACCTCGGGAGACACCCCCCGAAGCGCCTGCCCTTCCCGATCGCTACCAGTCCTGCTGCCGTGCCGGCCCTACAAAATCTCGACGTGGCGAGGCGGGCAAGCATTGTAAGCGCCGAGGAGCATGTCACTGGTCTTATCTCGCCGAATCACGTCTGTTACCATCCAGCCGGGACGGGCAATCATTGGCACAACTGGCCAGTCGTGACCGCGCACATATGCGTGTTGGTGATGCGCGCTAGAATTCCGATACAATATGCCGAATCGGTGGGGTTTGTTCAGTGGGACTTTCATGCATCCGGGCATCAGGCGTCCAGTCGGCGCTTAAAAGGTCCCAATCGTACGTATCGGGTCGTGGACAGTTGAGTTGACTGGGGGCTTTTGACGTCGGCATGCCGACTTTTGGGAAGGGAGAATCAACCTAGCCGAACTTTCGGCAGGCCGTGAGAGATGTGCCGCTGGCATTTATTGCACTTGTCGAGTAAATGAGATGCCTACCGCCAGACAGACAGGAACACTTGTTGGCCCCATTGGGCGGCCGTTCGAGTTGGCCACCACTCGTTGGCCGTCAACGACACCTGATCTACAGCTTACAGCCACGCGCCCCCCAGACCATTGGAAATCTGCCTCACCACTGTATACTCCAGTAGAGACATAGTCACGACTTCACGTACGTCGCGAATCGTGCTGCTGTCGTAAACTCCCGACAGCTGGGTTCGCTTAGCCAAGGACAGACAAGTTTCCGGGCGGCTCGCTCATGTCGTCGCATCTTCTGTGATACGCTCGTCGAAACTCAGGAGAAGGAGTTGACTGTTCTGGACCGTGACATACGCATACTGTAGGGTACCCAGATAGGTAGGTCGGTCAGCCACTCAGGCCTCGACTTGGGCCGCCGTGAGGTTGCAGTGATGCACCCTAGCTGTTGCCGAGTTGCCTGGAATGAAGCTGCATAGTAAGCCATCACGGCTAATTGCTTGGGTCGCGGCCGTCACGTAATAAGCCTCTGCATTGAGAAGGAATAGAGCGCCCAGAGAACCCTCGGGGCGCGCAGACCCCAGGATAATCCCCCAATGTCTGGACGCAAAGGATGGCTCACAGAGCAGTGAACCGGATTGAGGCATACAAAAAGAGGGTGGCCGCTCGGGGGGCCAACAGTCGACAGGGAGCAGCGATCAAGACCCGGTCCAGTCGGCGTTGATTGGATGCCACGAGGGCTCGCCAACCTCCAAGCATCGCCAATGAGACGGCCGTACCCGCGAGCTGCCAATCCGCCACCCCCACCGGGGCCGGGGATCTTGCAGGGAACCGTGCAGCCGATAGGATGACGATCACAGGTGCAGAGGTGTGCTGCGCGACCTCAGTGGTTGACGCTCCTCGTCTTGCGTCTGGCCCCCAACCTCATCCCAGGAAGATCCCCGTCGGCTCGTCGAATCATTGAGGGCGCCCCTTGGACCCCCCTCGGTGGTGTGCATGGCGGTGTCGTTCGAGTGGCCTTGGGTCTGGGGGCCACGGCAGCGGCGATGTTTGTTCACAATGGTGGCATCTTTCTGTCTTGTCCCCAAACGAGCAACCGTTGTGGACAAGAGTATGGTATCACATTCACACTTCAACGAAGCGCCCCTAGCTGTCCCTTGCATCGCCGTTGCTCCACAACGAAGCTTGCGAGAGTGACCATGAGTCTATAGTACTATAGACATACGTCGTTGACCCCGCCTCATATCGAAGAGCTCGAGCGACATTTCCATAGAGCCCTCGAAAGCAAGCCTGCGACCTACCAGCCACGGAATTCGACCTCTATAAGCTGATGTAACGCCGTCCGGACAGTCAGGACTCTCTGTGCGACACCAAGTAAAAGGGTTAAAGCCTCGAGGTCCCTACAACCCCACACTTCGACGGTTCCCTCGCATCACCTACCTCATCATCGCACCTCACGAAGCGGCGCCCGCGTAAGAGCACCGAGCGAGCAAAGAAGGCAGCGGCCATGTCGCGAGCTCTGGTGCTGACAGCGCTCTTGCGCTCGACGGCCGCTCTGCTCGTCACCCAAGGATCGCAATGCGCGCCGAAATGCGGCAATGTGCCCACGACGACGGACGACCAAATTGTGTGCGACGAGTCCGCATATGGGACCTCGAATGGCGCAGTGTTCGAGTCGTGCGTGAACTGCGAGTCGACGAGCTCGTACGTGACGACGATCGGGACCCAGGAGGTCTCCGACCTACAGGCAATGCTTTGTATGTCCCAACCGAGCATGCTTTTGCCCTTGCGGAAGCACTGCTGATATCAGGTTTCTCCCCAGACAACATGCGATATACCACAAACAAGTGCCTGTTCCAAAAGCAGGGCGTGTGTGCCACAAGGTTGGATTCCTGCATCATCCCACGCCTGCACGAGACTAACGTTATTCTAGCTTTGCCTGTGAAAACATCATGGAGGCCATCCAATACGGAAACCTCAGCTCCAGCGTCTCTGCCTACGGCTACTGCAGCCAGTGGACCGATTTTCGTCTGGACAAATGCAGCGGGTGCTTGCTTGCGGCCGGTGAACACTATCTAAACAACTGTTCGTCAGCCCCAGCGTCTAAGATCAAGGTGTCGACTAACCAATGTAGTCGTCTCGATCCTCTCCGGCGCGTGCAGACTTCTGCTCCAACCACCGGCGACAATTCCCCTGGACGGCGCCATATTCTCGACCACCCTCGTCAACGTGACCGACCCGTCCGCCACGGCGACATACACCCCCTCAGCCACTGACCCACTGGGCTACGGCGGGATCGCCGGTGTCGTCATCGGGGGCATCGTCTTCTTACTGATGCTCATCGGCTGCGGCGTCGTGGTCAACGGCAAACGCCGCCGGAAGGCGTACCTGCGCCGCCGCGAGGAGCACGTCAAGAACTGGCCCAACCCCAACGGTGGCGGCGGGCCCAACGGCGAGATGTTCGAGACGCCCACGAGCCAGCGGCCTCTGCGCGGGTGGGAGGACTCGCCCATCAGCGCCGCGACGCAGACCACGTTCCCGCCCTACTTCTCGCCCTACGCCTCGCAGTACAACAGCCCCGTCAGCGCGGTCGAAGGCGCCGGACCCAGCCAGTCGGCGTGGCCCAGTGTCGAGAAGGCGCGGAATGTCGGCGTGGCGCTCAGTCCGGACCGCGACGCCTCTTTTACGCACTGGGGCGACGGCAAGGGCAAGGAGAGGGCGGATACTGACCAGGGGATGATGCATACAGAGAGCGACGAGTATGAGCTGCAGGAGGGCGTGAACAGCGCTGGCGGGTATGCGTTCCCGTTACCGCCGCCTCCGCCGCTGCCGGCTCAGGCGCCGACGCTCAGCCATCCTGGGTTACCTGGGAGGCATGGGCCTGCACTGCAGCCGCAGAGGAATCAGTCGTGGTCTGGCCATCATGATGGCGGGAATGAAGGCATGTAGGGGCTCCTCTGGGTAGTCTATGTGGACGAAGTAATGGTTACTTGATTTGTGTAGGGTGTTTCGGCACGGAGTTGGGTATGTGTTTGGTTACTTCGCACGCGGATGTCTCGGTGTGTGAGCAGATGATGGATGTATGTTGGATATACCACAAGTACGTTCTTACCGTGTCGTCGTAGGAGCCGAGGTGGAAAAAGCACAGCTCTGGCTTGATTCCTACAATCAATACACTCTACAGACCGGGTGGTTCATCTCTGTAAGGTCGCTTTGCCGTTCCGATATTCGATTACTCAGCGTCGATAGGCGGCGATGCAGAAGGAAAGAGATCAATCTGCATGACTGTATTAAAATAACACTTCGTTCAAGAAAGCCACTTGCTTTGTGCCTTGTGGTAGCGGTATCCAGAATAAGGACCAGGGTCACGAATGGTGGGCCGTTGGTCTGTATTCTGGAAGTTGCTTGATTGAAAGTAGGGATGGGTGGTGTCCCCATCCCAGAAGTAGCTATCATCCCAGTTGGGTACGAATCTGGTACAAACGGGTACCAGTTGGGCTCCAAGGTACCTTGTACCCTGGTCCGTGACCCATCCGTCATTGTGGCTGGAAAATGGGTTGAGGAGCCACAGCTTCTTCTCAAGAGACATGTCTTAAGCGGGCAACAGTTCGCGCTCCTGGAGAGTGACCATGTTAATCGGGCCTGGACAGTGGCTGGAGCTTCACAGCTTGTGTGGCTGGTGCCCCACTCGTAAAATTTGTCGCCTCTGATAGGATTGCAAGATGTGACTGGAGCTGCCGCAGAGCTGCCCCACAGCACTCGGGTCCAATGCTCGAAAATTTTTGGAGCTTCGCTTTTTTCGAGTTTACCGCAGACACCTCCATCGCATTGAAGAATTTCAGTCCGACTTCTTCGTGCGCACCCACCGTCGCCAGTGTCTTTATTTCTCTTGTCCCAAGTAGATATATCCGCGCGACTGGTTCACCATGATGACCAAGAAGGAGGAAATCAAGCCCGATGCGGACGAGTTCTCCATCAAGCCGACGGCGGCCACTCCGTCCGTGGACACGAGCACATGGCCACTGCTGCTGAAGAACTACGACAAGCGTACGTGATTGGCCGCCGACATACGGACGTGGATTTCGAGGAGAGGAGAACCTGTTGCTAACCCAATTTACCAGTCCTCGTCCGAACCGGCCACTTCACTCCCATCCCCAATGGCAGCAACCCTCTGACTCGAGACCTCAAGTCCTACATCAGCTCGGGTGTCATTAACCTCGACAAGCCTTCCAACCCTTCCAGCCACGAGGTCGTCGCTTGGGTCAAGCGCATGCTTCGGTATGTGCAAAACAGCGGGCAGAAAGAAGAACAAGAACTGACGTGGTCATTGCAGTGTTGAGAAGACCGGCCACAGTGGGACTCTCGATCCGAAGGTCACGGGCTGCCTGATTGTATGCATCGACCGTGCGACTCGACTTGTAAAGTCGCAGCAAGGAGCCGGAAAGGAATATGTTGCCGTCATCAGGCTGCACGACAAGCTCCCAGGCGGCGAGGCACAGTTTTCGCGAGCCCTCGAGACATTGACTGGTGCTCTGTTCCAGCGACCGCCCCTAATCTCCGCCGTCAAGCGACAACTTCGTATCCGAACCATCCACGAGAGCAAGGTCATCGAGTTCGACAACGACAGACATCTTGGTATTTTCTGGGTTAGCTGCGAAGCCGGAACATACATCCGAACATTATGTGTACACATGGGTCTGCTGCTCGGTGTTGGCGCTCACATGCAGGAGCTGCGACGTGTGCGAAGTGGTGCCATGGACGAGACGAAGGACTTGGTTACGCTACACGACGTTCTTGATGCCCAATGGATCCATGACAACACCCGCGACGAATCTTACCTCCGAAAAGTCATCGCTCCCCTCGAGACGCTTCTTACTTCCTACAAGAGAATCGTGGTCAAGGACTCTACTGTCAACGCTATCTGCTACGGTGCCAAGCTCATGATTCCCGGTCTCTTGAGATACGGTATGTGCTCCCGTCCCACTGCATCATGATCACTACTAATGCGGCATCGCAGAGGATAACATTGAAGCCCACGAGGAGGTTGTACTTATGACGACGAAGGGTGAGGCCATCGCCCTTGGTATCGCAATGATGTCTACCGTTGAGATGTCCTCATGTGACCACGGTGTCGTAGCCAAGGTCAAGCGATGCATCATGGAGCGTGACCTGTACCCCCGCAGATGGGGACTGGGTCCTACTGCCACCGAGAAGAAGAAGATGAAGGCGTCAGGAAAGCTGGACAAATTTGGACGAGCCAATGAGCAAACCCCCGCCAAGTGGACCTCCGAGTACAAAGACTATGGCCCACCTGCTGGACCTACTGAGCCTACACCAGCTGCCGATGTCACCATGTCGGAAGCCCCTGCTATTGCGACACCTGGCAAAGAAGCCCCAGTCGCTGCAGAGCCTGCTGAGACTCCAGCGGACGAGGACAGCAAGAAGCGCAAGAAGCATGATGGCGAATCAGCAGAGGAGAAGGCAGAGCGCAAGCGGAGGAAGGCTGAGAAGAAAGCGACCAAGGCAGCCAAGCGTGCGTCGACTGGAAAGAAGGACGATTCTGATTCTGATTGAAGGAATCATCTGGATAATCTTTTCGACTGGGCACGGCGGATACCATCCTGAGCATCTGATTGTTCGCATCTCGATTTCCCAATTCTTATGGCGTTCTTACTGTATCATACAGTTGAAGGATCTGGAAAACGGCGTCCAGGCTTTTTGCTTTACCGGCTATAATGTGCCTTATGTGCAGGATGAAACGCTTGAATTGAATGGACCGAACCAGGTAGATACCAGGACACGTCACGAAATTGAGCGACAACATGAAAGATCATCTCGGTGTATATTGTAGAGTGATATGTAACATGAAAGATCATCTCGGTGTATATTGTAGAGTGACATGTGCAAAGTGAGGACAGTCTTGTGATGATGCTTGAGGCTGAGACTAGTTTTCTCTTCACCCGATGGCATGGTAGAGTTTATATAAGACAAAGTGAATCGCAGCCACTAAATTCCCTGGGTCTCCTTCATCTCTTCTGGCGTGCAAACATCTCAGTACGCTTACCACCACCCATTAGGCATATGTCAAGACATTGGACGACAAGCCGTCTTGAAGCTGTAGCAGCATGCCAGGGGCAGTGCCCGAAGAGAACAACCCTCGTTGTTCGTTCATACGGTGACCCCGGCCTGCGCCTTCTTCGCCTCGAGGTACAGGATCACTACCATGGCGGCGACGTGGATGGTGGCGAATCTGTTTCCCCCCTTCACCTTGCTCACGCCGAAGATCTTGCCGGCGACGGCGTTGGAGAGCTGGGCTACTATGACGGGTGTCTTCGATTATGGGGTGGGTTTGGTGGCTACTGTACCTTTCTCGATGTCGACATGATTATGATGGATGGGTGAATTGGAGAGGAGGACTACTGAGTGTTGATATCGTCGTCGAGATTTTGATCCGATGGTTCTTTTTCTTTTTCTTTACATGGGTTCGCGTTCGCGTCTGTTCATCCACAGACGGCCCGGCCCGTGGTGCTCGAGCCGAAATTGCATCCACCGAGCCTCGCTCCGGTACCTCTATCGAAGATGTGCAGTCTGATGATCGCTCTCGAAGAATCGGTGCTGGGTAGCTCCTCGACGATTCAGATCTAGTGATCGTTGCTCTTTTTCACACTTTGTAGTGGTCTTGGTGAGCTGAAAGGAGAGACCAGATGGAAAATTTGCTTCTGAAGCGCGCACAGCACGGGCCTCACACGTTCCTTCCCCCTTTTCAACCTTACACAAAACACATCTATCGTCGCTTCCTTTTCGAAGGACCACCACATACCTCGGTAGTCACCAGCTCCGTACACGTTACATGCCCCCAAACAAGCCTCGCACCTCACCACCTTAGCACCTGCCGCAATATACCCGCACGCTTCCTCTTTTCCTTATCGTCGTACCTAACTTAAACTAACCTACTGGTAGTTCGTTCCTTCAGCCGCATATCCTCCGTACTTTAGCTCATTTTCCTTTCGCTATAAGTCATAGATTTCCTATCCGTTCACACGAGCCATCGTGTACTCCAGTCAAAAGATATGTACCACTAGAGACCCCTTATTATAACTAGGTATAACTTAGGACATATCCCCGCGCGCGGGCACTATCACCCACGGCGTAACGAGAGAAAGATCACGTACGTTTCCCTTGCTAACACACACGGTATGCTTCCACGGAGAGAAAACTGCCGGTGTTAGTACACCACGTACATCCTAGCTAATGGTACAATCATATACGGCACAGTGATGACTTCACGCCATCGGTGTGCAAGATGCTATCATGCGTGTGGTTACGTGCCCGTCGCAATTCGACCTCTCCCTAGCAGCAGTAGTAGCTCAGCATCCAGATGTCAAACCGGCCAATGCTGTCACACAAGGTGTATATGGGGTATTTTCTTTGTACACTTCCAGTAATCCCCGAGTCAATACTGCGTTGGGGCCGTTGGACGGGGCAGCCCATCACAACAACAACCAGTCGGGCCGAAGCCTGATAGAGAGGCACGAAAAGAAGATGAAAGGAAGTATCGCAAGACTAGAACGAGTGTATATTGGGTGTGTATATGTCTGCGTGTACCTAACAGGATTCTAAACGAGATGTCTGGAGCCCTGCCCTGCCCTGCCCCAGCGCAATACCCTTTGTCCACTGGCTCACGAAAATACTGTCTCGAGACTTGCTGCCATAACGCCAGTGTCACTCCACCAGCTTTATGCGCAGGCAAGGGAACCAGGTATTCGCCGAGGTCCACTATGGTCAAGATTTCCCAAGCCGAGTCTAGCTGCTGGTTGGCAGCGTCCCTCCAGGAACCGCGAAGTTGTGTTTCAGCGTGACAATTCCATCACAAGCGCCCCCTCGCCCCTCCCCACCTTCCCTGCACGTTAAGGCGTTCACTCCTTGTCTGACTCCTCCTTCTTGGCATCATCGTAGCAGTCTACGACATCATCCCAATTGTCTCCGGCATCCGCAACGCAGTCGCTCAGGTGGTTCTGGATCGTGGCATTTCTTCAGCATCCAACTCGTGCCTTCGTACTGGGGTCGGTGCCTGAGCGGGAGCAGGGCTAACGGCTGCAGCGCTGGCTGCAATGGCCAGGGCGGAGAAGGTGACGGCAATGAAGAGGCGCATTTTTGTGTGTTGGACTTGAGAATGACTTGAATCGGTTGGTACAAGAGCGCGAGGATAATCCAGTGATGGTTCGGGTTTGTATCTGTGCGAGGGATGATCTGAACAGACCAGAAATTCGAAGGGGGCTTCAACTTTAATAGCGTTTCGATGGGCCCAAGACCGATGGCCAGCTTCGATGATGGGCAGTCTCCCCAACATGCGTTCAATCGAGCGCGGTCCATGGACCTCGACGGTCGACCGAAACGCCAATCCTACGGGCATGTCGAATCTTGAAATATTTTGAAACGGGGCACGGGGGTAAGAGGCACGGAGTTCGAAAGGGATGGGAGCGGGAAGAATAGAACTACAGGTATAGAAGACCCGCAAGCGCCGCGTCCATAACAGGGCGGTTGGTGGCAGTGCTCATCTACAGTCAAGTTTAGTGGCATGGCCTGTCGGCTCTTGCTTAGCAATACTCCCTTGGTTTCTCTCAATTTCATTTGTATTGAGATGTGGTCCTTGGTGCTTGGGACGCGTGCTCATAACATAGACTACATACAGGTACCAAATGACGACCAGCAATGGACCGACTCTTCATATTTCTCAAGCTAGGCAGTATTTGATGCCAACAGAAGAAGGGGAAATTGTCGCAATCCATTCCTAAGGATATCTGTCAATGACAAGATCTCCCTCCGGATACGCCGCGACATCCCCCTCCCGCGACTGATGCTCAACTGCCCATGTTCGGACGCGGTCAAAGTCCTTGCACTTGTTGTGCGTGCTAAAGTCCGCAAAGGTCCTCAGCGCCGTCGAATTCACCAACATCTGTCCAAATAGACCCGTGTCGGCCGTGCACATGAGCTGCTGACGGAGAGTGTTGATACAGTGACCAACGTGCAGCCGTACAACGGGCTCGAAGTTAGCCCAGACCCCGATCTTGCGTTCGCGATAGTATTCTGCGTTGAACCAGACGTTCTGGCGTAGGACGTTCTGGTCATGATGTGGTCAGATCCGACACGAAGAATGTGAAAGGGGTTTCCGTACCAAGCAGTGAAGATGATGGATGGCCTCAACCTCGACAAAGTAGCCGCCTCCTTGGGAATCCAGGCGCTTGGCCTGGTTCGGCATGAGTCCGGCCTTCTCGGCACGTGCTGCAGGAATGATATGAGGTCGGACTTGAACACATCAGCGACGGCTCAGCTATTGATACGGGAGGCAGGGCAAGGAGGACTGACGGTTCAACCCTAGGTCAAGCCATTTCTGGTCGACCTCCGGACTTGGAGGTAGCCGGTAGATGTCCGATGCAAAGAGCGATCCATTGAAGCGAACGTCCGAGTACGTCATGGGCTGCTGGCTTCTAGTGCCGTGACAAAGACTCGAGTCCTACGGACATCACAGTCTTTGTATGAATGGTGCCACCGTTTCCGAGCATGCCAATAAAACATCATTTTGTATATTGCCTTCGGCTATATGATCTGAGAGCATAAGCACACCGCAACTTCGGGACGCTGCTCAAAAGGTAACTGCCTGCATGATGAACGGTCATGGAACGGGAAACTCTGCAATACGACGTCTTCAACATCATCGATCAGAGCAGTCACGCGCATACCTAATGAAGCAATGCCAGAAGCAACGTTGCATGGGCTAGAGGATGTGTTCCGCTCTTCCCGGACTGTCAGTCGCACATCACAGCATGCCCAGCCCAGGTGAGGGATATATAGTACTCCTTCTCCTCCGGTAGCCCAGCTCCCCTCAGTTATCACACAATTTCGCCAGCCGCAGTGATCGAGTGAATCAACATGAAGCCCACTCAACACCTCCTCGTCGCCCTCGCGGCTTTCTTCGTCGTTGGCCTTGCGGTCCCGCTTCCAGGTGATGTAAGAAGATGAACAGCGCCTTCTGGAGATCGTGACGAGCTCATCATCGACAGGTCATCCTTGACGCGCCCTATAAGGCGAAGCCGTACAAGACTGAAGTCGACCAGCAGGCTGCGGTCAAGCGTGACGACACTCTCATCGACGCACCCGACGCGCAGAAGCCATACAAGGACGAGGTCGACCAGCACGCAGCGGCCAAGCGCGACGACATCCGCGCCCGATAAGGCGAAGCCGTACAAGACCGAGGTCGACCAGCAAGCCGCTGGGACTCGCGCTTAGATGACGGTGAGGAACCCACCGAGGGTCTAGCCACCTAGGGAGCGCTTGTATGCCGTTGCGCCACCAAAGGGGGTGGCAGTGCGCTGCAGCCTGCAGCAGGGTTCAATAGGTAGTGGCCGACGCGGCTCAAGACCGGGAGACTACATACCTAGGTAGTCATTCAACAACACAACTAGGTACTCTGAATTCAACGGGACAGCTTACAGCATGAATATCATTTTCACGATGTTTGTCATGGCTTTGTCAGGCTGTGATGCTGAGCTCGAGCAATGTAGAAGCCAAGTAAAGGCAAGGTAGAAAAGAATGGTGTCGATGAGCCGCCTACTTGTCAGCTAGCCAGATGGGTCTCAACGTAAGTGATTATAGCAAGGCGGTGGGTGGCAGCGCGCATCTAGAGTCAAGATGATTATAGCCTGAGAAACAGATGTCTTAGTAACCAACCTTGTTAACCATCGCATGCCGCATGGAAGCCACCACCGTTATACGCTGTGATTGTACAGCGTTGGTTGCTCAAAGCCGTACAGTAGGCTCTTGTCACTGTTTACTTTGGCCGTTGAGCCCGGTCGAGAGCCCGACTATGGCGCAGCACAGTTAATGAACCAAGAGAATGGTGGAAAACAACACTTGAGGATTACCACAACCCTCAACTCGTCTGTGCCTTGGTCATCCAAAGAAGAATTCACCGTAGATGCGGTTCAAAAAGCTCACATGACCCCTCCCACGTCAGTGCCAGGCCAGGGGCCGGGAACATTCACCCCAGCTGGGGTAATGACCAATCGTGCAGTTTTCGCTTCCGCTTCCTTAGTAGTAAATGTATCAGGGGAATGATAAGACACTTCACTTGCCACTTAGACACTGTCATTCTTGCATCGCAAGCTTGAATGGCTGTTACGGTATTACATAATACCTCCACATATTTATGTACATATATACCCCTAGCTTCCCCTCTTTCTTCCGACCTTGCCTCTTTTTCCTTAGATATCGTTGAGTCTAGATATTTCATCCTATCAGCCCTGACCAGCGCAGCTGCAGGCCTGATTGTCACAATGGCGAGCGAGCTTCTCAGAATGCAAAGTCATTCTCAGCGCAAGCACTCGGGGATGTTCAAGCAGGTCAGTCCAGAATTGGAAACTTGACAAAAATCTGATATGGCTACAAGGGAGTATGCTCGGCGGATACGCATCCATCGTTCAACAACGAAAAAGCGTCATGGTAGGATCACGAGCGACTCAACGGGCCAACGAGTGGCTCACCTAATATTTTGGCAGATAGATGTAACTGAGTATCGTGGAGAGCCGCATGTAAGCCGCCGAAAATTTATCATAATTGCCTATGTATCACCGCCGGTGAAGATCTGGCAGCATTCCCTTGTATGACCCAGAGGGTGGCTTTCTAGCCTCCATGGGGGCCGGTAAATGGTAGCACTCTCGGTTTCAACTTCAACTTCATTCAATTATGACTGTACTAGTGCTCAAGGAATGCCCTCCTTCTGCGCACCGACAGTCTATAAAGGAACCTACCCCGTCCGCGTGAAAAAGATCTTGCTTCATGATCTCCACAGACACTCTACAACTTCCACAGACACTCGGCAACTTCAGGAGCACCAAGCGCTTTCGACTCGACTTCACCAACTTCATATGGCACTGTGCTCGTGCTTTATTTGCCCCGATGATAACGACCAAGGACATACATCAAGAGGCGAACCTTCAGCTGCTGAGTCAGAACCGGTAGAGTAGCCCAGCCTAGCACCAGAATGAGCCAAGCACCGTTTTTATACCAGACGACTCTGACTGAGTGGGGTCAGATGTCCGAACAACCTCATGGCCATCCTCCGATGCTACCGCGGTCTACCGGCCATCAACAGCAGCCCGGTCCTCAACAGTACAACAGCCATCAACAGCACTTCGGCAACGGTCAACCTCAAGCCCAGTCTCCGGTTGTGTCCATGATATCTGAATGATACGGGAACCGCGACTCGGGCCCCCCCTCCGTCATCAGCAACATGGCAAACCCCACCCCTCACCTTGCCGCCCAGCCGGCCCCGGTAGAGTACAGGGCCCCTATCAGCAACACCGCCCTGCCAGGAAACCCGTCCCCGTCAGCGACAACATCAACGTCACCCTCAACGCCACCGTCACGACCTACTACGGCCAAACCGTCAAGATCGTAGGCTCATGTCCCGAGCTGGGGTCCTGGAACGTCGACAACGCCCCCGCCATGTCGGCCCACTCGACCTACAGCGACGGCAACCACCTGTGGCAGCTGGCGAGGAAGCCCATAAAAGTGGGCACCAAGTTCGAGTACAAACTCGTCAAGGTCGCTCCGGGGCAGGACCCGGAGTGGGAGGGTGGCAACAATCGCGAGGTGGACCTGAAGGATCAGGGAGGCGGCGAACAGGCGGTGCAGGGTTCCTGGCGATAGTGAGAGAGGAGGGAATGCGTGGATGAGCGCTGCGGCTGGACCGCTCCCTGGGTTGGCTTTATTCGTGGGAGTTGAGGGTTATTGTTGTTGATCAGGAAATGGTGTGGATGACGCTGGCGTCGGCTGGCCATGGATAGATAGTAACCCTCGGCGGACCTTAGAGGTTGAGAAACCAGATATTTTTTTTGGCAAAGGAAATCATTCTTCTTGGGATCTACCTGTTCCGGCTTCTTCTGCTCTGCCCTCGGCTTATTTTCTTGCTTACGTTACCTTCGCTTGGGCTGTAGCCCCAGGAAAGCCTTGCTAGCTTCCTGTGAATAGGCACCCGGACACCACAGGTCGCCTAATACCTGTGAACATGCGATTTGCATATGGCAGAGTCTAGTTGGGTACCTGCTGTCAGCATAACTCTTGTGTCGTGGCTACCTTAGGAGGTGTGCTGACTCAACACTCACGTACACTGAAAGGAAGGTAAGCGCCATTGGTCGCAGCAGTGAAGTAGACCTTCTGTCTTCACTAGGAGCACATTTTGACATTATTCTTCAAAATCTGACTCATTAGCCTCGACGCATCACCGCACCGACATCGTTCTACTTGATTCCTCTGGTACACTACCCATACCCAACCGGGCCTCTGAGCCGCGTAACGCTGGCAACAGCCCACCATTGTCACACAGCCAGGTTCGCTACACCACACCCAAGCTTCCGGGCACAGACACGTACTCATACAGGACCCAGTAGCCCATTCATTCTACCGCCGAGTAGGCGGCCCCGCAAAGCTCGTATTGATCTGCTTCGACTCAACAGGGCTCCCCGTATTACTGACCCTCTTCCCCTTGCCCGCACCCGCAGCGCCGGGCCCCTCAAACGCACTTGTCACGATCGGCCGCGTATAGCTCGAACCGCGCGGCGGCAGCTCCCACGTCGGCGCCCTCTGGTCCCACACTCGGCTCAACAGGGGACTAGCCGTCGAGCCAGAGATGGGACTTGTATAGGTGGAGACATCGGCTGCACTGCCACTGCCGAGGTGCGGCGACGAGACGCCGTACTCGGCTGGGTTGTAGGGCTTGAGAGGTAGCAGCTGCGAGGTGCTCCACGTGCTAGTTGTGCTGGCGGGTGTTTCGTCAATGGGCGAGAAGCGGGCTGCCTTGGGGGAGGTCGAATAGTGCACGTTGCTTGGCACTGCGGGGCCGGTCGTGGTGATGTTGTGGAGTGAGAGGGACATGTTTTCTGCTCTGGAGTAGGATTTGAAGCCGGAGGTAGAGAGTTGTGATTGCCACATAGAGCTTCTCGACATTGGAGATTCCGGTGATACCGGGTGAGACCCGAGAGCGGGGTTTGTGGTGGTGTAGACCTTCTTCTCCTCTTCGATGGTTGAGTCGGATGGGTTCGGGAAGAATGCTGGAGATCGTGGCGATAGATGCGTCTGGCAGCGGAAGGAGAGTGAAGATGCGGGACGGTGGTGACTACGTCGAGAGTTTGTGCCCTCCAGTCGAAGGCGTCGGTTGCGCCGTTTCCGGCCGCAGACAAACCAAATGCCTGCTATGGCGAGGACGGTAACAATGGCACCGACGACAATACCCACAACTTGCGGCGTAGACAATGTGGATCCATGATGTCCAGAAGCCGTCTCCGAGTTAGGGTCAATAGCACTAATCGTAGTGAGGGAGAAGACGGTATCATTCAGCCCGACTACCGTTCCAGCTGGAGGCTGCTGCTTACACCCTGTTTCTAGGGCGATAAGATCTACGGGATTGGTTAGTGACTGAAACACCGTTCGGGATGATGGCCGCCTCACAGTTGGCCAGGAACTCCTGGTCGTCAGATGCGGATACACACGACAGACACTTGGAGACCACCGGGCCGGTCATGGCTCCGCCATCAACAGCGCAGTAGGCATAGTCCTGGGTGTTCGCATTGAGTTGGCCGTCAGTCAAAGCGGCCTCTAGATCACCGCAGGCTGTTGATGTCGAACAGGGTGTGGAAGCAATGTCGGTGGCATTTGGATACCCGAAGACACAGTAATCGAACGTATATTTCAGATTATCTGGCGAGCTGTCAGAGTTTGTTGTTCAATAGGTCAGATGCGGAGCTTACACAAGAACCAGAGCTGATCATTCTCACTGCCTTGAGAGAATGTGCTCTCCTGAAGACAGGTGATACAACTTTGAAACTTCTGGCCTGCAGGCGAGCTTGAGTATTTCGAGTCGTAGCATGTGATGTCCTTGTTCGTTGTTGTAGATGAGTTCGGATCGGAGAAGTCTAGATCATCTGAGTCGACACAGAAGGAGGCGCAAGGAGAGTTCGGCGTGACCTGTAGGGCAGTTGTACATGATGTAAGGAGGGTGAGAGCGTATATGAATGTGCGGGAAGCCATCTCGGCTGGAGATATGAGGTAAAGTTTGAATGTCCCGGAAGATGTGTTGAGGGCGAAGAGTGAATTATCAAAGATGTAGAGGGTCAAATTATTACAATATGATAGTTGCGAAATGCCGAAAGCCAGCCAGCTGGAAGGCGGATATGGTCGAATAACAGAATGAAGCCAACAGACGAAGTATAACCAACCTACGAAGATAGAAACAAGGCGCACGAACCTCCAAAGAACCATAACGGAGGGGACAGCTTTGGGATGCGCCAACTCATATAGTGAATAAGACGGGCTAATCGTACCACACAGAACCGTACCAACGGTATGAGAGGCTACAGCAAAGGCTCGATACTGCACGGTATACCCAGGTAACTCGTTGTCAGGGGTGCATCGACATGTGCAGATACACATGCAGACACTTGAGCAGCATGGGTAGTATCGCAAGTCTTGACATGGTCGAACCGCCCAAAGATAGTATTATTGAGTGGAAGTCTCCGATAGCTCAAGTGCTTGATGCAAGGGACTGGGCCTTGGCGTAGAAACCGGGGTAGAACGAGCGCTCGAAGGGTTGTATCACATCATTGGACCAGTAGTAGGTAAGTGTGAGAGTAGACTTCTTTTGTCCCAGAAGCTGTGATTCGTTGAGCCTGCAGATGGAGTTCTCTCAGTGGGCCGGCAGTCAGGTCGCTGGCGGCAAGATACAGACAGGCACGACAGGGGCCGCTTGGCCTCGTCCATGTTGACCGCAGTCAGCCCAGAAGCGTACCTCCTAATGTACCTACCCTTGCTGCCGGGGTGCAGGAAAAAAGGCGTGCCTCTCGATATCATCCATCCAGGGCGTACGGCCTGGCCGTTGTGGGATGGATCGGTGACTCGCTGCTGCTGCTGCTGCTGCTGCTTTGCATTCTGGAAAGTGGTGACTGTCGACAACCGACGATCAAGCGAAAGCGAACTAACATCCCTCTCGAGCAGAAGGAAGGACATTAGTTTGATTCCGGTGGGAATTTCCCCTGATCAGGTCTATCACGTTCGTCAAAGTGCGAATCCGGAAAGAGTTGGGTGCCGAGGGACACTCAAAAGAGGTACGGTAGGGTAGTAGCGGTACGTGATGGCAGGGCGCTTGGAAAAAAGGAGCGAGTGCTCGGCATACCTTCCAGACGTGATTGGTTGCGCGGTCCCATCACCTACTGTCAGCGCCGTGGCCTGCCAAGATGGGAACATATGCCATCGCATGGCTAGCTCCATCATTCGTGAGATGCGACGGTGATGGTGGCATGCAGGATGCAGTTGGTTCTGCAGGTCGTGGAAAAGAGACAAGCAAAAAGAGCGGGGAGAGGAACATGGGCGCTTATTCTGGGAGCTAATCTGATAAGATATCTTATCTGAGTAATGGGTGGTATGTGCTCATCATGGCCCCGGAGCAACGTAGGGACGCTTGACAGGGATCTTTCCCAGGGATGGGAACCCCTGAACGTAGGCTTTGAGGCTCCTTTTCCGCCTCGAACCCCGCAACACCAAAACGAAAAAAAAAGGTGGGGGGGGGGAGGGGGAACGGGAAAAAACGGGAATATCAAAAGATACAACACCGGGGCTTCGCTGGTCGTCACCGACCCAACTACTAATCCGGCGGTATCAGGCTTATTTAAGGCAGAGCGGACGGGATGCCAAGTTCTCCTGATCCTATGGTCGTATGTAGAAGATCGCTTTATAGTGTGACCTTATATATGCCGCTGATGGTGGAGTTATGGAACCTGCGTGCTCTCCAGAACAATTCACAGCCTGAGATCGTTGGGAGCTCCGGTACCAGGGGCTGAGAACTTCTTCAATGGAAGAACCAGTGAATGTGAATGGGAAACCAAGCCAGGCCAAGTGGCTGTTTAGCCGGTACCTGGTTGAACTCGCCACCATCCACAACGGACGTGGTCTACCGCGTCTGGAGGCAGTGCCATGGCTTGACAGCCTGCTTGCTTACTTAGTGTTCTCATACCGTTCGGTCCTCCATCGTAGCCCGTCTACGAGAACGTATGTGCCGAGGGGCAAACAGTATCAAGGAGGTGAGTGCCATGAGTCGCTCAGGTCTAGATTTCGAGAATAGGATACGGAGAATCGGGCTTCTGGTCTTGTCTATACCGACGGACTAGATATGGGTATCTCCCCTTTCACTTTTGAAGAAGCTGATTACCATCCCAACAGTAGGTCGTAAGCGTGTATCTCAACGTGTCACCCTTCCCCGAAGCGCCTATCCCTCGTATAACAATGAACGACGTTCAAGCGTCTCCAGTGCGAAAACCGTGTGGTGAGAGGTGAAACGCCAGCGTGAGGCCAGTCTGGGTCCGTTGATGTTGAGGCTCTAGACTCCTGCTCGTGAATGGTCACCTTTTTAGCCCTGCGCTTGCACTAGGGGCCGTAGTTTAGGCCAAATAAAGAGCCGCCAGCTCGGTACAATATGCCTCATCAGTTGATGTTTCTGTCGATATGGCGCTGCGTGGTGGCCTACATTCATGACTGATTTGGATAGTTCAGCCATGGTTAGACCATAGTCATTGGACACAACTCGAAGACAAGCCCGTCTGGCATGTTGGAACGTGGAGGCGGGCTTTTTGATTATATCGGTCCCCTTCACCTAAGAAGAGGGAGACAAAAGGGCCAGGACGGGCTTCGAGGTGAGATCGAGCATGCCGTAAAATTAATCGTGTTGGTCTTGCTGTATACAAGGGCTACAGGCACTGTGAGTCTTAAGCGAGTAATATCGATCCAAGCACTATTATATCAACGTCGTTTCCCTCAAATTATCCCAGAAACACATCATGTGGTGTCATTACCAGTTGCGCCGACCCAATGCATTACAACTCCCCTCTCCAAAACCATGCAGCAGGTCGGTCCTGCGTCGATACACCAAGCTCACATCACCACACCAGAGCGACCGTCAAATCCCACGTCATGAGCTGCGACGTGTGCATGCACCGCCCCTGGTCGCAATTGGCATGAAACGCCATATACGGCAGATCCCACCATCCAAGCGTGGATGCCAGACCCGTAGCGCCGCCCGGCGACATCAGGGCGGACTGGCCACTAACGACGACAGGCGTGAAGGCGCGGGTATACGGTCCCGCGACACTGCTCGCCGTCGCATAGTTGACGTTGTACGTGGGATCGGTAAAGCACCCGCTGCTAAAAAAGAGTACGTACACGCCGTCGTCGGTGAGCATGATGCTCGGCGCCTCGACGAGCGGGCCGTCGGCGTCGGTGCGGTCAAGGATCGTGACGGGGTCCCCGATCTTCGTCACGCCGTCCTGATCTACTTCCTGCAGGATGATGGGCGTGTCTACTAAGGGCGCGATGCCGTTGTTGCAGAGGCCGCCGTTGCCGATGCTGTTGCCGTCGACCTTGTACGCGACGTAGCGGCGCCCGTCGTCGTCCACGAAGCCGGAGGGGTCGATGGCGCCGCCAACGGAGAGGTCGCAGGCGAAGGGCTCATCGGAGGGCGTGTACGGCCCGGATATGGAGGCGGATGTCGCGAAGCCGACGCAGTGGTGCGCTGGGTCTGCTTTGGCCTCGCCGCTGAAGTACATGACGTACGTGCCGTCGCTCAGTTGCCGGACATCCGGCGCCCATGTGTTCGCGCCCGTGGCCCAGGATGGCGATACTGGGAGCATGTCCGTGTCCAATAATTTCCAATCGCCATAGACGCTGTTAGCTGTGGCGACCTGCACTTGTCTGCCGCCGCTGTTTGTTGCGAAGGCCCACCACCTGCCGTAGTCGTCTTGAAGGATGGTGGGATCGGGAAAGTCGGCCTCCAGCGCCGGGCCGTTGCCCATTCCTCTAGGGGGCGGCCAGTCGAAAGGGACTGCGATCGTTGTCCGACTGAATAATAGGCATAACTGCATGGCAGCAGCTGGAATAGAAAAGGACTTCATCGTGAAGATGGTAAAGATGTAGTGAGCGACCCCGTGAATTGAGAGTTGTAACTAGGGCAATCCCAGGAACTTGAGCTTAAAAGGAATCGTCCAAAGACAGAGGACGCCACGTTCGTAACAGGGGAACAGGGGGAGGCACGAACATGTGATGAGATATAGGGCAACTCCTCTCGACTCTCGTCTCATGTGGTAACAGCAGTAGAGCGCTCAATCTCGTCTCGTCTTATACAAGAAGTCAAGCAGGTCGAAAATACTCAGCGCGACCAGGGGAAGGCCAATGCTCAGATACGAGGCTGAAGAAAGCTGGACTCACCGTAACGGGTTCGCGAAACACAGCACCCTGAGCTATTATTACTCCACGGTGCCCAAGCTTTCCAAGCAAGAGCTCACTTTATCGGACGATGCCGCAGCCATAGCGTAGATCATAGCTGAGTGGGCCGAGCCGGGCGTGACAAGTTAAGGAGTCGACAAGGCGCAGCTGCACCACCTAACCTTAGGTAGGACTCTTACACGACATGTAGGGAACAGCCGCCTATCAAGCCATGCACGCCATGCAGGCCGGAGGTTTGAGCCTTTGAGGCGCCCATGTGGAGTCGCGGTTCGCGGGTCGCGGGTCGCGGGTCGACGCATGGCCTTTGATTCCTTGGGACTTGCATGCATCGTATCTGCCGTGGAGCCGCAAGTGGCGACCCCGACGTGCCCATCTCGAGCCTCTCTCGCCTCTCCCGCCTCGATGGGCAGAAAGTTGAAACATCCATTGTTGTTAGACGGCGGAGAGAGCGGGCGGGCTTTTGCCTTTGGCGTCGAGATCTTCTTTTTATAAGTTAGTGCCATGCTCCAACTGCCAGACGATCCAGACAGCTGCCAGAGTTCTTCCAGGCGGCCAGGTCCACTCCCTGCCACATGGCCACATGGGCACCTGCGTATCTCGGGCCGGCGTGTCACCTTATTTTCATCGTCGCCCAAGTCCGAGGTTCCTGAACTCTGTCAAGCTGATCTCTGCCATGACCAGTGGATGATATATTGGGTCGAGCTTATAATGGAGGAGGCTGCACCATGCCCTACCATGAAGCAGGTTTCAAGGGTCAAAGTCATGCCAAAGGTTCAGTCATACTGATCCGATGAATGGAGAGTGTTCGGTGATGATATTCGCGATCTGCCATGTGCGTTGTTTCGTTGCTTCCCCAATGTCGGAACCCAAGCGGCTCTTCCCTGTCCTCGCGTGGCTCGGCGAGATCTACACTGCAGGCGGGAAGCGAAAGCGACAGCGCATCTGAACGTCTCACACTTGACTGCGAGCTCCCGACTCTTCCACCCGTCGATGGGATTCAGTTGATTAGTCGTGGCGGCTCGAAGTGGCACGGCATCAACACAGCAGCCACTTCAAGGCATCCCGAAACTACATGTCACCATATCCGCCATGTCCACGTGGTCAGGGTCGGTGAGAAAGGTGCTTTGGGTTTAGGGTACCTCAACTTTGCTACATTCATCATCCGCCATCGTCGCGCCCTTTTCTGGGACCGTCGGGACAGTTGACTGGCAGAAAGAAGATTAGAAGATCAAGCTCGATATCACCCAGGACAGCTCGTCGATCTCGTGCCGCGAACGGGACAAGCGGCACGGAGTCTTCCTGGATGGCGACGTCAATGTTTGATTGAAGCCGCGGTCGAGATTCTCTCATTCCGCCAAAGGCCGGGTTGACAGAACAGCGCACTGTTCATGAGATATACTAGTGTGAGTTTACGAGGTTCCAAGCGAGGCAGAGCAACTGAGTACTGAATCTTCGCGTGCGAACGCGCAAACACGGCCTTGTGAACCGTTGGGTGCTTTGCACGTGGCATGGTCGGACTGCATGCTGAGCGATGCGACGCTTCCGGTGAGCGCCGCGAGATCACAAACCAGGAGAGGGAAACTCGCACTTGCCATCTGCAGGCTCGCGGGACTCACGTGCGAGCGACGTCATGAAGCACAGTCAAGGTGCACCGCCCGGTCGGGCGCAGTTCTGCGGATGTATGTATTTACCCGTCATGTTTGGTCGACGAGAACACCACATGCCAACCGTCAGAGTTTCGTCCGCATACAGGATGCAAACGACGACCATTCGAAATTCCTGGATCCCCATTATCTCCAACTCCCAAGAGGTGTTCACTGTTCACGTCGCGAACACGCCAGCCCACAGCCACACCCGGATGCCTCAACTGGTTTCCTCCTTAAAGAGTCTATGACTACTCCTTCGCCTGAGGCTCCGAGGGCGCTGTGGCCCTGTGCGACTTGCTGTGCTTCTGCTGATCTGAACCAGGACTTTTCCGAAGGGCTGAATAACCAGCTAAACAGTACTGTCAGGATGGTTGTTGGGCGTTTGACTGACTTGGAGGTTGACCATACCTCAGCCAGCCGGTGATCGCCAATGAGACCAACCCGACACTGACGCCTACTCCGAGCCCAGCTTGCGCACCCGTCACTAGACCGGAGGTTTCTGAGGCGCTTGCTATGAATGATGTCTCCGTTGAAACCGAAGGGGGCGATGTACGGCTTGCAGTAGTGGTGGTGCAAGAGGCGTGCTGCTTGATGTTGCTGCAATGGGCTGAAGAGTCTGCCACGAGGAGATCAGCAAGCCCTTCTATTATGGCACGCTAGAATTTTGCTTACAGAAATAAGCTTGATGCCCCACGCCCAGACATTCTCGCCCGCTACTGGGCGTGTGGGTTTTCTGGGAGGCCCGTTGGTGGTGTCAACGCGGAGTCAGTCCTGGAGCCGGTCCAGTTGCGTTCGCCGTGTATTCAGCTTGCATCCGTACGTGTTGCTCGTACAAACGGAACTGAAGAGACCTCTGGCGTATTTGGTCAGCACATTCTGAGCAGCGATGACCCCGTTTGAAAGACATACGATGAACATTAAGTCAAGGAGCTAGCTGGCGCGCTGTTTAGCTGCCAACCGTAGCGCAGGCGGCTGTGTAGCCCGTTGGGCACGAAACGTCGGTGAGGTTGGCAAAATTCGGCGTGAGAGAAGGGGAAAGCAGGAACCACATGGTCTGCCGAAACCCTTGGGCGTCGGATCTCCGTAAATGTTCCGTGAACCAGATGCCGTCTTTGAGAGTGGAGACAAGACCATATCAGTATACTATACTAGCCAGGCAGGAGCCTAGCGCTGTCCATGCCGCTGGAAAGGTCGGCTTTGATGTTGTCGCCCTATCGCCCAGTTGATTGACAGTGAGCCGTGCGCTCAGATGACTCACAGTATAGTAATGGGGGGGAAAGGTGTACATGAGAATGGACCGTCGAGTGGAAATGGGGCAAAGAAGAGAAGCTTCGAGGCATCCCCCAATAGAACCCTCATGGCCATGTGACATGTTCCCATCTTCCCCAGGATGGTCGATCGCATCCTCACAGCCTTAAACGAGCTCGCCGAGATACACGCTACGGCGAGAACGGGCCAGGAGCTCTCTGCCTTCGAAGTGATGAACGCGACAGAACCTGCGGCCTGGACGGGCGTGGTGCTTGAGCTTCTGTAACAAGCCGACCCGAGTCTGCTCGACATCAAATTGCTTTCGGGCATGACACAGCCTACCCTCTACGGAGATAATCTCGTCCTGTTCATTGATGGTTCGGGACAGGCTAGCCGCACTCGGGGAGTGCCAATGATGGATCGGTCCCGGATGCTGATGACGCTAGGACCGTCTCACCTGAGCCTCTCTCTGTGGTAATAATATCAATGGCAGGATCGCTTCGTTGGTCATGCAATTGCCCTTATTGAGTCATAACGCCCCCCACACGCCCGAGAGTATTGGCCTTCAGCAGCCATGTTGCTCATCCATAATAGCTCAGTCATGGTGGCAGCACTCCTAAGCTCCCTGGGAACGGCCGTTGGATTAATCTCTCAGCCTGCAGATATTCGGGGGTTCGGGGGCACCGGCTCAACTTCCGTTCCCCTAGTGGGCATGTCGTAAAGGCTCTCGACAGCTTCTATCAGCCTCGGCAAGCCGTCGCTCGAGTTGAAACCGCCGTCCGGCCTTTTCCAGGATAATCATCGCACTCCAAGCGGTGTTCTTACCTGCTTTCAGTTATCATGGCATAAATACAGTTGTCGGACGATGAGCTCTCGAAGCACGGTGATGGATCGGAAACATGCGTACACTGGATGTAAGGGCATTTACAGTGAAGAACAAGAATTCATTCCGCCAACGTTGATCAATTGATCTGAAATTCGGCTTGGGAAAAGCAAGTAAGTCCCAGCACTCCATAGCAATAACATAATCAAATTTACACAAACATTGCTAGTGGTACTAACTGTTACGGTATTACATAATACCTCCACATATTTATGTACATATATATCTCTAGCTTCCCCTCTTTCTTCCGACCTTGCCTCTTTTTCCTTAGATATCGTTGAGTCTAGATATTTCATCCTATCAGCCCTGACCAGCGCAGCTGCAGGCCTGATTGTCACACTAACAACACAGCACATTTTTACTAGGTAGACTACCTAGGTATAAACATGGAAAAAACAAAACTTAAAAAATTCCAGCCTGATAAGGTAACCAGAATACACATGACATGAAGCTGTTGATGCCGAATGAACATCTGCCCAGCAGGGTGGTCGAAGAGGTCATGTGCACCTAGTCACTTTATCATGGCCCTCGGGGTGCTCCCCAAGGAAGCCAAACTTGTTCTGAGAGGGATTCGAACCCACCTCGCCCTCGAGGGGCTGCTACCGAATAAGCAAATAGACCAAGTGTGACTTTGGAGCCAGTGATGGAAGTTTTTGCTGTCGAGTTCACCTATATTGCCAGCCTCCCCAATGGGTTGTCGACAGCAACGAAGGTGGATCCTCCCTGTTCACCCGTGTTTGTCTCAGCAACCCTGCTGAGGCTGCTGTTGTTCATCTTCATTGGTAGCTGTAATGCCTCCTCAGACATTGGGATGACAACATCACCTCTCGCGGTCTTCACTTGATCGCGGCCGTATATATCGTCCTTCACAGCGTCGATGACTGCGATGCCCATATGCTCGTCTTGCTTTTCAACGACGATTTTCACAAGATATGTGATCACGAACCATGATTTGTTATGACTCGATGGGATGATCTCCGTGTGCAAGACGTTGGACGCCCCTGGAAGGAGAACCCTGTGCTGCTCGTTGCTGGCCAACTATCTCGAGCTGCGTCAATGTGCTACCACTTCACCACTGACCCGCGGAAGGTGCATTGAGTCCCTAGGCAAGTACTTATGCATTAGGCAGTCGATACTTTAGGTGATTAGCGTACCCGCGTAAGGGCTGCGACTCCTGTACACCTGATGGGAGAATCTTGGTATGAGCAGGCGCATTACCAAGCACATACCATAGATGACGCAAAAGGTGTACATCTAGCGGGGGCGTCGTTCAGGTGCTACGACCAAACTTATGGGAGGTGATTGTAGCAGGAAGACACGGTGCGCCGACGGACTCCTTCAGCACTCCCAGCAGGTTACACGTGCCCCTTCCAAGTACTTCCCAAGGCACTTTCCCTCTCGAAGAGGCAAGGCCAGTCAACCTCACTATAACTAGCTGCAGGTACGAGGACAGAAACTGACTTTAGGGGAGTCGTGCCTGCTACCGGTGAGAACATTCATCATGGTTACATGACCCTTCGATCCCTCGCAATCCTGCCCTGGACTGCGCACTCCCTCCATCAACCAGTTACCAAAACACCGGACTGAGAGATGGCAAATATCATACTTGTTATCGGTTGAAGCATGCCGCGATACTCAAAAGACCGAAAGCCATTCCATCATTATAGCCGAACTTAGGCCACCCCTTTTCTCTTTTCCCTCGACGTCGACACCTTTCAAGCGGCTCCATCACCGATGCTAATATACAACTTCTGTCAACTCCCAGGAGCGCACTAAAGCCCTGTTGGATCGTCGAGCATAACGGCCGAACTTCATGGCGCTTCAACTCCCAAGCCAAGGCCCCATGCCTGACTGGACGCGCCTGCCCCCAGAAATCCGCCTGATGGTCCTGGAAGAGCTGGTCAGGGCCGAGCAGAAGGATGATCATAAAGTATCGGGTTACGCCGTGGTCAGCCGCGAGTGGCAGGTGTTCTTCGAGCGCCACACGTTCAAGAAGCTCAAGCTGCACCAGGGCCACCTCGCAGAGCTCAAACGCATCCTGCACAACACTTACCGCCTGCCAATTACGGTCGAGGACTTGTGGTTTAACATTCAGCTGCCAAGATTCGGATGCGAGTCCTGCCAGACCGAGGAGTCGGCGTTCGAGGAGTGGCAAAACAACGTCATCTTCACCAAAGCGATCTGGAAGCTGTTCAAGATTCTGGGTTCGTGGAGCAGGCGCAGACCCCTGACGGATGGCAAGCGCATGACCCTGAGCCTGAGCGCGCGCTAGCCGAGCGACGGCCATCATAATCCCTCTACGGTTTCATTACAGAGCATTCAACACCAGAACTTTCTCGTAATTCATCCTCTTTCCCGAAGCTACGGCGCCAAAAGCAGACTCATGGGGCCTCTTCAGGGGCTACGGTTGGACTACGGCGCCATGCCCACTCATCCGTTCCGACTGCCAACAGTCGACTTCGTCTACGTCCTGCAGATCCTTCGTTTGCCCGACCCCTACCGTACCATCTCGGTGGTGGAAGGTTTGCAGCTCATGATCGAAGCCCTGCCTTGTCTTCAGTATGTACAATACGAGCCTTGGCGAGGGGTGAACGACGCCCGGCAGTACCACATGATCACCCAGTACGGTGCGTTCATCACCGTTATGTCTCACTGTAAACATCTGAGGAGAGTGCATATATTCGAACCCGTCACATCCACTATGAGCTCGGGGCTGAAGATCCGCACCGAAGCGCTGGGGCTTGGGCCCCTCTTGGCGAGAAGGAGCGCTGCGCTTGAGGCCCTGATCGTCTGCTTCGCGGTCAACGCCATGCACTTCTTCTGGGACTTGAGGCCGACTTCGGGGTTGAATCTGGCAGACAGGCTCTATTGGGCGAATCTGAGGGAGGTCTTACTCACGTCCGACGAGCTGCAGCCGAGGTCCCCCTCGACGGTACAGGTGATCGATTGGGCCTCACGGGCTGTAGCGAGGATGCCCCAGATCCAGATCATGGAGATATTCAACGTGGAAACAAGGAAACATGTACTGAACCCCCACGCGACCATCTTCGCGTACGTCGTGCTCGGGCCCGACCAATTTCCCGCAATCATTGTGTCGAGCACCTGGGGTTGGCGGCTCCAGAGTACCGAGATATGGCCCTGGGCCCACGTTGCATCGATGGATCCGCGCACGCGCGCTGAGCTGAGAGTCCAATACGTTGACCTGAAGAGAGAGGATTTACCGCGCACAAATTCAGTGTTTTGCCATCTGGCCATGTGCGACGTCGTTCGGACGCGAAAGACAACGAGGGGCGTCCGAAAATTACTAGAATAGCAGATTCGGGGTTTGACCCGTCGAGCGTATTCAATAGCGTATAGTATTGAAGAATGACCATGTTTTGACTTTCCTAACTGGTCCAGTTCTTTACCATCCATGCCCCCCAAATTTCCCTGACGTTCTGATTTATTAATATACTGAACCCCCATAAGGTTCCGTATACCACCCGTCTAGCAAATAACCGTATATTCATCAAATCGGGATAAGCACACCGGAATGAGCATTAGCAGTAACGTATGAAACCAGGGCTGCTTGTTCCTGTCTGCTTATTCCAATATTTCCAAATTTCCACATCTGAACTGGAACCCTCCCAGCATGGCACGCACGGAGATTGAAGAGGGCCTAGTGTAACAGCTACGACCGTGCCGTTCCTCAGGTCATAGGGCAGTCATGACAAAGTCCTCAAAAATGGGGGAACTCTTGTTGGCCAGCCCGGTGTGCTCTCCCGTACACGACTCGAACATGCCCCAGAAGTAGCACACGGGGCTCTGGGGCTTCGACATCGCGTTGGCGACGTCGAAGATGATGGCGGGGCCCTTGGTCGACGGCTTCGCGCCGCAGCCCGTCGTCGCCTTCAAGTCGTTCGCGACGCCCTTGTTCATCACGCGCGAGCAGATCTGGTACGCCGTTTCGGGGACTGAGCAAAATTTCGGTTACTTGACCAAGCCCGGATTTGACATGGGGCGGGACTGAGGGACTAAGAAGGATCGAATACACCCTCGTGGCCGGCGTTGGAGACGCGCGTTAATGACAGGTTGCCGCACTGGCGCACCATGCCGCCGACGTACTCGGCGTTGACTTCGAGCTCGGATACCCGGCTGCTGGGGAATTATCGGATATGCTGGATTCGATCGCCAGGTTGATGGCTTTTCCGTAACCTATTTCCATGGTATCTTGGTTAGCCGGCGGACCATAGAGGAAGAGATCATGTGTAACTTACAGTTGCACCGGAAGTCATGGTCGTCGTACACAACAGCGACCTCGACGCCCCATATGAAGAAAATGTACGGCAGCGAGGATGTGCTGGTCGCCATGAAGGCTTTCGATGCCGATGTCAGGGGGCTCGGGCTGTCGCCCTTGGAGGTGACCGTTCGCTGGATTTTCTACAATTCCGTGCTGGGTGACGGGGATGGCGTCTTTCTTGGGGCCAGCAAGACGGCGCAGATTGTTGATACGGCGGCGCTGGTCCGGAAGGGGCCGTTGCAGGATGAGGTGCTGCCGCTTGTGGAGAGGCTTTGGGAGGGTGTTAAGGAGACAAGGGGGGGGGATCATCTGAGTGAGCGGCTCGAGTGACTTTGACCTGCTATTTTGAGCAGCTGGCTACGCTACACGTCCTTCAAGTAGAGTTGGTGAGGCTACGGTTACACCTTTGGCCTTCAGGCCAGATGGTCACTCGAAAGCAAGACACTGGGGGATCACATGGGCAAATTCAATTGCTACTGTAAGTCTGCCTTGCAACATATCGCACCGCTCGCTTCAGCCATAACCCCTATATACCTTCCAGCCAATAAGACCTACATCATTCCAGCCGACGTATCCTGGCAAATCTAATTGGGGTACATGTTGATAACTGCCTTGGCGTCGCGCGCGGAAGGTACGAAGTTAGGCTCGATGAAGCCTCCATCGGGATCGCGTTTGACCATGGTGAATTTGCCAGGCTCTTGCGCAAAAAAGAACGAAGGGTACAGCATAATCGAATCCCAATCGAAAGAGCCATCATCCGTGCCTTTCGATGCATCCAAGGGCAGGAGATTATGGGCAGCGAAACCGGCCTCCAACGCCTTCTTCCGATCGGAGCAGAGTTCATCCATATTCAACCCCTTGTCACTGAGACTTTGGTAGCCCTCCACATTCTCGCAATTGAGCTTGAGCTTCCCCCCAACCTTGGCCCAAGCCGAGGGCTTCTGGTGCTCATGTTCCAACCCTAGAGTATGCCCGAGCTCATGCGCGAGTACAGCAGCGCGCGCCTGAGCCCGTTCGTTGGGGTCCTTGTATAGGGTCTCAAAATGTGTATAATCATACTGTATATAACTGTCCTTCGGCCCGTAGCCGATACTTGCGAAGTTTTCATCATTTCTGTTGAAGATGATATGCAAAATTAGTTTACTCTCGTCGGCGCGGTCGCATTTCGGGTCGCCCTTGTCCGCCGCTACAAATTGAAGGCTAGACTTTCCGCCGAGGGCTTTCTTCCAGAGCTCCCAGGCGCTGCCTATAACGTCGACGGCCGCATCCTTGTCGATCTCGTCGTCGGAATCTTCATAACACCAAGTGATCTTGGCCTCCGGCCAAAGCTGGGAGTTGGTGGGAAAAGCCCTATGGGCAATAGCGGGCTTTTCGTCTGACAAGCCTGTCGGACTGGCCACGACTCTCAATGCGCAGATTGCGATGGCGAAGAAGAAATTGATGGCCATTATGAGTAGTTGAGACCGGGATAGAAGGATACGGTTGAGAAGAGACGGCGAATGTGGTGCTAGCAGTGGCGGCTAGGAGTGTTCTGAATGATAAGTGTGGTAAAGAGAGCAGCCATAATCGCTACCCAAGAACATCGCCTGACTTATATACACATGTAAGAGAGCAATCGGGCAGCAACATCAAAAGGCCACGAAGTTGATACAGGGCTGTCCAGACAGCCACAATGGGTACAGGTGTCCAGGGTGGTCATGGTTAGCGGTTCCACGTATATCTATTAATGGTAATAGGTAGAACTTTACGTGATGGGAACTTTTATAGGAACTTTCATAAGAACTTTCATAGGAACTTTGATGTAAGAACGTCGTTGTAAGGTATATATGTTTAGCATGGTAATTGCACGTGGAACCGCTAACCATTACCATCCTGGACACCTGTATTGGGACGATAAAGTTGCCACGGAAGAGGATTACTGGGTCCGATACCAATTGTTGTGATTTTCCACAGGCATGTCGGTAAGATGGCAAATCCGCAACGTGCCACATGACCAAAAGGTTGTTTTGCATCACTGCAGATAACATGATGCAGTTGGCCTCGAATCCTTGATAACAAGCGTCGTGTCAAACGGGGAGTCAAAAGTGCCGACACTGGCAGCAGTTCAAGGGTGGGCACTCGGACTCGCCACACTCCTTCACGCCTCCTTTACTGGGTCAGCAACCCTGAGTCTTTGACGCAGATCCACGTCCAGGACAGACCGATCGCGCCGACTACGGCCCGTCCCCTAGAGCAGCCTTATTATTAGACCACGGGTCGGGGTGTAAGACATTGGAAGACCGGCAATGTTGAGCACTTCAATTACCAAGGTACTGTGTAGAGAACCTTCCTCCAGACATGCATAATCTTGCAACTGATTCCGTTCACCCACCCAAGCTCCTACCATCTCCCCATGGCCTACTCTAATGAACAGAAAACATGATATTGAGCAGGCCCTTGACCAAGGCCTCGTTGCAACAGTAGTCACGTCAGATGTGAAAGGGGCCTTTGATGCTGCCCTAAAGGGACGACTGGTGGTTCGCATGAGAGAACAGGGCTGGCCAGGTTTTCTTATAAGATGGGTCCAGTCATTCATGTCCGAGCGGTCCGCAAGAGTTCGGTTTGAAGGTATTATGACCGATATAAAAGCTCTCACTTGTGGGCTACCACAAGGCTCACCAGCCTCTCTAATCCTTTACATGCTGTATACTGAGTCAATCTGTGCCCAACTTGGCATAAAAAAAAGACGCTTTGGATATGCAGACAACCTAGCAACTCTCTGTATTAGAAAGAACCTTAAAGAAACAGCTACAGAGGCTTCTAAAAATCTTCATTTGTTCAACCAATGGGGACATAATAATGCTATTGAGTTTGATCCCGACAAAACCGAGATCATGCACTTCTCGTGGAAAAAGAACTTAGACAACCCTCCATTCCGCCACAGGACAATGAACAAAATAGCTAAGTATTCTATGCGATGGCTAGGTGTCCTTCTGGATAGAAAACTAAACTTCAAAGTTCATGTTTCTCACTGGGCCAAGAAAGCTAGTAGGGTAACAAATCACCTTCGAGGACTATGCAACACAGTCAAGGGACTCCCAGTAAAATCAACCAGGAGGGCTGTGAAAGCTTGTGTTATTCCTATTCTTACACACGGCCTGGAGACCTGGTACCCAGGAATCAAAAAAATCAGGAGCTCAGGTGAGACATCAGCATGTCGCATTAAGGGGCTTCTTGGGACAATAGATACTGTACTACGAACGGCGATCAGGGCTATCTTGCCAGTCTGAAAAACATACCCTGGGCATATCCTACATTTTGAATCACAGATTCCCCCAGCTGGCGTTCTTGCAGAGTCAATACGACGACGTCACGGCCTCTGACTAGGACGAATAGACCAGAGACACTCTCTTGTTGGCAGGCTCCAAATACAAGCCCGCAAGGATCCAACAAGGCTACAAAGGAGTTTCCAGCTAGTCCCTGACTTCCAGAGACCAACACTTACCAGGCTATCATGGAAGAAGCCCCCAGTCCGTAAAGACAAAGACAAAGAAATAGAGCTCTTTAAGCAATGGCTACAGGAGAGAAATGTGAACACTGACCTTGTCATCTACTCAGATGGATCATAATTGGTTGACCAAGGTACAACCCGCACTGGATGGGGTTACACCATTAGGAAAGGCAACACTATTCAAGAAATATACCGGGGAAAGGGTAGACTTCTGCAAACAGAAGTAGTAGATGCTGAAGTCTATGGTGCTCTCCAAGGTCTTGCAGCAGCCAGGGCAATTGGACACAGAAAACAGTTATATATCTGCCTGGACAACACGTCAGTGGTAGATGGGCTCAATGGGACTCCACCCGAGACATCACAGAATATTTTTTTACAATTTCAAGAACTTGCCACAGCACACACTCCTGGAGTGACCGTCAAGTGGATTCCTGGACACAGAGATATTGATGGCAATGAAGCTGCCGACACATTAGCAAAAGAGGGTGCCATGCTGGAAATAGACACAATAAGCCTTCCTACAATCTCTTAGGTCAAAAGAGATCTTAAAAAAAAGGGCAGAAAGGAGTTCAACTAATGGTAGAAAGACCAATCAAAATCTAGGTATCAAGAAGTATACTCACACACAATAACTGAAAGAGACCTGATATCTTTTAAGAGGAGTACTTTACACAGACTTCTAGCGGCCAGATCTGGACATGGCGACTTTGCCAGATACTATGAACGCTTTGGGCATACAGACTCAAATGACCATTGCAGTTGTGGTGAGAAGAAAACACCACAATATATTTTCTTTTGTAAGAGACTGGGGAAAAATCGGCTACTGCCTAGGTACTCGCCTAGGACAGCCTGTTTACAATACTTAGGGGAGAGGAGCACAGAATGGGCAAAATTCGTGGAGAAGAGCAAGTTCTTTTCATCAATCTGCCCCCGATAGATAGCTGTTCTTGAAGGACCAGATGGATGACCCCAAAGTCATACAGCCGTAACAACGGGGATGGGCTCGTGAGCGGGACTGACTGTACTTATTATCTTGATACCTCCACAACCCTGGGATGCAGAGGCTCTGGGAGGCGTGGCTTGCACTACTGAGGAGCGATCCCCCACGTTAAATACAATCAATCAAGGGGAAGTGTCAACATGTGTTGGTAGCCGACGTCTTCAGTCTGGGCGGGAGCTTCGGGAGCCCTTGACGGATCCGGATATGGAATGCACAGCTTTGGAATAACATCATTGGAGTTGGAGCAGTCAAAACCTACCGTCATTGCAATGGTCCCGACTGTGTGGCACCGTCATGCGGCAAGCAGAGGGGCCAGGACAGATTCCAGGGGTGGAACTATGTGATTCGCTCACACAATGCCGGCCTGTGGCATTGGAGACCAACATCATTGCTAGTATCCAGCTGTGCGAATTACATGCGTTGGGAATAGGGTGATCCCTGAAGGAATGTAGAATGGCGGCCGAGCGGTTACCAGGCACCCGAAACGGCCCAGCCAGGACTGACAATCTATTACTCTACACCAACCTTTCCACGTTTGCACCCCCTAATATATAAATATCTTTGAACACAACCGTGGGAAAAATTGTTGTTCTTCCTTACACAAGTTACATCTTGCTCTATGGAATAGCCACCGTAAGTTTGGCTATCGAGACCCCCAAAGTGTATTGCTAACAGTATGCTTGTAGGTGTCTTGGTGGTCTGCAAGGTATATTATTTCAGGGGTCAATCTGTACTCATTCCGGTGATGCCGATCAGCTGCATACATACCCCAGTTGTCGCAAGGAGGCTGGTATTCCAGGTGGTTGGCAATATTATGATCCCCAGTGGTGACTGAATACATATACAGGGAATTCATCCCCTGTGCCTCCAGCTAGATCTTCTCCTCTATCTAATACAATGTATTCAGACCTCATAACTGCGTTATCCTTTGACACCACTTACTGGTCGTCTGCTTGTGGATATTTTTCACCTCCCATTACGACTGTTCTGACTTACAATGCGGGCTATCGAGGTGTAGATTCTGAGTTGCACGGTGCTGCGCCTCCCTCCGTGGAGGTGCTTCGATGTTTCTTAAGGTTCAGTCTCCGGTGAGTCACTGCTCATTCAAATACGAGTGGTTGTACGTTGCCATGCCTCTTCCTTCCAGTTCTTTACACCATCGCTAACCACCCAAATGCGCTTTTCTCACAGCACCGCGACCGCTTTCTTTCTACGATCCATTGTGGCCTTTCGATCCTAGGGACGCCCCACGATCGAAAACCACACTCACCAAACACCGAGGATCCAGTTGATTCCAGCTGTCTCTGCCCTTTGTACTAGTCATCTGCCTGTATGTACCTTACCGCTTCCTTTGTTAGTACAGGTACATAAGTAAGGATCACCTCTATCAGTCATCCCGATATCAACTAATTAATCTGTTGATTAGGTCCAGTGAAGATCCCTATCTACCTCTGAACAATACACCCAGTCGTACAAACACTCAACTACGCCCACCATGTCTTCCTCAACCGACGAGCAGTACGGCAACATCGACTTCAGCGCAGGCGACGCCGGCGCCTCTCACACCCGCCCGACCGCCGCCAACGGGCTGCGCGTGGGCGGCCACGTCATCTTGGACGGCGACAAGCCGTGCAAGATCATCCAGATCATCAAGTCGAAGCCCGGCAAGCACGGCCACGCCAAGCTGGTCATCGCCGGCACCGACATCTTCACGGGCAAGAAGCATGACGGCGGCGGACCGGCCGCGCACTCCATGACGGTGCCCGTGGTCAAGCGCAACACCTACATGCTGCTCTACATCAAGGGTCAGCAGAAGGGCGGCAAGGAGTTCCTCAGCCTGTTCGACTACGATGCTAGGGCCGAGAAGCCGGACGACGTCAAGCTTCCCGATGGCGAACTGGGGGAGAGGATCAAGGCAGCGTTCAGCGACGAGAAGAGCATCGATGTTGTGGTTCTCTCGGCCATGGGCAAGGAGGTGGTCGTCGACTTCAGTCTCGCCAAGAATGACTGATCTCAAGGAATGTCGGAATATGTGCTCAGTGGCTTACTTAGCCTGAGCACGTATGTTGGTTATGCTGTTGGATCACCTGAGTAGATAGCTGCCGGAGGTCATTTTCCTGGTTATTCAAGTAGGAAGGTACCCCCTTTCAGCTATCTTCTTCTTCCAATACAGACCACTCTGAAACCTGAAAGGAACCAATCGCTCTCTTGAGAGATTTTGGGGCTCTGTTAAGTACGTGGTCGTCTTTTTGGATGATCAGTTGTCGCGAAGAAGACCATACCTTGTCGCATGGGGTTGGTTTGGTTCGCCTCGGCAGCCTTTCCATAACTTCAGTTGCCCCGTTGCCTCAGATTCCTGCTTTACTACATAGGTAGTCTGTGGGTCGTAATCAGTCGCATTCCTCCAACATATTCCCAGTAGCTTCTGCACAACTTGAAACTCAACTCATGTGAATGAACTCGGAGCTCCACCACACCACAACTGTCAAACTCGGCATCACTGTTCTCGCACGCGGCATGGCCGAACATGGATCTGCTGAAAGAGAAGAGGGAATAGGCTGTCTCCTTCGCTTCTCATCATCGATCTGGGTCGTGGTGTACATGTGACAGGCTGGCTGTTCAATCGAATAAGGGGATTTCGACTGATCGTTACCGGTACCGTGTGCGGCGCACACAAACCGATGACGGGTATTGGATCATGTAGGACATATAGGACTAGGAAGTCCTAACTACATGGTCTCTAACGTCAACCTGCATAGAACAGGCTATTCTAACTCACGTAGACTGGCGGGCACGCAGTACTTACACGCGTGGTCCATCTGACAAAGCCCCATCAACATGAATAGTCATCACAAAAGGGCCAGGCTGCAAATCATCTTACCGAGAGGTGAAGTCATACCAAGCCCTATTCCAAATACCGCTGCTATCCCTGCCTCTTGGCTCCGCTGCCGAACGAATCATCTCCTCCGCCGGTTCCGACACCCCGGACCGCTGGACCAATGCGGAGGTAATGAGTTCGAGCTATCGGCGGGCGATTGGGCGATGCAGGGCCCACGCAGCAGCCGAGGCCAACCGGATGGAAGCTGAAATGTTCTAGCTGTAATATAATATGACTTGTTGGTTGCGACCCTACATCTCCTCTCAGCTCGCAGCCTTGAGTTGCGTTCTCGTCTGTTGACCGACGACTTTCCGCCGACGCCAGATCGAAAATGGCACATACCGACCCCGAGAAAGTCGGGACCGCCGACGTGGTCAATCTGTCCCAGCAGCAGAGCCACAAGGACGATTCCCTGGAGGACCTCACTCAAGACGCCGACCACAGCCTACACAGGCGTCTCGAGGCACGCCATGTGACGATGATCGCGCTGGGCGGCTCTCTGGGGACCGGCCTCTTGGTCGGAACGTGAGTCTGAGCCCGCCAACCTGATCAGTTACCTAGCCACTCTCTAATTAATATCCCGGATACTAGCGGCGCCGCCCTCGTCAAGGCCGGTCCAGCAGGCATATTCATCGACTACACCATCGTCGGCTGCATCGTCTTCCTCGTCATGGCCGCACTGGGCGAGATGATCGCCTACATGCCGCTCTCGCACGGCTTCGGCGGCTACGCCACGCGCTTCGTCGACCCGGCCCTGGGATTCGCGACAGGCTGGTCGTACTTCTTCAAGTACCTCATCGCGGCGCCGAACCAGCTCTCGGCTCTGGCGCTGATCCTGAAGTACTGGGCCGGCGACAGCGTCTCGCCCGCCGTCTTCATCTCCGTCGCGCTGGTCTTGATCTTGCTGATCAATTGTGTCGGCGTCAAGTACTTTGGCGAGTTCGAGTTCTGGCTGTCGTCCCTGAAGGTCGTGATTATCCTGTTCATCATCTTGCTCCTCTTTGTTCTTGCCGTCGGTGGCGGTCCGACGGGCGACCGTCCGGGATTCCGGTATTGGCGGGACCCCGGCGCCTTCGCCGAGTACAAGGTCGACGGTGCGACGGGCCGACTCCTCGGCATCTGGTCCGCCATGGTCGCCGCAGTGTACGCCTTCAGCGGCACCGAGCTCGTGGGCGTGACGGTCGGCGAGGCCAACCACCCGCGCCTCAGCATGCCCAAGGCCGTGCGCTTCACTTTCTTCCGCATCCTCTTCTTCTACGTCGTGTCCGTGTTCCTGCTCGGCCTCGTCGTTCCCTACGACTCGGACGACCTCGCCTTCGCGAGCAATGCCAAGACCTCGGCCGCCGCGTCCCCGTTTGTCGTTGCCGTGAAACTGGCGCAGATCAACCATCTCGACCACGTCATCAATGCCTTCCTGCTGATATTCGTGTTCTCGGCTGCTAATTCGGATATATATATCTCGTCTCGCACGCTGTATGGTATCGCTATCGATGGGAAGGCTCCGCGGTTCTTTACGCGCACGACGAAGCGCGGTGTGCCGATGTATGCGATTGGAGTGTCGGGCTTGTTCTGCGGTCTGGCGTACTTGTCTGTCGCTTCGAGCGGCGCGACCGTGTTTGGGTACCTAACAAATGTCGTTACAATCTTTGGTAAGTGATGCCTTGCTTGCTGCTCCCTCCGATTGACCGGCCGGCTGACACCAGTAGGTCTACTTACGTGGATTTCGATCCTCGTCTCTCACATCTACTTCTGCGCCGCTCGGAAGGCCCAAAGCATCGACGTCGCGTACATTCCCTACCAGGCACCGCTCGGGGCGATTGGGTCGTACATAGCCCTGACCTTCCTCGTCATTCTCGTCATGACCAAAGGCGCCGAGGTCTTCGTTGGTAAATTCGACTACAAGAACTTCATCGTCGGTTATATCGGTATTCCCGTGTACTTGGCCCTCATTTTCGGCTACAAGCTCTTCAGGAAGTCGCACCACGTGTCCGCAACGGGAGCCGATCTGCTCACCGGTGTGCCGCGGGAGACGGTAGCCGAGGAGAGGGAGAAGTTCGAGGCGGCGCGAAAGGAGAGGGAGGATGCGATGGGCAAGGCGAGCGTTTGGGTGCACATTTATCGTAGGACGCTGACTTGGCTGTTTTGAGGATGGATTGCGGCTTGCGTCAGAGGAGCTTGCCCCTACTGTACGTGTTCGGAACTAGTCATCAATACCAAGATTATCAAACGTGTTGAATCAAACTTGACCTCTCGAATTCGAATGTGGTAAACTGTGAAGACAAGAGCAGAGGACTAGGGTTTTTTGAGGGGGAAAACTTGGGCCTGCTTTCCTGATAACACTTACCAGCCTCGAACCCGCCCCCTCCGTAGGACTGGATTTCAGCAAAAAGAAAGGCAATTACGCTTTCAGCAACCCCCGAAAAACCAGTTAGTATTTTCCTCATGCACGCTGTCAAACCAGCACTCCAAATCAGCCATCAAGCTTTTTCGGTATGATGGTAACTTTTGCTCGTGTTTTGATACATAAGCCATACCCGCCCTAGGTTAGGTGTATGCATCCATTTACACAGGCCAGCTCTGCAGTTGCAACTGCTCCCACTGTCTACAAGGTTCCTACATGAGATACGGTGATTGAGGAAGAAATGCGGAATGCCACATTTTTGACGAATATTGCATGCCGACCTGCACAACGCCTGCACATACCAGCCGAGCCCCTATACCGAGATGAAAGCTAGTATTCTGTGCTGGAAGCAGCACAAACGCATTCTACCTGTCCCGTAGAGGCTGCAGATACCACATCGGCTTTCGACCTTGAAGTCTTTCTTGGTCATCCTAGTACTATGTACTGCATTGCTTCTCGTCAGCGGACATGCTACACAAGAGGCATCTCCTCACAGTGTGAGCCCGCTGATTGACGACTGCCAGGTGACCTCATCCCTCAAACTGCGATGCCGACCCCTCGATGGCCGAGAAAACAGTGTACGAGACTTGGGATGATGGAGCAGGACATGCTTGAACTTGGGAGTTTGATTCTTGTGGCACTTCTTTCCCCCGACGAGTCTTGCAATCGGGAACCCCATCCATTTGCTGGTGCTCTAGAAGAGCGGTCACAGCGAGAACTAGATCTGTACCATGAACCCATGCCTGAGAGAGTTTGGACCTTGGAGGGCAGCTGCTCAAGCCCCTATCCCCAAGCCCCTGCAATTCGACGCAGGCACGGAAGAATAGGCCCTCCGAGCGCCGACGTGCCCCCTAACTGCGCCGCCACCTTCAGGGGCTAATAGGGTTCACGTACGGCTGCAGCTAACCCTGGGGCTCTCTCCACCAATCACACACATGTTGCATTCACTCTCTGAAGCCCGAATTTTCCCGTAGGTTGTGTTCGCGTAGACTGGTTCCCTGGAAGAGCGGTGACAGCAAGAACTAGATTTGTACCATAGTTAGCCCTATGCCTGTTTGCTTCGATATTGTCACAATTCCAGCAAGCTACCGCGTTGTGTGTCAGGTCGTCATCTCCCTTATCAGCTGACAAACTTGCTCGTCCATGCAGGTCGGGCCCTGAAGATCGGATGAATTCGAACTAAGCCAACGTGAATGACTAGCGGTCTAGTGGGCGGCGGTGACAATCCAACCGTACCCAATGTTGTTCACGGTAGAGATCACGAGGACGAGCCTCCCGAGGATGATGGAAACACCAATTGAAAAGGGCATCAAACACTCAAGATGAGCGGAGGCAGCTTCGGCGGCGGTCAGGAGACAATCGTATGTATAGCTGTTTGCTGTCGAGCTCACAAGGCCGTATTGCTCTGCGAGGTCCAATAGAAAGATTAGATGTAGGATAGCCGGTGAAGCCCCTGAAACCGTGTGGCACTCGATCTATGAATCACCTTCAGATGAACATGATTTCCGTAGGTCAGAGTCCAATCAGAGCTTGGCCTATTCACGTAGGACAATAGAAGGGCACCGGAATCGGGGATTTCGCCAGACTGATGAACAACATAAAAGGCTCGTCCCTGTCCCTCGAAAGTACATTCCTTCACCCTCCTACACACCTTCCATACCATCACCAACCACTTATCTGCCCATGATCCGCATCCTCGTTGCCGCGAACACTACTCGACAGACCTCAACATAACCACCACCTCTTATACCCGACTACCACCATCGCAACAATGGGTGGAAAGGTCTGGACGTTCCCGGAAGAGAAGTACTTCTGGCGTGTCGCCGTGGCAAGCTCGCCGAAGCGTGCCGGCATTGACCGGGCCAAGGCCGAGAAGCCTTGGGACCAGCTCGCTAGTGAAATGCAGCGAGCCATGGGCCACAAGGCCAAACGTACCTATAGCGGTACTATGCTCTGTAAGTCCTCGAACGGTCTTTTCCCCCCGGACCCTCGCTCGATCTTCCTATGATACCACCACTAACACGGGGCCAGTTGAGCACTATTTCCAGAATGTAGAAAGTCAGCGGTGGTCTCCGCATGCAGCCCAATTTGTCAATGAGCACCTGGGCAAGCTCGGTAAGTTCTTGATCTCCTTCTAGACTCTCGTCTCACTTCATATTGTCTGTGGCTGACCTGACCTGTCGCCTTGTAGGCCAGGCCGGTCGACGAGGACGTGGTGGCCGGTCCCGTGCTGCCACCATGCAGCGACCCATAGCGGCTCTCAACGCCGCCATCACTGCGCAGACTGCTGCGATCACCGGCAACACTGTCACCCACACTGCCCAGGCGGTTGCCCTCACCACTGCGGCTGCCCGAGCCCGCGCTGACATTGCCGCTACGTCTGCTGCCCTTACCACTGCCGCTGCCCGAGCCCGAGCTGACGCGGCCGCTCAGGCGGTCATGTCACTCAGCCGACCGGTCGCCCCTCGTGGTCCGCGCTTCTTCAACGCGGGCGGCGGATCTATCACCTTTGGATCCAACGTGTCCTTCCAGTTCGGGCCCACTGGCACCCCGACTGTGACCTCGAGAGCCCCCCCTACGAGCACCAAGTCCGAGGAACCTTGCCTCTTCGTCGAGGATGACGAGAAGGCCGAGGAAGATATGAAGGACGAGAAGACCGAGGAGGAAGACCTCGAGGATGAGGATGCCGACGTTCGCATCTACGCCACTCGCAAGGTGGCCTCCAAGCAGGGACGTGGCGGAGCTCGTGACCAGTAGGCGTGGCTGGTCTTCTTGAGTGCGCTGTCTTCCTCGTCAGGTTTGCTGGTTTGCTATCGTCAACTTTGGACCTCTATGTGGTGGACACATGGCGCCTCTGAGAACTTCACTCACGCACCTTGAATGACTTCCCCACGAAGCACCGGAGCAGATCTCATGGTTTTAACAACAGTTTTCTGCTCCTCATAAAACAGTCTATAAAAAAAGATCAGACGATTTTACCCTATACATTTAGACAATAGGCCACCTAATTTGTATGGTGAGATGTCGAGACAGTAGTGTGATTCAGATAAGCCAGTAGGCATCTAGAGCCTGGTCCGTGCGTTGCCAGCCAGCCAGCTTATCTAGCCATACAGGAACTAGCGTCGGAGCGGGATCAAGAGCCTCCGCACCAATCAGAGCGCAGGGCTTAAGTTGGGGTCGCACCTCAGGAAGAGTCGTGGGGTGCCGTTTCGTTCTGGAACTTCACTTCCAAAGACTTTCACCTCCACCCTTCACCCTCCACCCGCGCAGCACCGAAGCAGATCTCATTGCCTCAAGACCAGCTTTCTGCTCTAAATTAATCAAGGATAACATGGGACAGTCTTTGTTTTTCGTTTAGACAATGATTCATGATGCTTGTGTGGTGCTATGTCGTAGACGGTAAAGTAATTCAGACAAGCCAGCTGACATCGAGAGGGCCCTTGTCCGTGCGTTGCCAGCCGGCCAACCAGGCGTGAGGCCATGTGCTGCCATGCTAGCCAGGCAGCATGGGTGTGATGCGCCCCCACGCCAGACAAAGATCGTGAGAACTTCATTCTCATTCACGCACCCCAAAAGACGTCCGTTATAGCAGCACCAAAGCAGCTGTCGTGGTCTTAACACTAGTCTTCTGCTCTAAATAAATCGACAAAAAATATAGAACAACTTCGTTTTTCCTTCATACAAGAATTAAACAAATCTACATGGTGGGATGTCGTAGTTTTAAGCTGCGCCCAATTGGCTGGCAAGCTACGGACCATAACGCCTGGCTCTGTGGTGGCGGGATGTCGTAGACGGTAGAGTGAAATTCCATTCTTCTCTGTGATGAGTTGTTACCCCAACCTCCCAGCCAGTTGCAGTGCAGCCCTCTGTCTTAGGCCACCGTGATCGGGGTTTGTACGGAAAAGCAACTTAGTTCTAGATCATCATGTACGTCCCAACTGGATGCATTAATCGCAATCAGATGACAGCTAAGCCGAACTAGGTGGTCGTCAGGTATGCTGTTGTCAACTTTGGAGAACTACGGTGTGTGGTGGAAACATGGCATGGGTGGGGAGCCCGGGACCAGTTGCAGGTGTGGACCTACACAGCACCAGAGCAGAGGTCATGGTCTCATGCATATTTGCTTGATCTACAAAAATGGATTAAAAAATCTGGCGCAATTTTTGTTTTGTGTCAGACAATGATTGGTGACGTCTATGCGCTATGTCGTAGAGTGATATTCTGTCGATGTTGGACCACCCCTATCCCCGAAATCATCATCCCTCCAGACCGATTGTGAAACCCTAGCCCAGTCAAAGATAGCGCCTGCATCCAATGTAATCTCAGCGCTTCTATCTATGTGTTGGGATCAATCCGTGCGACAGAGTAGAATTCCCTCGTTTACAAATTTTCTAGGTTGTGTCAGCTCAACTGCCTACCCCTATTCCCCTGAACCGATGTCAGCGTAACCTGATTTGGGAAGCGGCCCCTAGCCCAGTCAAGCATAGCGCTTGTATTTACTGTAACCACAGCGCTTATTATCTGACTGCCCCAACACCGCCAACACCATCGCCACGAACACCCTTGCTCATATTCGGGATCGCATCTTCTTACCTAAACTGCTTAAGAACCATGATACAGAAGCGAAAACGTCCCACTGGTTTGCCTCTCTCCTATCAACTCAATCTACTGAGTTATCCAGCCAATCTGACTGTCAATACGGTAGCGGCATCTGCATGAACTCGCCAAGGTGATTGATTACATAAGGGACCCCGCCAGGTTCACTACCATCGACATACACCATTGCTCAATTCGAACGAGCGAAGGGCCTCACATTCAGCCCTCTATCTCTATAAGCATGGATATCGGCCTCGAAATACCCGTCTTCGGCCCAAGCGCTGCGCGCACTGCAGTCGAACAGGGCGCGTCTCGCATTGAGCTCAATGCCGCTGGCTCATACGCGGCCGGTGGGCTGACGCCGACACTCGATGATCTCCGTGATCTGGAATGCCTTGCTGGTCTAAATGTTCCCGTACGCATCATGATCCGACCTAGAGGGCCGGAGCTTTCCGGTAGCGACTTCGTCTACTCTGACGCAGAGTTCGAGATCATGGAAAAGGATATTCTGGCATTCAAGGCGTCGGGGATGCTAAAGGAGGATAGGGTGGACGGGTTCGTGTTTGGGATCCTAGGGGAAGTACCACGTCCGCAGCAGCCTGACATCAACCAGCAGCCGGGCTCTGAAGCTGGTACCCCACTACCGAGGCCGAGATGTTGGGCCGATGTGGAAAGGTGTGCTCGCCTGGTTCAGGCCTCTCGCCCTTTCAAAGCCGTCTTCCATCGAGCATTCGACGAAATCGTCAGCTGCGAAGGCAATCAAGCCTGCGCCGTGGATCAGCCCTCATGGGAGACCGGGCTTCAGGAGCTTGCTGCTTGCGGGTTCGACGCGATACTCACGTCTGGTGGTTTGGGCCGGGCAATAGACAACGTAGACATGTTGAAGAAGATCACCGAGAAAGCGGAAAACCTGGGTATTGAGATCATCGTCGGTGGTGGGTTACGGAAACATAATGTGGGCGAGCTGATCCAAGGTCTGGGGCTTGCTGAGAAAGACTATCATGCACATGTACACTCGGCCTGCCTGTCCAGTTCACCAACAGAGGAGATAGAGCCAGGGGAGGTTCAGGGCATCTTGGCACATTTGAGAGTTTAGATATAAGCTACTAAACCAAAAAAACTATCGTTAATTCACTTAAGTTTACGACAGAGCCTAAATTGATTATATATTATCGATATCATCCGAATTTGCTAGGTTGGGAACACGAAGTCTGGCTCGCTCGTTGTAAACGAGCGAGAGCTTCGTTCCCGCGAGTCCAGCTTTATTACGGAACTTTGGTCAAGCTTGTGTTGGCTCGTGTAATCGTCGGTGTCGATTTGGACTTGCGTGGTATTGTAGTTGCAGCTCTTGTACCGTTTCCTAGGCTGGAGTCCACATTGCCATCCGGACAATTGGAGGCCAGGTTGCCCGGTCTTACTCCGCCGTTCACCTAGCAATCCCGGGCATAACGGGTAGCAATGGCAAGACGTGCAGGAGTGGAATAGCTGTGGAATGAATGACCAACAAGTAGAGGCATTCGTAAAGGTCGCGTGAAGCAAGAGTCAATGGTGGATGGTGGTTACAGAGGTAAATCCCCAGAATCAAGAAGAGGTTTGGAGTGAAAGTAACATAGTAGAAGTTCAGGCGTCTATCATCTTGCCTCCATGTCCGTTTTCATAGCCAGGTCACTCACCGCGTTGTCGCTGGATGTAGGCTTGTGGTTATTCGTTGCTGAGTTAGTCATGATTGCCTTCGTAGCAATTTAGGATATGGGGGCAGAATCTTACTAGAGCTTGAAAACACCCGCCTTTTGACTTCGTTTAGCATGGCCTGCTGATCCGCGCCTCCCCGGATTCTTCGCTGGAGCAGCTCTTCTGCGTCCTGTATGAATGGCAGTCATGTTCATTATGGTTTGTCTAAATCTCTGGCAGAAGACTGTTTATATACAAATTCCCAGCCAAGCAGCGCCTTCAGGATCATCCGTCCATCCGTCCGGGATGAAAGGGCGAACACTTCACGGATGCCTTCCTCATTCTTACTCCGAAATTTGAGCTCGACCTCGTGGGGCGCGTGGTTGGCGGATTCGATCTCCCCAAGCGCACGTAGGGTGTTTGCGACATCGTCGAAGCCCGGCTTGCCAAGGGGATTGAAACCTCCTAATTTCTAAGCGTAGAGGAGATTAGCATATGGCAAAGTAGCAAGCAACGGGGAGAATGGGCAAAGAGTACCGGTCCCGTCAGTCTCGTTCGCTCTACTTGCAACATGACGTTCTGACTCGATGTCTCCGGCTCGAGGGTTGTGGTTGTTGTGATCTTCGGTACGATTATTATCGGATTCCTCGTTGCTCCCGAACCCCGTTCTGGGTCTGTTGACCGTACCCAGCGATTGACCTGGAAGTAGTGACTGTTGCATGAGCTCGTCACCGAGAACGGCTCGCAGGCAATATATAAACTCTGGCATATTGGCTGCAAAGCGACAAGCCGGGGTGCGGCAGAATAATCCCCAAGGCGAGGTAACCTATTAGATGCGACCGGTGCACAAGACTGGAAAGGGGTGGCAGCGAGGGTCGAGTTGAATACTGCTGTTGAACCTCAGTGACGTGGGCGGTGATCATTTCCTTTTCAATTTCTCATAGTCGTGGTTGCCATGTTAGTCGGTGGAGCTGTGTATCTAATCGACTGTGGTGTTGAATGACAACCTTTGAAGTCCTGTTTTCCACTGTTAGTAATGTTGCCTCGGTATATTTTCATACCAGAGTTCTTACCTTCTATACATGGCGGCTCCTACGGCATGTGCCGTCCCGACCCCTCCCCCGAGAGACGCTCTAGGCACAGGGATCTGGGAGAGGCTGGGGCGATGTCCTTGTCTCCGGATCACGGCGTGGGCTGTCTCTGCTTGACATCGGTAAGACCCGAACGCCCACACCATAGTTGCCACACCCTCGATGGTAGTGGTTGCCGTGCTGCATACGGCGTGGAGGTGTGCTGATGGTTGACGAGAAGATGGTCAGTGGCAAACCCTTGGCGTTGAACTGAAAGCCTAGCGTGCGCAGAAAAGGCCCGCGAACTAACCATAACTACCGTTTCATGTCTCGTCGGAATTCTTCTTGGTCCACGATCAAACGGGGTCCTTTAAGTCTCTCTTGAACTCGAAGATTGTTATGTAAGTGGGGACCGTAAAGTGGACCTCCACCTTGGGTCGTTCATCTGTACCCAAGCCGCGGAGACCTGGGTGGTGATAGATTCTGATCACAAGTTTGGTCAGCCAAATTTGGAAGATTGGGAGTGGTCAAGCCTGAAGGTGGAAGGAGGTTTACCTATGTTCCTCACTCTACCTGCTTCTGTCGTGTGGACATGTATGCAAGCCAAGAGTCTCTCCGTGGACACCAGAAGAAAAAAGCTGATAATTGGGATAAGTGCCCTCCCATGCAGATATATGTCCACATGACTTTCATTTCAATATATATTAACATAGTGCAAAGATGTGTGATGCTACTACCCGCGGGGATATGTGCAGTGGCTGAAAGGGTGGAGGCACTGGGGATCGAGCGGCAGGAAGACCAGTCCAAGTATGAGCCGCGATATCGTTTGCAAATACGATAAAAAACTTGTATGTGGTCCAGGTGTCGTTTGGCCCTCCTCCTCGATCTGGTCAGTTGCTAAGTTTTGTTTGTTGTAGTCCTTTATCTGTACTGACTCAGCCATGATTGTTTTTGCGGCAGATTGGGACAAGGGGCAGGATCCTACGAAGCCTTGGGAGCAGATCGCTCGCTAAGAGGTAAAGTGACAAGGGAGGTGAGGTGAAAATGATGAAATTTCTGTGGCTTGGCTATTTTTCAGTCCGTCCAAACGCACGCAAGGAATATAAGCAAGTTCATAATCTATAGGTAGCCGCATCTTTAGTAGTTAAACCAGGTCATAACTCAACCTGGCTTGTTGTCACGGCGAGCGTACTGAGGAGCTGGGACATGGCCGGCAGCAAGCAGCTATTACTCTATTGACGAGAATATCAAGACTAGAGAGGAAAGGAAGAGAGAGAGAGATAGGTACAGTGGGAGGTTGCCCCTTTAAGGGGATCCTCTGGTCAGATCCTTCCCCTATTAGGAAGTATCCACTTGTCATGTGGGAAGGTCTGTGCAGGCCGTCACACTTGTAGGTAGTCGACGATGTGAAGCCAGTCCTGCTGGCGCGCGGTGTCGACGCCTGGGTCGTAGATGCCGATGTCAAGGGAGCGTAGATACTGCAGGGCTGACTTTGGGACGATCTCTGTCAGGAAAATGCCAGCTGTGATATGTTCGCTGTCGTTGAGCGGCGCCCCGTCCTCACTGTAACCGAAATCGTTGACCTAGGCGGTGCGGGTGTTGCAGACCTGGGAGGGCGCAGGGGGTGGATAAAAAACTAAGTCGAAGAGTGATATATGTAGGCATTATAGTCAATTCACTATATCGTAACAGCTTATCAGGAAAATCTAGGAATATTATAACACCAGCAACAAGTGTAGCGCCCGTAGCGGTAGCAGGACCAGGGATATACGTAAGGAACTTAAGCACGCTCAGAATCTAGCCACCGGCAGTTGGAAAGAAGTCAAGGACAAGGTGTAAAACAAGTTTCACTAGAAGTAGAGAATATACAGCCATAGTAGTCGATCATCCCTCGATTGATGGGTGAAGACAGAGACATACCAGGGTGGAACAGAACCAAACGAAACGACAACGTATGGAACGAGCGAACAAGCAGTGCTGCTGATACCTGCAGACTTTCAGGGTGCCAAGGAGATCATGTATTCACAGCAAGCCCTAAGGGCAATGCTTCCGCCCACCACTTTTTTCAACTTAACGAAACGAAACGAGAAGGAATAAACAATCTTCCAAAACAAGCGATCATCCCGCCGGGGACATTAAATATACGTTAATATCATTAATTTATTAAGCTGCGTTACATTGATATTCACAATCATTGGCTGGCCGTATGGCGCAATGGTCAAATGCGCCTGGTTGTGTTCTCGTTTGTGCGGTGGGCGACGAGAACAAGTGGGTTCGAATCCTGCTATGGCCCCCTTTCTGACCCGGCTTGTGCGAGTCGATAACCAGCACACGACAGTGGAGAGGCCCCATTTTATCGCAGAGCCCGATAGCCAAGCAGCTTGTCTCCACAATACCCACTCCTGCACACGACAGTGGAGAGGCCCCATTTTATCGCAGAGCCCGATAGCCAAGCAGCTTGTCTCCACAATACCCACTCCTGCGAGGTTTTCCCCCTTGTGGTTTCCCTCGCCAGCAGATAACAAACACCTACTCCACCCACCAATGCGACATATATCGAACGGCTACTGGAACGATATGTACACCAGAGAACTGAGGTTCACTGGGTCGCTTTGTCACTAGATAGGAGGTTTTTCTGACGGAATCGTGCTTGGGTATTGACTAAAACCATCTGAACACTCCAGATTGGTACCGCTACAGCGAGGATAGGCTCGTGCGCGGATCTGAATGTATCTAATTTGACACCTCTACAACCTTGCGATGCAATGGCTCTGGGAGGCGTGGTTTGCACTACTGAGGAGCTACCCCCCACGTTAAATACAAAACAAACAAAACAAACAAACAAACAAACAAACAATCATTGGCTACGACAAGAAGCTCAACGGAAGAGGATCAAGGTGGAATACGTTCCTACTGGGGATATGATGGCAGATGGTTTGACAAAAGTACTCCTTGCCGCAACATTCAGAAAATTCACGAGGCAATTAGGACTCGTGGATATAAGAGATCGGATACAGCAACAACGAACCAAAGAGCTCTCGGACAAAGATCTTCAACATATGGAAGATCTATTGCCCGGTGGAGAATGTGGTGATGTGTACCTATCACAGGAATCATCAGAGAACCAGACCAAATGCTCAGGAACAACCCCAATGGAAGGAATTGTTCCTTGGGGGGTGTGTTGAATGGGAGCCGGAAATAGACACCGGAAGATCTCCAGTGGGGCAGAGACGCACAGGGCATCTGACCCACCAAGAAGACAGATGATCAATCTCTGTACGCTGAAGAAGCAGAGAAGAACAAGCACAACAACAGAACACACTTGACAACCTGAATAATCTGAATTCGCTTGCATCCAACAAGTACATGTACCACCATTGAATGTCAAGCTGCCTGTTACAAACCAACGAACAGTGCGGCCTCATAGCAGGCCCAGAGGGGACGATTGGAAACAGGTTGACCAGTGAGTGGGGTGCTAATCAGTGGAGAGATCGGAGCAACGGAGCAACGGTACACAGATCACGTGACCAGCAGAACCTGGGTCACGTGACTAAGAATTTGGATCACTGGATCACCATGGTGAGCCAGTGAGCAGGATCGATCACGATACTCGAGGATAACCTGGGCACGATCGCCTGGACGAAGTCCTCAGCGCTGAACAAAGCAAAGAGGCACGTTCGGATCGCGTATAACTACGCACGCCGGGAAGCCGAGGCTGGTCACGTCATCGCTCAGTGGGTTCCCTCAGAGGATAACCCTGCAGACGGGTTTACGAAGCCGCTAGAGGGCGCGAAGTTCGCGCGTTTTGTGGCTCTTCTGGGGTTGGAGCCCCTGAAGAAGACGATCACAAAGAAGAAGGCACTGACAGCTGCCCACACTTGCCCCCATGAGGGCGTGTGAGGATTGTGGTGGCAGTATGGTGGCAGTAAGGGAGGCTGCCAGCTGACAAGGGGTCAGGCAGGCACCTTGGCATAAAGGGATGGAAGCACCAGGAAAGGTGGCTTTCATGGGTGATAGACAAGGGATCTTTGGCTGGAGGATCAATGGATGGGTACATCTTTGTATTTTGGTGTGTATTTAGTACTAGATTGGTCCCCCAGACCCATGGATAAAACGCAACGCACTAGACCGATCATCACCCCCATGTTCTGACTCTGATGATCCGATATGTATTATATTTTAGATAATGTTCGAAAAAGATAATTATATATAGTGTCGGATGTGGTGCCTCAGTGTGTGTGGCGCAGGCTGTGGCGCAGGTGATTCGTGTGTGGCTGGGGACGGTCGTTGGGAGACCGTTGCCTCACCGCTCAGCTATTACGCTAGCGGGACACGTACGTACTGTATTTTAGCTGTATTCGTGTCCGCACTAGGTAGACACTGAACCTTAGAGAAATCACGAGCGAATGGATACGTATTCTGCACACTGACTTCACACATATAGTGCGTAAAAAAGATTTTTGTAAAATTCCCGTGCGAGGATCCATCTTTATATAAAGCTTTCGGAACTTATTAAACGAAAGCGTATAAACGAAAGTTTTACTAGTAGCGTTAAGGTTAAAAGAGAAAACGAATAGAGTTTAGCTATAAGCTAATAAAAAAAACATTATTTATTTGCTTAAGGTTATAGCAGAGCCTGAATTGATTCCATAATATCGATATTATCTTAATCTGCTGGGTTGGGAATACGAAGTCCGAA